GTTGGTCACCATATTTCAATAGCAGTTAAAAACAGATAGTCAGCAAATGTTTATCCAAAATTTTAGAAAAAAGTACAAAAACGACATTTTCCCGATATTTTGCATTACGTCTATTTTTAAACATGTGTTACTATGAATAGAAATGGAAACCTCTGCTTATCATGCTGCATTCCATTGAAGGTTCTTTTGTTCTTGTCAGTCACATAATATCAGTTACATTTAATGACAGTAAGTCGGTAAATTTCCCATCTCTAATTTGAGAATTGGTGGAAAATCAACATTAAACAGTTAATTTCATATGTGTCTATTTTTAGACATTTGTACTATTTATAGAGATGAGAGCCTGTCCTCAATAATTTGTGAGATATTATACTATTCCTTGTTCGTATTGATGAAATATTGGAGAGATCCATATTTTTATTATTTATGATTCAGTGGAGCTTCAAATTGATGAAAAATTGACATTTTTCATCATTTTATGAGACATATCTATATTTAGGCATTTGAAAGCTATAAATAGAAAACGGAAATCCCTGAAAATAATATGCATGGCAGTTATTGGTGTCCAGTCTCGGACATTAGCATAATGACTTTTACAGTATATTTCATAATTACCTAGCAATGGCATCTTAAACTCTGTCCAAATTTCATTTTTTGGATTTTTCTGAAATATGTCTATTTTTAGATACATGTTACTAAAAATAGCATTGAGATCCCACTCCAATTTTTCCATGAGGGGACACTACTAATACTGACGTTTGACGACACGCATATGATTTGAAAAATTTCCGTAGACAATTTTTTTTATTTAACCTTAAATTTCTCAAAAAATGCCAAATTTTCCATTTTTCACATTTTGAGAAACGATGCTATTTTGCAGAACCGTTTTCTAAGAGTGGGGTCAATTCTGGAATAACTGGTTATATGCCCTGTATTCTTTAACAGTTGATGTTTTCTTATGATACAAAGATTTATATTTGAGTTCACTACATAAAGATAAAAATGCATTCATATTTCCTCAATTTTCATGTTTTTGTTTGGTCAAAAATGGCCGAAAATGGCCAAATTCAATGGATCCGTCTCCATGGCAACCGGGTGCACGTGGGAAACTTCTAACACCATATTTGCTGGTTTTGTACCAAGGTGCACCTGTGGTGCAAATTTCATCAAAATCGGAGATATGTCGTTTCCAAGATTTTTTGGTGCTTACAGAGAATGCATGTTAAGTACATAGTTATGATGAGTAAGAGTGCCTCTACCAAAATTATGAATTTTATGGCCCCAGAGTCAGGGGTTCTGGTGTTAGGGTGGGCTCTATTGATTATGTACTGAAAATGCATTAAATCCTTGAAAATCTTCTTCTCTGCTCCTGGGTATTAAATAAACTAACTAAGTACATAGTTATAATGAGCAAGAGTGCCTCTACCAAAATTGTGAATTTTATGGCCCCAGGATCAGGGGTTCTGGTGTTAAGACAGGGTTCTATTGATTATATAGTGAAAATGCATTTATTCTTTGAAAAGCTTCTTCCCCACTCCTAGGTATTAAATTAATTAAGGACATAGTTATGATGAGTAAGAATGATTCTACAGTAGAGACTCGCTATTACGGTGACGGTTTTATACGATAGAACGCTTATTACGTTGTAAATTCAAAGCACAAATCCATCTCTTAACAAATCTATACAAAAAAGAACTGTTTATTACGTTGTCCAAAATCGCCAGGTCTCAGTAATACGATGTAAAAATTCTGTCGAAAATCTTTTCACTCCGTGTTTATTCAGTGTTGATTGCTGGTAGACACTTAAGGAGACGCTAAATAAACATTGGAACACCTGTACTCTGAGAGAGTGTTAACTAACAGGGCAGTTAGGTGATTAGTGACGCTTGATTGCACCCACCTGGACTGTTCCAGCGAGCCCAGCAGATTTGGAGACGTGCCAAAGCCATTGTTAAACAATTAAAGTTCACTGATAAATCTAGCTTCTTCTTTATCTATCGCTGTAATTCTTTTATTCTTTATTTCATACTTACTTTAATAAATTAAGTAAATAAATAAAAGGTTATATTTAATATTATGCATGTATGCTGTACACAGGTACACATAATGTGTAATTTCGTTTGCAAATAAACTGCGTAAATAAACAGCTTGGGTATCAAACATAATTTGGACAAATTTTGAACTCCACTACAAACGTTTTAACAGCTTGGGTAGTGGCTTGGACTACCTCTCAGTTGTCAGCAGAAATACAAATCGACAATTGCTGAACTGCTAATTGACCTCTGTACAGTAATTAAAAAAAAATATTTTGCCAGACTGCTTGTCTATTTACTTTGACCTTTTTATATGAATAAAAAAAATGTTGTTGTTTATTTAGAAATGACTTTTAATTGAATCTAAAGAGAATAAAATAATAAAAATTTTGGTTGTTGTTTATATAGAAATGACTATGACTACGAAGACATTGAAATTTTCACGAACGCATTATCTGGACAGAAACGAAAGTGAAAGTACATGTTACAGAAATGGCGGCAATTAAAGGAAAATTGTCGAAGTTTCTATTAAAAAATGTGCTCTATGCTTTTACTAAGATGGAAAAAGAAGAAATAGCATCATGAAAATAAGTTTTAAAGATAAGTAATCAATGAATTAAGTGTATATGGCACATTGGAGAAGAATTTAAGCATGAAAAAGAGACAGAAGGAGAAAAATATACCCCCTAATACAAGAACACGTTTTCCAAACGATGTTTTACTGGATTTTATAGGGAACTTTTAATACGTTGCCCTCGGTATTACGATATTTTACCGTGACAAAGTGAACATCGTAATAACCAGTCTTGACGAACTCCAAAAACGGCGTTAACGGTAGTGAGAATTTCAGTCCAGAAAAGACTCCAAAAAACGAGTCCAACGCATGCGCAGTTATATAAAAAACGGTGAAAAATCGTGAAAAGTGGGCTCTTATTAAAAGTGTTTTTGCAAAAAATTGGATTACCTTACAATAATGTAAGTTCTCAGAAATGATTAATAATAAATGGTTTTAGAGAACGTATTTGTTAGAATTTTGATTTCATGTGCAAATAGTTTTTAATTTCAAGTTAAAGTTGACCACTTCGAGGTTCAGCCAGACATCGTACAAGTAGGATACAAAATACAAAATAAACAGTCGTAATCTTATGAAAACATCTCTGTGGTTGATAATTTGTTTGTAGTGACTAAGTTAGTCATTTTAGAACTACTTTTACTGATTTTAGAAGTTTATTTTGTAAGTATAAGGAACGCTGGCGAATTTTCAGTTCGAATTTCCTCTGTTTTTCATGTCTATCGTGTACGAATGAATTTCAGCATGTTTAGATCAGCAATGAGCAACTGCATCGTTAATACATCTTACCAATAATTAAAAAAGTACTGAATTGATGGTTTTAATCATAAATAAGAGTCGATCAGGTGACAGTTACATGATAATCCATTCAGTTTCCGCATTTCCTTCGAGGCTTTTTTGAAGAAAGTTCACGTTTCAAGTTAGATCAAATACAAAGAAAAATAAACGTTTGGGAATTAAATATATAATACAAGGGAAAAATATGTAAAATTGAACAATGTAATATATATGTTGTAACTGTTAAACATTGACCGAATTTTTACCTATTTGTAATATTATTTCGTCATATAATCATGATAATCCTGTATGACATCTGAATATTGAGAGCGTTAGTTATCACCATTGCTATATACCTAATGTTTTCACATATGAATAGATATAATCATGAAAACAATTTTAGAATTATAATTTATGAGTTTAAGAACTTAAAAAAATCATTCTTTTAAAATTACGGTTAAAAAGTCTTCTCAAATCGAACCTGTTAATATCTCTGCTCCGCCGCCAAAATTGTGCGGTTTTTTATTAAAAAAAACGATATATGTGTCTTAGAAGTAAAATTTAAGCATCTTTATAGTAGGAATGGCATAAAATTTAAATCAAGGGGACAATAAATTAAGTTAGAAAATTAATTCTTACCGACTTTATTGAATCCCGGTGTCGTATGTATATCCCAAATCACTATTATGCAAGAATACAGAGTGATAAATAAGTCAATAGCCACTTAATAATTTAATGGGTACAATTATTTATTCAACAAAAATTGAAATCCAGTCACAGATTACTAAATACAGCCATTATTCAGTCGTATTTGTGGAGAAAGCGAACGACAATCTATCGTTTGTTTACATCGGAAGCCATTTTGCCGCAATGCATGACGGAGCCAAAGACTTCTTTTTTGGAGTTCACGCCGTTTTTGGAGTTCGTCTAGACTGATAACGGATCTCTACTGTACCAAAATTTTGAATTTTATGGCCCCAGGGTCAGGGATTATGGTGTTAGGGTGTGGCTCTATCATGATTATATGGTGATAATACATTACATCTATGAAAATCTTTTTCTCTACTCCTGGGTAATAAGCAGATGAACTATTTATATAGTTATGATGTGCAAGGGCTCTTCTTTCAGAATTTTGAATTTTAAGGCCCCTGGGTCAGGGATACCAAAGAGGGGGGGGAGCTCTACTTCTATATACTGAAAATGAATTGTTTGAAATCTGCCCCTTGGTGTTAATTGAACATTTTTGATAAGCATTTAGTGTGCCTTTTCAAAAATTGTGCAATGTGTAGACCTAGGGTCAGGGGTTCATGTGTGGTAAGGGAACTCCTGATTATTGCTGAATATTACTGATTAGTTGACATGCATTTTTGTTCCTCTACCCTGCTTATGGGTATTAAGTAAACAAACTAAGCAATTGCTAAGTGTATAGTTATGATAATCAATGGTGCCTCTTTCAAAATTGTGAATGCCATAGCATCTGGCTTAAAACATGAACCAAATTCAATCATTTGAAAGTTGTTGCATGATGCTCAGGTGACCTATAAGGCCCATGGGCCTCTTGTTAAAATAAGCTGCTGTGAGATGATCTGAATGTCATTATAATGCCGTCTTTATTTAAGGTTCTTCGATTGGTCCATTATTTGGCATCATTTGGATTCTATTACAAACCAGAGGACATTAAGAAGTTGCTTGAGCCTTTGATGTCACTTATTGACGGCAGAAATGACAAACCGTATCCTAATGTCACAGGTAAAATCAAACCTTATCCTAGGGTCACAGCTAATGAAATATAGAATTTGTATGTGATGTGAAGGAATGGTAAATTACAATATTCTGTGTCCCAGATGGCTGCTTCATCTTTTTTTTTTATCAGGGAAAGATGCTGATGATGTTCTCAGAGTATTTAGAACAAAAGAGAGGTTTGAAAGAAACACAGAAACCAATGCTGTTGTCAGTGCCAAATGCCAGTTTGTATATTGAGCTTAAAATATCCTATTGGTATTTTCTGAGTCTATGTGGTCTAATAGGAGTGAAATTAATTGAATGATTCATATTTTAAACTCCTTTTTTTCCAGGGCGTTGGAAGCACTCAATTTATTCTACAACTACATTTTCAACCTGAGATTAGAGGTATGTCTTCCTCCCCTTGTTTTTATGGTCTTTTTTTTTTATTCCAGGCTAAATGGATCTGCTGACTCTAATTCTTGGAGAACTAGAAAAAAATTAAAATGCAAATTTCTTTATAAAAAAATTTTAATCTGAATCTGATAATCACCTATCATTTATGTATATTATCAAATTCTTTCAGAAATTCATGAACATGTTCAAAGTGACCCACACTCAATCAAACACCCCTCAGATGCCCCCGCCTGAACTCGGACCACTTCTGTATGAGACCTTTGACCTTTCAACTCATCAAGGGTAAGGAACTAGGTTATCCTAATCATTTATACATTTTATAGTACATATATGAGATTTATTATAGATCATAGTAGATTATTAAGTGTGTAAACATAGCATATATGCTTTTAAAATAAACATTATTTTACTAAATTTAAATTGTAGAGAATTAAGGCTATACATTTCATTTAGCTTCCCTACCATCCCAACTAATATTTGCCTCATCATTAATAGACTATCAATTGGACACAAAAAATACTGTGCATGGCTTTGGTTCCTGCTTTGAATTTCAAGAATCAAAAGTAAAATTGATAAAAAATGTGAAGAAATGAAAATAGAAGTGAAATAAAGAATCACAAATTAAAGAAGAAATGGATCTACTTATATATATTATTTAGAGACCACACAAAAAGGGAATTTTAAGTCAAAGCTATATGCACAGTATGAGGTAGTACAAATGTAGAATATCATCAGATAATTCTAATATCTATATCTGTATTATAGAAGCTCTCATCTCTTAAACAGCCAGCAAACATCTGTGTATGTATGATGGGTGTTTTGTGAGTTGAAAATAATATTGTAATTAGATCTCGTTATATAATTGTATACATGTATTAACCTTTGCATTGGTTAATATTTTGATTTTTAATATTTAAGATTTATACTTGGTTTTATTGGTCCATATCTTGATGTTTTTTCTGACTTTTTACTGAAAATTTAAGTTTTTACTGAAAATTTAAGTGTTCGAACATTCAACCTGTTTTTAGAACCCCTAAATTTCTTGAGAGTAAAATAACTTGATTAGTGTACTAATTTTTTTCTTTCTGCTCAGAAAGGTGCATGATTGAAGTTATCTGTAGTTTTACTAACATCTCGGCATTTTTTTTTTATTTTTGCTTCGATTTTCAGAGCACAGGAGTTGTAAGTTCTTCACATGTCACCAATTCAGTTATATGTTAGGCTTTATTTAGTATCTGCTAATCCCCAAATATCTTGTTAGTGTCATGTAGTTGTCTCCCCTTTGTAGTTTCTGCTTTCCATGTGACAAATAATTAATATCTTCAAGAACATACCGGTATATCAGAGCACTGCACCAGCAATATTCAGAATGATAAATTATACATTACTCAGAACATGTAAAAAATACAGAAGTTTAGCTTATAAAATTGATTTTATTGCTTTATGTATAAGGAAATACAGAAATTAATTGTCTAGATAATCTCTGATTTTCAACATTATCGCTAGCCAAGGGTTTCTTATACGCTACTCTCCTCATAATCCCTTGGCATACGGTGTTGATAGAAGTTGGGTTTTTTTTCTCGAGTTCTGATTGGGATTCGGTACACCCGGTCGACCAATCAACAATTTTTTTTTGTAAATGACGATAGTTCTTGACTCTTCAATTTCAGAAATGAAAAACCCAAGTAAACAACGATCCATAAGATAACATGTAATTCTATGAACAGCTATTGTGTCATCCAATATCTTCTAAATATGTGATTAGGATCTATATTCATGATATTGAAGCTTCCCATTTGTACTATAAATGATAGATAAACATAACTCAATTATTGCCTCTTAATTATTCTTAAAAAAAAAACTCTGATTTAATTTTTTTTTAAAACACGCGTCTTTATTTCTGTCAATGACACAATCTGTGCATAGATTCGAGATCACGTTACCATACATGTCCAAGAACGAATTCGATGTCGATATCGACGATATCGACAATTTTATGTCGATATCGTATCGATATCGATCGTGATCAGCATTATAAATTGGAAATTGGAAATACCTTGTGCCATATTTGAGACTATATATAACGTCGATATCGTCGATATCGAAATATCATGACGATATCGTATCGATATCGACCCTATTTGCATAATCTATTTTCACATTGAGGTATAACATAATTTTGCAAGGTCACACGTGAAATCAAAACTGATTTATTATTGGCATGAATATAAAAATAATTTATGATTAAGAAAATTTTCGGGTTGTTACTATTTTAGATTAGATTTAGAGTAAGATGGGTTAGGATAAAAATTCTTAAAAATGTTTTAACAATCGTGATTCGATATCGATACGATGTCGTCGATATCGACAGTAAGGTAAACTTATTAATCACAGAAGTGATGTAAAAATAATTTTTTTTGTATTAGGGTGAAGATTGATAAAGTAATATGCTTTAAACAATCATGATTCGATATCGATACGATATCGTCGATATCGACGATATCGATGCCAGGTAAAATCTTCGTAAAAGGAAAGTAATTAAACAGTAACACATTCAAAGTAACATGAAAGGTATTTACCAAGGGTTGAGCAAACATGATTCGATATCGAAGCGACATCGTCGATATCGACGATATCGACACTTCAGGGAAAGATTTATAGAGAAAGTTTTCAGTAACAGTTGTTAAATACAGCATATTAAGGATGAAAACCACAATTCTTGGAACAACCATGATTTGATATCGGCACGATATCGAGGATACTAACACTAAGGAAATAGTCTTAAAACAGGAAGTATTGTTATAAACACATGAGAATAGAGAAATATTATAGAAAACTATAAAAAAAAAAAAGTAATGTGTCGATATCGTAACTACATCGTGTCTTGGACATAACTCCACGTTACGAAAACAATCCGGTCTTTTGACTTCACCGTATGCCAAGGGTTCATGAGGAGAGGAACGTATCAGAAACCCTTGGCTAGCGAAGATGATTTTTATGCCCCCCTTCGAAGAAGGGAGGGCATATTGCTTTGCTGCTGTCTGTCGGTCGGTCGGTCTGTCGGTCCATTTAGTTTCCGTTCATTTTCTTCATAACCGTTATTCATAGTGAAATGAAATTTGGTGTACAGGTATATCAGATGAATATCTAGGTCAAGTTCTGTTTTGGGTATGATCGCACCATAATTGACAGAGTTATGCCCCTTGGACCTAGAAAAATTCCATATTTTGCAGTTTCCGTTCATTTTCATTGGAGAGGTTGCACATATTGAAATGGAATTTAGTATACAGGTATATCAGATGAATATCTAGGTCAAGTTCTGTTTTGGGTATGATCGCACCATAATTGACAGAGTTATGCCCCTGGACTTAGAAAAATTCCAATTTTTTGCAGTTTCTGTTCATTTTCTTTGGAGAGGTTGCACATATTGAAATGGAATTTAGTATACAGGTATATCAGATGAATTTCTAGGTCAAGTTCTGTTTTGGGTACTTTTTACTGATAATTGACAGAGTTATGCCCCTTAGACTTTGAAAAATTCCAATTTTTTGCAGTTTCCGTTCATTTTCTTTTGAGAGGTTGCACATATTGAAATGGAATTAAGTATACAAATTAGTCAGATGAATATCTAGGTCATGTTTTGGGTATGATCACACCATTTTTGACAGAGTTATGCCCTTTTGGACTTAAAAAAATTCCAATTTGTGGGGGAGGGGGGCATAGGGTGAGTTCACCATGCATCGGACACATACCTTGCTTCGGACAACTTTTTCTCTTTCAACTTAAGAGTTTGTGTATTTATTTGTTTCTTTCATAAAGACGAATATTTAAATTTTTTAATGATACAGATTGTGTTTATCATGTTGTGATAAAAATACCCCGCAAATGGCCTTGAAGTTACGTCATATTTTACATCGTCAAAGGGGAATAACCCGAAATTTATGATTTTGCAATTTTTAGAGTTATCGTTCTTTTAAATTCGACTACCACGGACTTTGGTGAATTTTGTCAAGGATTGGTAATTTTACATAAATTATAATTAAATTTCACTTCAATGTTTGTTTAATTCTTATTAGAGCTGGTTTTTACTAGTATGCTATTTTCACCGTACATCGGACACAAATTAACCATGCATCGGACACTTTTCGATGCAAAGGTAATCACTACCATTTTCATACAGAACCCAGCTGACAGCTGTTTTTTGCGGAAAAATAAAAACTCCATATTTTCAGTCAAAATACAAGTTATCGATATATGACGTTTTTTACTCAATTTATTTCTATATGATAAACCATGAGAAAAAAGGCGCGAATTACGGCATTATAAACATTTTAAAACATTTCTAAGGCAGAGTGAGGTCTCGAGAATCGTTCTACATTTGTGCAATAATATTGTCGATTTAATTAAAGTTGAGGGTTATTTCTTAGATAAAAGATGAAAATATATCCATATCAAGGATTTTAAAGTACTGTGATAAAGGTATGATATTTTCCCGTCTCCATACCGTCTGTCTGATGCATGGTGAACAATGTCCGATCCATGGTGAATTTTCAGTTTTTTCTAAAAACTCGATATTTGGGGATATTTTCTCAATAAACGGCATATAATTGTGTCCTAAATTGTTATTTTAATCACAAACTAAATATTAAACTCCATTTTGATAATTTTCCGTCGGTAGTGATATCGCTAGAACTTGTTGAAGTACAAGGGTATCCGATGCATGGTGAATTCACCCTAAGTGTTTTACAAACATCTCTTGTTCAAATCAAATCTGGGAATTTTATTTATTAGAATTGTCAGAAATGTGGGTATTATAGAAGCCGGGTAATTTTTGATGCAAGGTGTGTACATTGGTGTGTATGACTTCAAATTTGAACTTGCATGTAGGCATATTTTTAGCTCACCTGAGCCGAAGGCTCAAGTGAGCTTTTCTGATCACATTTTGTCGTTGTCCGTCCGTCCGTCTGTAAACTTTTCACATTTTCGACTTCTTCTCAAAACATAATTTTGTCAAACTTGGTACAAAGCATCCTTGGGTGAAGGGAAATTTAAATTTTTAAAATGAAGGGCCAGGTCCCCTCACAAGGGGAGATAATCAAGAAACAACAAAAATAGGGTGGTGTCATTAAAAAATCTTCTTCTCAAGAACGACTGGGCCAGAAAAGCTGAAACTTAATATATGGAAGCATCCTGGGATAGTGTAGATTCTAAATTGTTAAAATCATGACCCCGGGGTGGGCGGGGCCACAATGAGGAATCAAAGTTTTACATAGAAATATATGGGAAAAATCTTCAAAAATCTTCTTCTCAAGAACCACTGGGCCAGAAAAGCTGAAACTTATGTGGAAGCATCCTGGGGTAGTGTAGATTCTAAATTGTTAAAATTATTACCCCTGGGGTTAGGGCGGGGCCACAATGGGGAATCAAAGTTTTACATAGAAATATATAGGAAAAATCTTTAAAAATCTTCTTCTCAAGAACCACAGGGCCAGAAAAGCTGAAACTTATATGGAAGCATCCAGGGGTAGTGTAGATTCAAAATTGTTCTAATCATGACCCCTGGGGTAGGGCGCGGCCACAATGGGGAATCAGAGTTTTGCAATGTCGAATCAAATCATCCTATGGTAGTGTAGATTTCAAATTGTTCAAATTATGATCAGTTGGGTAGGGTTGGGTCACAATATGTATTACAAGGGGAAATCTGGTAAAGAACGGAATGGTCAAAGCTTCTCAGGTGAGCGATGTGGCCCATGGGCCTCTTGTTTATGAAGCGCCTGCGAGCATTCATAAAATATGCCTACATGACAAGTCTATTTTTGAAGTAACTAATACTGTAAAATCACCTTTATGTGGGGTCAAATTTTCATGGTTGAATAAAAATAAAATGGTGCATGGTTGAACTCTGTAGTAAAAATGGAGGGATAAAAAATTATATGAACCATCATACCAAGAAAACATTGAAAAAAATTAATCATGGTGCCACTTGTCAAAAAATGTAGTGATTTCACAGTATTCACAAAATTCCTTTGCTATTTCCAGGCAAAAAAGTTTTATATGAAATTTTTCTCATGTACTTGTACTTGCAAGTGCTATTGAAGAGTGATGAAAATGAGAGTTATGATTAAAGTTCAGATGTGAGGTGAAGGTTAAATTTGACTTTAAAATTGATACGCTTTCCAAGATCATCAACTTCCCATTGCTTTTTCTTTTACTTTAAAGTCATATCTGAGTAATCTTTTATCTGAAACCTTGGATCATTGCATATGACTTTGTTATAAATAGAACAATACTTTTATTTTTTTTGTATGAAAAAATTGTGTGTCATAATAAATGACATGAATTTTGACATTTTTGACATCAGATCGTATTGGACAGGGTAAGGCTTCGCAAAGGCTGACACATCAGTTGTCTTCTTTTACACAAATGCATGCAGCAATCCACATTTTTATTTCCAATTTTTTTCATACCCAAACCAAACAAAGTTTTGGGGAATGTATCTGTGAATTACCATGTCTGTCTGTAATTCCATCTATTTGTTTATCTGTCCATCCTTTATGATTCATGTTGAGTCTAAAAACTTTTCAAAAGAAAGATGTTGGAAGCTTGATTGTAATTTGAAAGTGTTTTGTGACACAGAGTAAGATTATTTTAACAATTTTTCATGCCACAACTTTGTAAGATTAAGATTGTAGAAGCTAAGAGCCTTTACAAAAATTTCTCACATAAAGGTTGTTTCAGGTCTATTGGTCTAGGTCATTTTTACAAGGTCAAAAGAACAAAAACTATAAAAGTTGTGTCTATTCAATAAATATGAAATGTAGAAGTTTATACTTGACAAAAATCTTGCTTTCTGAACAGAATTTTGTTATAACCTTTAAAAAGATTAGGCTAGTTTCTTACAAAGTAGTAATTTATAAATTTATGGGGCATAAGCTTGCCCAATTCAGATTAAACATTTCAGAGTATTAGTCCTACGAGGACATATACTTTTTTTGTTGGTAGTCAATAGAGGTGGTTTGAATTTTGAGTCAGTTCTGGAAAAAAAATCGCATGTTTAACAATTTTCTTTATTTTATCTGATTGAAGAATGGTTACTTTTAAGACACACAAACAGCTATTCTAATTTCTTAATAAAAGTCTTTTAAGTGGGGGAGTATCAATTTCAGATTAACTATACTAGATTAGTTTTTTGTTCATGGAAATGTCAGATTTAAATAAAACTTCTAAATACAGTTGAACTTCTGTATCTCGAATACCATGGATATGTCGAAGTGATGTGGAAGTTCCTAACTCATACTTTTTAAGTATTTTACCCTCGATATCTTGAATCTTTTGATATCTCAAAGTTTTTTTCTCAGTCCCATCAGGTTCGAGATAATGAAGTTTGACTGTATATTGAAAATTATCAAGTCTAGGAAATTATGTTTACAGAGGAATATGAACATCAGTTATCTTTTAGATTTATATGTTATTTTAGAAAATTTAAATTCATTATATTCTGGGACTTTGATATTTTATGGTTATATGTTTTAAGTCTACACTTATTTATAAATTCATGTTTAGTCCATGACATTATATTGCACAAATAAGTACTGAAGAACAGGTTGTCAAGTTTTATTTCTTTCCGATAAATTTAATTTGTGTGCACTTTTGTTGTTTTATTTCAGTTTTCATATCATATGAGCTAGCTGTGTTTGATAAGAGATTAGAATAGTTACTGTCTTTCTTTCTCTGAACTTATTACAATTTTCTCTCTGTTTTATAAATTTCTGATAGTCATCTTTCAATTTAACATTCTAATGCATGTATTTAATTGTTTAGTTCATCATCTGCTTGCAGGGTGTCTAAGAGTGCTTTGAGGAAGTTGAAGGAGATTTTTGACCAGACGAATTACCTGAAGTCCTATGATTTGGTTGATGTGCTGAAGGTATATGTCTGTTTTCTGAGATTTTATAACTGTTTTTCATTGACATGGCAGTGATTAAATTTGATGTATTATTTACATTTTGATTGAAATATACTTTTTGTCATAAAAAAATATTTAAACCGTGAATTTACCCGGTAAAATACCAATATGAAAAATACTGCATGATATGTCAGTAATTGTTCAGATTTTTAAAAGTATGAATGATTGATTAGACTGTAAGTGACAAAAAAGTTATTTGTCGTCATTCATGAGCGCTTAGGCATTTTGACACCAGCTTGCAAAATAATGTCAATAGATATTTTGTAGAATAAAATGTGATTTCCATTATAATTTATTCAACAGGACTTGTCTTTCTATGAATACGATGAAATGATTCGGATGTCCATGCATCTCCTGAACAGATATTACTCTGCTTATAACCAGCTGTTCAGCAATGCCGTACAGGCCCAGGTGGGTGTAAATCTGTGATCTGTTCAAGTTCAGTATTTATTTTCTGAATACATTGATCATGAATAATTAACTATCTAATCTTTCTATCTCCAAGACTGAAAGTGTATGTGGGTTAAACACAGAATATTTTGGGATTTCTTTAGAAAAAAAAAGTCTTGAGAACAGCAGGGATAGTGTAATTCAGGTGAGCATCATGACCCACTGGCCTCTATTATTAATTTTCCTTTGCAGGTTTTGATTACTGAGAAATCAGTGGCAGTGTTCAATGAATTGGAGGACATTCTTCCCCATCTTAGACGCCTAGCCTCCGCCAAGCTTAGTAACAAACAGGCAGAGGAACTTGTTACCATGTTAGACAAATTAATTTTGTACGTATACAGCAGCTTTGTAATGACAATTTTCTATTTTTCATGGATTACTTACTAGGACTTGTTGTACAGAAACTGACCAATCGCATACACTAAAATAACTGACCAATCACACACTCTTTAGAAAGTGACCAATCACAAACATAATACAAACTGACCATTCACACACGTAATAGAAACTGACCAGTCACAAAATGTACAGAAACTGACAAATCAAAGTGGTTTACTTTTTAATTCTTTGTCCACAGTTTGTTTACATTGCTCTGTCAATTTAAAAAAAAAAAAATAACCATTAACATGGGACAATTATGTTTAAGAAGAGAATACTGTAAACCAGCTTTTATTCGCGACGACTTTATTTCGCGATTTACCTGGGATAAGCTAATTTGCAACGATTAATTTTTGCGATCAAGCCTTTTTGGATCTGATGTTAATAGACACATACACTTTAAGGACCGGTTCGCGACGAGAAATATTCGCGATGAGGAGGCTCTTGCGATCTTCGCAAAAATTTCTCGCACGTGAATAAAAATTGGTTTACAGTATTCGTTTATATTGTACATGCATTTATTCATGATACAAGCTTTGTATGTGTTGGAATTTCGTCAAATCTAAGATTTAAGTACCTCTACTATTTTTAATTTTTACAGAATGTGCCATTTAGACAAGGAGCCTGATGAACCCCACGGCATGAACCAGAGCATCCTGTATAATCATGGTAAGTGGTCAACAAGAATTTCATAAGAAGACATATTGTTTTGTCAGGGTAATTGATATAACATTAATATATAGTTTATTGTGCACCTGTTTAAATATTGAAATTGTTTCATAGTGCATTATTTCATTTTCATCTGCTAATATAAAACTTAATTTGTAGGGGTTATTGAGGACATGTTCAGCATACTACAGCAAGAAATTGATGTCAAACTCTTGGTATGAAAATATGTTACTGCTAAGCTTGAAAATAAAAGTAGCATTGTTAATAAAAATTTTAAGTATTTAATGACCATGAGATCTAAGATGTAGATATGAATAGATGCTTTCACCATTTTTAGGTGTGTAAGAGGGGGGGGGGGGTAAAAATTGAAGAATCATTTCTTTTCTTCACTGTATATTAATTAAAACATAACTTTTTGTGATAGGACCAGTACACAGGCCTGAGGAATGTGTTCCAGAGAACCTTCACTCTGCTGAAGTTAATGGCCAGGGGAAATAAACTGGTCCAGGGTCGGTTGTTTAACCGTCTGGACTTACTGATTTCTACTGAAGGAGCAGGGGAGGAGTTAGCAGAGTGTTTAACAGAGGTAAGGCTCAAGTATATCAGATAATCACTGGATGTAATTATCAAAATTCAAAAAGGGGGGCCTTTGATTTCCAATGTTTACAAATCAGCAATGCATTTTAAAAACTAATAACTCTCTTAAAATATAATTTGTAGGTGTTTACTGGAAATTCTAACACATGTATGAAAATCAGTGGAAACCAAGTGCAAAAAATAATGACTCTAGTTGCTAAGAACAAAGAGAATGTGCCCCAGTTTTTGGACTTACTGAATGCTGTAGTTAAAGTGGAGGAACTAGACTTGCCATTAAAGAGGAACCAGAGCTTTGTCATGCAGTACTTCATGCAGTTCAGAACAGATATAGCGCATGTGATAGACCAGGATGAACAAGCCAGGTGAGTGCAGACAGGTCATCAAGTGTACAAAAGGGTGTTACAGAAAAGGTTAAAAGGAAAAAGTTCAAAATGAAGAATACATGCACTGTGGTAATGTATTGCATTGGGAGGGTGGGAATATAAGTGAATAAAAGAGATTTATACAATATACATGTGACTAAAGATAACTGAGTTCAAGGGACCAACAAACATTTTGGGATTTTATTGCAGAAACAAGATTTTAACAGAAGCAGGAAATAAACAGCTACATTACCTAATAGCTATGGTGGACATGCTGGCAACGTGTGCTGAGGTAAATACATTTCTACAAGGAAATTTCTTATATAAATGTGTGAATTATGCAGACAAGACATTAAAGAAGTCCCAAGACACTATATATATAACTTTGATTGATAAATCAAGTTTTTTGTTTGACTGAAGATGAATATTTAGACATTTTCCTTCCAGGTCACCTCGATTTTATTAGTATGGTCTTACAGTTATTTCTCTAAAGTGATGATTATTGCTAATGTAACCTGGCTGCCATTTGTCTTGCAGGACATATATAAATGTATTTAGTTTGATGTCATTCTTTTTTTTTTAATTAAGTTTTATGGTCCCTTTAATTATGATGAACTTTGTAGCACTTTTATTTTTCCCGAAGTTTTATCAACATTTACTGTTCACTTTGTACTGTTTGGCCAATTGTATTTAATTCTTGGGGTTGAAAAAAGTCTGATATCAATGCAACTGTGGATTTTAATAGGTTAATTTAGATTATACTAAGTTATTGTGATGTTGAAAATAAAAACTGAATTTGCTTTCATTTTTAAACAAATATACCGTAGTCAATATTGTTGTTTTATCAGACAAATAGCTTGCCCTGTGTTCTAAGAATTGTGCAAGCTTCTTAAACTTTTTTTCAGCATATGTTTTAAGTATGAAAATGCATGTAAAGTTTATCAAAGCCCAGTGAACTTTTATTTTAAATGTGGATTTATTGTGAAATCATGTTTGTGTACTTAGAATCATCTGTTTTAAATTTTTGAAATATGCATTTATGAATAGATTAAAAATTTCATTTAAAACTCTTTAAGTCCATTGCATGCTGTTTAGAATAAGCATGTCTTTAATAAATTTAAAAAGTCTTAGAAATATTGTTTAAATTATCATAAAGCTGCATCAAATTATATTAGAAATCTAGTTCCTAATTTCCAGTAGCATTTGGAGCAATATAATGTAATACAATATTTAAATACCTAAGGAAAAGTGAATACCAAGTTAAGCTAATTTTTCAACAGCTGAGATTTTTAAAACATCTTCTTTTTCATCAACAAAGGGTGAGAATCGACACATTGAATCAATCTGTCAGACAATTTTCCGAATTCCCGAACTTCTGCGCCTGCTGACCAATCAGAGTATCAGTAACAACTTTAAACAGCCCTTCCTGCGATTCTTCCTCTGGGTATATCTCAACACTGCAGGAGGCATGATAGAGAGTGGGGCAGGAGACATGCCACATGACAAGTAAGTCACATGACTGGAGAAGTAAATTGTGCCACATAACAATTCACATGACATGAAAAGAAAAGCTTGCCACATGACAAGTAAGTCACGTGACTCGAGAAGTAAATCATACCAAGTCACATGACATGAGGAGGAAATCATGCCACATGACAAGAAAGTCACATGACATGAAAAGAAAATCATGCCACGTGACAAATAAGTCACATGACATGAAAAGGAAATCGTGCCACGTGACAAGTAAGTCACATAACTGGAGAAGTAAATCGTGCCACATTACAAGTCACATGACATGAGTATGAAATCATGCCACATGACAAGTAAGTTACATGACAAGTAACATGTTTACTTGGAGAAGTAAGTCATTTGACATGACAAGTATGTCATGGCACATGATAAGTAAGTCATGCCTCACAATTTTAGCCATACAAAAGCAAATTGTTATTATGCATATCATAATTGTTTTTCATAGCAATTTTCAATTGAAAAAGCATAGTAACTGTAATTATTTCACATTACAAATGAAGGCTAGTGCATCCATCGTGTACTTGTGAAGACACAGTGTAGTAAACAGAAAAACAAACTTTTAGCTAAGATATATCATACAATCTTGCATACCCAAATCTTAAGTCAGTCTGTGGTGTCACTTAAAATTTGATGCAACTTTATTTTTATTTTATAATTTTTTTTCTACATGTAATGTCCTTTTCACCAGGATGATGTGGCAGTACCTGGGTGAGATTACCAAAACACTGAATCAGGTGGCTGAATATGGTAAATCTGATCCCGAGAAAACCAAACTTCTCCTCAAGAGGCCTCCAGCTAAAAGGTAAGGGAGGAAACTGGGTATACTCACCATACCTTCTTGTAACTGATCCCCCTTGTCTTCATGTAGATGAGATATATTGACCTCCATCACAAATTTCTGCATTGTGCGTGTAAGGAGTTGTCTTTTGTCTATTGTGTAGTAATTTGTATTTGTCCCAGATTTTATGTGTTTTTGCAACCACTTATACACTACATTTATACACAACATGACACCCTGATAAGGTTCAGATTTATTAAGTTGAACCAATAAATATATACATTTTAACACTACATACACAGCATATTTACATTACAAAACAGCAAAATAACAAATTAAAAAATATACAAAAATGTACAAATTTTTTTTGGCATCTTGGGGGCTGCTCTCTCTTAATCTTAACAGCATATTAAATAACCTGGGGGGAGCCCAGCAGGTTATTGATTGTTACCCCAGAACCTGGGGGGAGCCCAGCAGGTTCCGGGCTTGATACCTGGGGGGAGCCCAGCAGGCAATCATAGATACTCAATAAAATAATGGGTATACTCTATTCAACCTGGGGGGAGCCCAGCAGGTTGATGATAATTTCAAGTATATAGTACCTGGGGAGAGCCCAGCAGGTTACGTTTGTAAGTTTCATTTAGTACTCCATTAAAAACCTGGGGGGAGCCCAGCAGGTTGATAATGATTTAATGTATAAAGTACCTGGGGGGAGCCCGGCAGGTAAGTTATGCAAGTTTCATTTGATGTATACAGCCTGGTAAGAGCACAGCAGGCCTTAGGAGTGTTGAATACACAAATTTAAATTTCTTACTAATTACGAGTCGATAATTAAGTAGCGTTATTTGAAATTGGGGGATGAAAAAATTCCAAATATGGGAATTTTAATGTCAAAATAAAGGAGCAGCCCCTTTAAAATAAGTTGGCAATACATATAAGATTACAGTTAATGACTGGTAAACATTAGGCATGTAAATGTATATGAACATACTGTATCATCATCATGAAGATATTAACTTGGCACATAAACAATAGGAGATGAAGGGGTGGTGGGTGGGATAACAAAACGATCAAGATACAGATTCTGGCTACTTCAATTACAAAACATTGACTAAGTTAGCGTCCCTTTCTAGGATTTTGATTGGTTAAGACGATCACGTGGTTTAGTTTATAAACAGCTCAAGCACATGCTAACAGATTACGTAAATAGGTACAGCTCTGTTCACACGGTACATAACAAAGACAGTTGTGTATAAACAAAAATTAAATAAATTTACATTTTATACACAACATGACACCCTGATAAGGTTCAGATTTATTAAGTTGAACCAATAAATATATACATTTTAACACTACATACACAGCATATTTACATTACAAAACAGCAAAATAACAAATTAAAAAATATACAAAAATGTACAAATTTTTTTTGGCATCTTGGGGGCTGCTCTCTCTTAATCTTAACAGCATATTAAATAACCTGGGGGGAGCCCAGCAGGTTATTGATTGTTACCCCAGAACCTGGGGGGAGCCCAGCAGGTTCCGGGCTTGATACCTGGGGGGAGCCCAGCAGGCAATCATAGATACTCAATAAAATAATGGGTATACTCTATTCAACCTGGGGGGAGCCCAGCAGGTTGATGATAATTTCAAGTATATAGTACCTGGGGAGAGCCCAGCAGGTTACGTTATGTAAGTTTCATTTAGTACTCCATTAAAAACCTGGGGGGAGCCCAGCAGGTTGATAATGATTTAATGTATAAAGTACCTGGGGGGAGCCCGGCAGGTAAGTTATGTAAGTTTCATTTGATGTATACAGCCTGGTAAGAGCACAGCAGGCCTTAGGAGTGTTGAATACACAAATTTAAATTTCTTACTAATTACGAGTCGATAATTAAGTAGCGTTATTTGAAATTGGGGGATGAAAAAATTCCAAATATGGGAATTTTAATGTCCAAATTGAACGATTTAACCTTGGTTAATGAGTGAGAGCCCCCAAAGAAAATTTTTCTCCATTGCTAAACATGTCTGTTGGGAAGATATCCTGGAACCATTTCCCTAAGTAATAACCCCCAAATGCAGTATCGGTCGCATCTGTATACAAGTGCATATCTGCTGCTATAGTAATATTGTCTTCAAGGAAGAAAGCTACACCATTCCATGAAGATAAAAATTTGTACCACATTCTAATGTCTAATCTACACTCAGAAGTAATCGTCACATGATGATGAAGTTCTGAAACTGTTGTGGACAATGATATTAAATATGACACAAATGAACGGCCTGGACGTACAACACGACATGCAAAATTTAGGTGACCCAATAGACTGAGTAGTTGTCGTTTAGTGCAAGTCTTCTTGTCCAAAAATGAATCTAACGTCTCAAGTATTCTCTGTAGTTTGTCAGGTGGAAGTCTTGCTTCCATCTTACTACTGTCCAGCACTATACCTAAATATTCTAAGCACTGTGAAGGGCCCACACTTTTGTGAACAGCTAGAGGTATGCCCAACTTTTGAAACATGGTTGTTAACGTTTCCATGGTAATGTCTGCTGGAAAGTCTGGGGGGTCTACTGTCAGGAAGTCATCAAGGAGATGTAAGATATTGGTAATGCCATAGTTATTTTGTGCAATCCAACACAGAGTTGTAGAAAGTGTGTCAAAAATCTTTGGACTACTTCTTGAACCAAACACCAGTCTTGTAAAGTAGTAATATTGATTATCCCATTTTATCCCATGAAATGGCCAAAGGGTAGGGTGTATTGGTATAAGTTTAAATGCATCTGAAATGTCTACTTTACACATCCAACTATTTTTTCCGAGTTTTTTAATTAAGTCTATGGCGTTATCAATAGTCACATATGACAAGGAAAATTCTGTTTTGTCAATTAGAGAGTTAAGACTAGCATGTTGATTTTCATTATGTGGAGCCGATAAATCAACGATAAGTCTTTTCTTTTTCGAATATTTCCCTTCAGCAACTCCTATCGGGTTCACTCTATATAAGTCAAAAGGCATAGACAAGTATGGACCCGAAATAAAACCCTTGTCTAGCTCTGTTTGGATTAGTTGGGAAGTAATGTCAGGTTGTTTTCTTGAAGATAACAAATTTTTACATTCATAGGTTTCTGTGGGTAATGATTTAAATCCTGTGTCAAACCCATATTTCAAGCCATTCACTAAATATTCCACAGTATGTTTATCTGGATGGTTAAGAAGGAGTTTCTCTAAAAGTTCTATGTTAACTGGCGTTGAAACTGTTGTACTAATCACTGGTTCCCCCGATTCGGTGACCCTTTCCCCCGGGGGGTTACATCGTTTTTTGAACTGCACATAGATTGTGGATGCCCAGTTTGTTTGCAAGTTTTACACGCATGCAAGTTGTTGCATCTTTTGCGATTGCACCCCATGTCATTGTAATTATTACAAATTTCTAAACCATCTTTGTAATGCCTAGTTCTTCCATAGCTATCATTAACGTTCGTGTTAGAATATGGACGGTAAGGCTGTGAGAGGTGGTAAGGCTTGACCCCCGTCTCGACGTTTTTGTGGCAGAAAGGAGCAGTGTGACTAACACTGTTGCAAAGTGTGCAAGTGACAGGCTTTTCATTTGCAAAGATATTACAGAATAATGTATTGTTTCGTACCGACCAGTCAATAGGGATGTTTTGGTATTTAAGGTAAGCCGCCGCCCTAGCGCTGAACTGTCTGTGGTACTCATAAAATGCTGTACCACCATACCGTGTGGCCATGTCAATTATATCCCGCTCGTATAAATCTAATTCTTTTCTCCGTCTCGGGAAAGCCTCACACATAGTGCTTTTATAAATGCCAAAAGCCTGAATGAATTCAGTGATAGTTAAGGTCTTATTCAACCTGGGGTCTTTCTTATCCTTGTCAGATTTGTCTTTGTCAATTTCTGGCCCGGTGTAGTAGGGAATCAGAATGGTAGCAAGGTTGACATCCTTACCTTCAACAATTTGTTTCCTTAGATTTGGTGAAATTGTTTCTACATAGGGTAACGATTCCGCAGAATATCCGTATGTAGTCTTGACTCCCACTGTTTTGGTAGAATTTTGGTCGGCCCACGCTGTTGACAGAGTGTAGTTTTCCGTCTCTGTAGGCTCCCGAGGAGTTCCGCTTACCACGTCAACTCGTGCCATAGTGTTTTGAACCCCGGTCTGGCGTAATTGTTCAGCGCTTCCAGCGGCAGCGGGTATCGTTGGTTGTGGTCTCGACATGTTATTAACCCTTTCTGTTAGAGAAATCATGCTGCTCTGGAGACTCTGGACTGTTGTTGTTAAATCTCTTACCACGCCCAATAGTTCAGTTCTCACGTCTTGGCTTGGTGAGGGTCCATTCACTACATTCATTCCCTAAATTTTAAATTCATAATATGATATTTCCTGTTCAATGACATGCAGTTCCATTTTTGATAAGTGTTTAGGACTATGGGTGCATTTTACTTCTTACATTTTTCCTAAATTCACATGTTGTTTTATTTTATAGCTTATAGCAATAAATTCTCTCTCACATTAGCTTCAGGTTTTTAATTGCCGGAATTACGTCCCTTTTTATCTAAGCTTCAGAGAGTGCACACATTCTTTGTCTTTTTGTAGTAAGCCTATAGGGTCTCTTTGAATGTTTAAATGCTTATGATTTAGTTTTCTTATCATGTAGTAAAAGAGCAGAGTAAGTAAAAATAAATACTCGAGTATATCTATGAATTTCCCTACATTCACTTCAAACTTCTAAATCCTCCACTGAAAAAGGAATGGATTAATTGTCACACAGCTAGCTGCATGCTGTTTTGCACTTGACACCATTTCTTTTACTTATTTTGTTTTTCTTTTCAAAGTGACTTTTTTCAGAGAACTATATATTTCTAGAACCTGATTTACAAAATGGAAGATAAATGATTATTGATTACTAGCATTTATCATCTTGTAGATTTATAGAAAGGTGCAAATCATTTGTGCTACTTTTCAGTCTTTATATGAGAATTTAGGTTTTAAAAAGCTCACTCCTCCATCATATTTTAATATATAAGACAAACCTGAAGTATGACAAACATTTAAAAAAAAAAAAAGAATTTACAATAAACTCAGTAATAAAAATGTCATTTTAACCTGTTTTATGCATGGATTTCTTTAAATAAAAAGATCAATTTATGTTGTTTGATGCATGTGGGCATCTGCCATCATTTTGCATGACTTTTTTTTTCTGATGTCTGGTAAATACGGTCCAAAATTTCTAATGCTCATGCATGTTTATTATTAAAGAACAAATATTTGAACATATATAGCTGTTTACAATGCATGTGTTTCACTGTATATTTTGTGCTATTTTTGTCAGTATTTATTTGTGAGATATTTATGAAAAATTCCCGTCTTTGCTGGTATTCTTGTGTGTCAGTTAAGCAGTCCAGGTTTTTGTCTCGCCTGCGACGAATGTCGCGAAGCGAGACATAGCGACCATAGATTCCGTCGTCGTCGTCGTCGTCGGCGTCCAACTTTTGGTTAACCCAAATGTCAAAGTTTTATAAACTGCAATAACTTTCTCAAATTTTATTCAGTCTTCTTGAAATTTGGACACAATATTCAGTATGGATAAAAATTTATATCCCAAGTATGATTTTGAAAAAAAAAATTCAAATTTTTCCGTATTTTTTCCTTAAGTTGGACTTAGTTTTTTCATGATAATTTATGGTGAAGACCTATATTCCAGCAACTATAAGTTATAGGGATATGATAATTAGTCAGTGGATACATCATGGGTAACCACAAACGTCAGTACCAGAATTAGGTCATCTTGACCTACATTTTTCTGCATGAGTGACTTTGGTTAAATTTTTGGTGGAGGTCCATATCTCAGCATCTATAACTTATAATGGCATGATGATTTGTCATTGTACAGGTTATAAGTAACCAACAACATCAGTACCAGAATTAGGTCATTTTGACCTACATTTTTCTGCATGAATGACTTTGGTTAAATTGATAATGGAGGTTCATATTTCAGCAACTATAACTTATAGTGGCATGATAGTTAGTCAGTGGATACATCATGGGTAACCACAAACGCCTGTACCAGAATTAGGTCATCTTGACCTACATTTTTCCGCATGAGTGACTTTGCATAAATTTATGGTGGAGGTCCATATCTCAGCAACTATAACTTATAGTGGCATGATAATTTGTCAGTGGATACATCATGGGTAACCACAAACGCCTGTACCAGAATTAGGTCATCTTGACCTACATTTTTCCGCATGAGTGACTTTGCATAAATTTATGGTGGAGGTCCATATCTCAGCAACTATAACTTATAGTGGCATGATAATTTGTCAGTGGATACATCATGGGTAACCACAAACGCCTGTACCAGAATTAGGTCATCTTGACCTACATTTTTCCGCATGAGTGACTTTGCATAAATTTATGGTGGAGGTCCATATCTCAGCAACTATAACTTATAGTGGCATGATAATTTGTCAGTCTACACATCATGGGTAACCAACAATATCAGTACCATAATTAGGTAATCTTCACCTACATTTTCTGCATGAATGACTTGATACATATACAGTGGATTTGATTTCAAAATGCAAGTTCAAATTATTGCGACTCATAACACGTTGCAATATTCGCAATAATAAAAACATCACAATAATTTGTGAATTTACAATGTATGTAATTCATTAAAATCATTTCAGCATCTTTTCATTGACTAAGAGGAAAATGTTGTGTTCATCAGTATGCAAAAGTTATATATTAAATCCATATAAAATATACCTATAGTCAGTCCAGATAGAAACGTTTTACAGTTCTTATTAAGTCCATGACAATATCTCTTTAAAAACCAGCAAAATGACTCGATCCACTTTTTGAGTTATTCCTTCTGAAATGTCAATAAATGCTTCAGTTTATCAGACAATCATTTCTTACTAACCACAGCGACAGCAGGCGAGACACAGGGTTGCGGGCAACCCTTACGTACTTTTTTATAATAAAAAGATTTATTTAAATTTCGTTTCAGTGCTAGGGCCAGGTTTGTGAATAATTTTATCAAACTCTTTCTGCAGATCAAAAAATAAATGTATACAAAGAGCTTTAATGTATCTCTCTGATATTTAACAAAATTGTTTAGGATAAAGGAAATTATAGCTTATTTGCTATATATTAAATGCCTTTCTAAAACTTCTGAGCTTTAGGTAGAAATTGCTTAAAATGCTTTATTGAAGTTAAGACTATTTTACAATGTTTTATATTCAAAATATATGTGCTTTATTTAGATTTAAATTTTTTGGATATTCACAAACCCTTTTATTAATATTTTCAGTTTCATGAAAAAAATGTATACATTCAACATTAACAAATGCTTTAATTAAATAACATAATTGCTTATAACTGCATACTAGATAAAACTTTATTATTCTATTAATAAAACTATAAATCACTAATTTTCCATTTGTGACTTCGTTTTCATGTAGGATTGCATCTATTCTGGTGTTGAATTTTCATGTAGTCTTGGAAATTTAAATGATAATTACCAGTACTTCCAATTACTGTTTGTGAGAACTATTTCTTTATTTTGCTTTTGATCGAGACCTTCGTATGATTAATTTGCTTAAAAATAGAGTTCTCTTGAAGAAAAAGTGATTTACAGTTGTAGAAGAGATATGTTTCATGACATAAATATAGTTATTGATAAATAATTTATACTCTAATAGAGGTAAAAAAAAAAAAAATGCATGATATCAGAATTTTGAAACATATATTCATGTATATAAAATTGTATAAAATTCAGTCTGAAGGTGTGCTTGTCAGGAAGTCATAACATTTTTAATGCAAAATTTATTTTTCGAGGGTAGAGGATTGACAAATTTATAGTTTATGGTAATAGCAAGGTCTGCGCTAATGTGTGCTATAAACTTCCATTAGAATCTCTGATTTTTCTCCCTTTCCTAAGTTTTACATTTTAGAATCCACAATTTAGTCTATGTACAAATTAACCTAATCTGGCAGCTTTAGCTGATAAAAATTTTCTACAGTTTTTTTTTTTTCACCTGCAGCTAGAATTAAATGAATGCTGCAGTTTCAAAACTCACTAATGACAGTGAATAAAAAGAAAGTTCAAACATATGTTGCATCATCTGCAAAGATTCCTTGTATTAAAGATTTGACAGTTCTTGAGACCTGGCCAACCTCTATTCATACAATATGGAGACTACAGTATCTGAATGTTGGAGTTTCTGTTTAAAAATTGTTATACATTGTACAATAACCTACTTTGCCGTGCAAAGAAATATATCTCTTCAAATTTTACTATGCAGTTTTTTGTTTGCTTGCTCACTAAAGGCTCATAGAAATCAAAGCCTGCTGTACTAGCTTACTTGTTTATGTTTGACATTGTCAAAAATTGAACCTTATTTTAATACCTGGGGGTACTTCTTTTTTGACAGTGACCGTGGGGAGACGAAGGAGGAGGCAGTGAGAGGAACACTTCATTACCTGTTTGAGGGGGTCATGCCATTCCTACAGGTACAGGATTCTGATACATACAGTCGAACCTCATTATCCTGACATGTGGTCAGAGAAAATCACCTAGGTTAACGAAGCATTCAGAATTAATGAAACAGATATTTTACAATTGATAGCCTATAATATAAATTCTGTTCCTCATGGATTTATGTTTGAAAAGCTAAGCATCCAGATTATTTTTTGCCTTGAATGCATTGAAGTAAAGAAGAGGGCAGCATATTTGTAACATAATTTATATGCTTTATTTATGGATAGGAGTGTAAAATTTCAAATCTCCTTGTAATCCACTTATGCCTTTCTTGTAGATATTCTGTCGATCTTTCTATCAGCCTGATGCCTCTATGTTTCCTCAAGAACCAGAGGAAATGGATAAACTTGCCACAGCATTTAAGGTAAGCTAGGCCATCTGGCAAAAAATATTCCTGACCATAAGTCCGAAAATCAGTATTGCAGGGAAATGTACAGCTTTCTGAATGAGACTTTCTTGGAAAGCACCTGTTTAATTTTTATAAAGAGCAGCAGCACATTTTGATTTTTTTCTGAATCTTTTCCAGGATTTTATGGAGGTGATAGCTCCTTTGATTAGTATAGAACGTCAGATGAAGAACTTGGTGTCCTGTATGACTTCACTATTATCAGCATCGACACTTCCTGTCCGGGTAAGTCAATAAGCTAATGATTAGTGATGGTAACCTTGATGACATAATTCTTCAAATGAAGATTGGGAGAATCTTATTATTTTGAATTGCTCCATGTTTTGCATCAAAAAATTCATATCAATTGTTTCAATGGAGACAAGATCACAGAGTACTTTGTAATCTTTTAATCTTTATTTAAAGAAAGAATTCTTTGGTCAACAATCCTTCCCATCGCTTGTTTTCTGTTTATTGCACCAGTCTTTGAAAGCACCTATAAAGAAAATTTTTTATAAAGCATGCAATTCTCTTAGGATTTCTATAACCACTTATATGTTAAGTTTAAATACTGTAGACGTACTTTTTTTCCACGAGGTCATAATTCCGCGGAATCTCAATTTCTGTTTAATCCGCATGTAGAAAATTACACGGATTTCCTAGACTGTCACTATATGCCTTACATTTATATTAAGAACACTTGGACAATTTTTCACAGAAAATTTGTGACTGCATACATAGCATAAATTAATACCACGCGGAAAAAAAATACTTCTATAGTATATAGAAAGTGATGTAAAACAGCACATTATCAATTATAATGTAAGAATGTGAAAGTTAAGCATTGTGCTCGTTACACATGGGATTCTCAACATATTAGTATTCTTCAGTATTCTTCAAAAGATAAATAGATGACAAGGTATACAGAATATAAACAGATTTTGCTTGTCGGTTTATTGTTAAGTTCTTCATTCCAGCTTAAGATCCTGAAGGTATTGGTTCATTGTCCAAAATGTGGAATTTCTTGTCTTGTGAAGTTATATGTCTTTAAAAAAAGATGTGGATTTTGAAATGATGTTTAGAATTTTTTTTTTTTAAAGTAGTTCAGGTTGTTCTTTTTAAAAAATGTTGATATTACACTGAAGTGCAATGATAAGCTTCATTTATAATGTACTAAACCTTATCTTGTTTTTAACTGGTTTATCATTAACTATTTGAAATTTGAACTGTCTGAAAGTCTAACTAATGTTAATAACAATAAAACTAATGATGCTCTAATATTGACGTTCCCTTACTGTATCTTTTACCATAATATGATCCTAGCTCTATATATAACTTGCAATGTCTCTATAAAACTAATTATACAGCATGGTTTGATGCACAAGTATAACTTTATCAACAAATTAATGTTTTTAAAGGGACTAGAAATAAATATTTTTTTAAAAATTAAAATTTTTCAAAATTTTCAACAGTATATGGAAGAGTTCCAAGAAAAGTATGGAGGAGGAATTGCTTCCCAAGATGTCAGAAGTGATGCCAGAAAGGTAGGAGCATGGATTGTATAAAAAATTACTGTTAAATCACTATTTTCAGGGGGTCAATTTTTTATGGTTTTATGCCAAACTCTTTGTTCGCTGGGATTTGATTTTGTGGATGAAGAATTGTTTAATAGTTCATATGTAACTTTTTACATTTCACAACGAATTTGAATTTTTTGAGTCTCTTCATGCCTTGAAAACAACGAAGATGAAACCACAACGAAAATTCATGCTATCACTGTATACTTAGTCCAGCTTCAAGGATATTCCTTTTCTGATTATTATTGTATTACCTATTTCTGACCATTCTGTCTACAGGCCTATGAGGAATACTATGAGATGGAGGAGGAAATTAACAAACAGCTGAATGTGTTTGCCTGCAATATGAAGGTGGCTTATGGAGGCCCCAACACGGTACAGGCACAAACAGGATTCCCCTCAGATCAGGGTCTGTATTGATTTTGATTTTGGAAGGGGGAAGGGTGGGGGGGGGGGTTAAGTTGAGTACCAGTTTTAATTTGTGAATGTAATGTATCACTATGTAAGTTGTTATAAACCTGAGGACTTGTCTAATTTTCCAGTCTTGTATATGAGGAATATCACTCCAACATATTAATGGTAATCGTTGTTTGTTTGGCTCCATACATTAAATTGAAAATTGAATGGTATGGTGTCTTGTTTACAGATTATTCTGAGCTGGGAGGAGATGAGGAACTACCCCTGGGTCAGGAATTCCAGAAACATTTGAAATGTTTCATTGACCCCACAGTGAAAAACCCAATAAAGAAGTTACGGTTGAGTGAGAAACTCATTAAACAACTCATGTAAGTTTCAAGTACATTCGACTGGAAGTAGAAAACTTTTGTACAAGGTGGAATTCATATATTTCATTTAAGTCTACTTGTCTTACCCGTGTGTCGCGAACTTGTCTAGCTTTTGTCCGTCGTAACATAATTGAAATTGTGACAATTAAAACTCCAGAAGTATAGAATATGCATGCTAGTATGATTCACATAAAAATTATTCAACTTTTTATGCTAAATGAATGCATCCAAGTTATTTCCGTTTTGAATCTTGTAAGTCTAAAGTAAGTCTTAGTATCCAGTAAGGGCCAGGTTACTCGGGTGAGCTCTGTGACCCAGGATCCTCTCGTGTTTGCAGGATTTCCTCTCATTTGTCACGGTCACACTTGAACGAGAAGGAGAAACTGGAACAGGTTGACCTAGATGTGAAGTGTCTGCAGCTCCTTCGCGGTCTGATTCACAACGAGATCGTCAAGCTTCCGGAGGACTGGGAGTCAGAATCATCGTCACACAGGAGGTATTCTGTTTCAGCTCTCGTTTAATGATGTAAAACTTTAATGAAATCCAGATTAATGAGTAGAATAGCATTTTGCTCCTTCTTTTTTTAAAGAAATTCAAATTTTATTCATAGAAAAACTTTAAATGTAGAGTTAAGGTGTTAACCTTTTTAAATTTCAATTGAATTTTCTATGGTAAGATGGTGAGTTAGTTATTTGGAAATTTTGCAGCATACCCATAGTTATCATATGTAATTATACATATATATGTATAGGTATACAGGAATCACCTTGTCCGTCTGTCTGTCTAGCTGTCTGTGCAAACGTGTCCGGTCCATATCTTTCTTACAGAGGAACATTAGAATCTACTACTCCACACAAAGATTGCCCATAGCCCAAGGGTGTGTCCTGACCTTGACCCAAGGTCATTTGGGGAATCTCAAGGTCACTGGAAGAAAAATTTCATAATTCGTGTCCGGTCCATATCTTTCTTATGGATAAACTTGGTAGGTTCTCATTTCACAAAAAGATTGCCCATAGCCCAAGGGTGTGTCATGAACTTGACCCAAGGTCATTTGGGGAAGTTCAAGGTCACTGGAAGAAAAAGTTCATAATTCGTGTCCGGTCCATATCTTTCTTATGGATAAACTTGGTAGGTTCTCATTTCACACAAAGATTGCCCATAGCCCAAGGGTGTGTCCTGACCTTGACCCAAGGTCATTTGGGGAAGTTCAAGGTCACTGGAAGAAAAATTTCATAATTCGTGTCCGGTCCATTTCTTTCTTATGGATAAACTTGGTAGGTTCTCATTTCACACAAAGATTGCCCATAACCCAAGGGTGTGTCATGACCTTGACCCAAGGTCATTTGGGGAAGTTCAAGGTCACTGGAAGAAAAATTTCATAATTCGTGTCCGGTCCATATCTTTCTTATGGATAAACTTGGTAGGTTCTCATTTCACACAAAGATTGCCCATAACCCAAGGGTGTGTCATGACCTTGACCCAAGGTCATTTGGGGAAGTTCAAGGTCACTGGAAGACAAAGTTCATAATTCGTGTCCGGTCCATATCTTTCTTATGGAAAAACTTACTTCTGAATAACCCAGCGGGGGATATTTTTTCCTGTTTGGACAGTTCTAGTTTAAATTTTTTGAATGGATATTTAGATCATAGTAATACATAGTTAATAATTATTATTCATATAAATGCATTGCTTCCATAGAGAAAAATTTATCAGACGGTAGTGTACACATTTTCCTTGTTGTCACAGAAGTCCTTGATCAAGGATCTCTCTTTTTATCGGCATCATTTGATAAAAAAAAAAAATATGAATTCCTTTATTTTGCTAAGCATGCCAAAAAACTCTAGCAATTTTTTTTCTGATTAACATTTCTGATTTACAGCTGATGATTGTTTACATAAAAAGTATTTCAGTCCTGACATGCTCATTTTTAATAAGTGATTTGTTTATAAAATGATAAAAAAGCATGTTATGTGTTTATCTTTTAATGAATGAATCTCAATTTCTTAAATTTTAGTAAAAAGTAGTTGAATAGTTATTACTTTGATGCATTGTCATTGTGCAATTATTTTTTCTGTTTAATTGGAATTCCTGTTGTAATTCATTAGTGTCTTAAAAATAGGTAGTAAAAGATGAGAAAGGAGATTTTTTTTTATATCATGATTTGTAAAGTACAACTACAATTTGTTTACTAGTAAAAAACTAATGCTGTAAACCAACCTCTTTCCACGACAACTTTATTTCGCGATTTACCAGGGATAAACTAGATTGCAGCGATTAATTTTCACGATCAAGCACTTTTGGATCTGTTGTTATTAGACACATACACTTTAAGGACTGGTTTGCAGCAAGAAATATTCACAATGACGAGCCTCTCGCGAACTTCGTGAAAATTTCTCGCACATGAATAAAAGTTGGTTTACAGTAATCCCCAATATTTTCCATCAATTAAATTATAAAATTCACTTAGAAATTTAGTTCAATGAATGGATTATAACTTGTTGTAAAGTTCTCTGGTAGAACAGTTCATCAGCTTTCCTATATGAAGTTTGATTTTGGACTGTCATAATATTTTAAAGCTTTTATCAGATTTTTAAATACATTTATGAAAATTTTCTCTTCATTTTCATAATTATGTAAATGTGCATAAAATACTTGTGAATTATATGTTAATTATTTTTGGGATATTATTTCCAGGCAATTAAAAGCCATAGAGGATGTACAGGATGCCCTGAACCACTTCAATGTGGTGACCAGCACGCTGGATCACTTGAACAGTTCACAGGATAGTGTAGTTCGCGAAACTCTTGCCTTTTTAGCCAGTCTGCTGTTCAACGGGAATGAAAATGTTCAGGTACATATTATAATGTTATATCTTACTGTTATACGGAAATGAAATGTTCAGGTAAACATTATAATGTTAAAGCTTTTTTCTAAAGAATCTATAGAAATTCAATAACAATGTAGATGAATATTGAAGGAGTCTGTTTTTGCAGATGGAAAAATTAAGTATTTTAATTATAGATATCTTTAGATTTATACTATTTATATCGGCTTTTTGGGAGAATATTTCATATACATTATGATTTTTTGCGGTTACAGAACAGTCTTATAGCTTACTTCACTGGCACGAGAGAGGAGACATTCTTCTTTGCCATCAAGAACCGTATACACATGTCTGCCCTCGCTACCAGAGAAAAGTAGGTTTAAAATGAGAAAAAATAAAGCAACCATGTAGGTTACATATATCAGTACTGTAAAGAAAAAATGACATTCAGATTATTGTAAAGATTATTTAATTTCGAAAAGTTTTGATTTTATGCGAAGTGACTATTATAGATAATTATTTTGGAAATGATTTTAAGATTATCTTTCCATTTTGTATCAGTTTGATATGTGGACAAAAAATATTACTGTAAAATGTTCAAATTTTACAATGATACACATTCCAGGCGACTTCTACATGCCATGCATCAAGCCAAGGTGGAGGAAGCTGTACAACAAGCCAAGGCCCTCAGAAAAGCCATGGAAACCGGCAAAATTGCTCAGTCGGTCAGTTCCACAATTAAAACTGGCAGAAATAGTCCTCATTAAATTATTACACATTGTCAATTAGAAATGATGTACTATCTATAGAATAATTATTGGGTTTTTTTCTTTTCATTTGAATAATGTATTGTTATTTTTGTATATTATTCCATGAGTGGTATTAAAACATATTATAATTAAATTGTGAGTTGATTCTATTCCTCAGGAAATCATGAAGGCTAATCAGCTGGGATCCATGTTATCAATGGCCAAGAGATCCATGGCAAATCTTAAGGTGAGAGTATAAAGATAAGTCAGAAGGTCAATGACTAATTTCAAAGTAAGAGTCGGGAAATAAATGTCATTCTCATGATATGACAAAGGTCAAAAGGTTATTGGAAAATAATGACAGAAATCATATCAGTGGTCATTTTCAAAGGACATTTAAATCAATTGTCCATTTAGCTTTTATATAGCTTGAATAGTAAATCCATTTCACAGTTCAATATTTTATTTTGAAAGGCTGGATCCAACCCTGGCTCAAGGATGGGATCCAGGTCCAAATTAGGATCCCAGTCAAAGCTCGGTAAAGGTAAATCTACCCTGGGCAGTGGCCTCCTTCAACAGAACATCATGATGAATGGAGTCAACAAATCTAGTTTACAGCTGAATGGCTTTGCCAACCCTAAGTCAAAGGTCGCACCCATGGACAACCCGGAGGTCGTCATAGAGGTGGGTTAGACTCAGAAACCACTGATTCCTTAGAAATTTGCTAGAAAATTCAATATTTTAATCTATTCAATTTATTGACACTTTATATTATACACAAAAATGGATTAAACAAGTTTACCCTAACTAGCTGTGTAAAGGAAAAAGACTACATTAATTGTGATGATGTCAGATTTTTCTATATACTGTATATCGTGTCTTACTGTTTCTGAGTAGAATGTAGATGAGGAGGAACTTAAGGAACTGATGGATGCAGCAATGAGCAGTTCTGGTGAACTCGAGTTCAAAGATGATGGCTACATAGAGCTGGTGCTGAGGATTCTTGGATTGATGTGTGACAACCAGCATGATGAAATCCAGGTAGAGTAGGTTGGGGGGGGGGGGGGTTAGATCACCAGAAGTACAGGCTTAGACAAACTAAAATAGAACAAAAATTGATGATGTTCCTACTATTGATCTTTCATTTTTTTATGTAGAATTACCTGCGGGAGCAACCGGACAACATCAAATCTGTAAACCTGGTGGGAGAGACCACAAAGTTCCTGAACATCCTCTACTCTAACATCAGTGACAAGTCCATGCCACTCGTCGTCCAGCTGTTTGACACACTGGTGGAATTCACCTCTGTAAGCTGTCAAGACATTGGCTTAGAACAGTCAGCTAGTCTTGGCTGAGAAATTTTAATTTAGAAAGTGATTTTGTACAATTATTTACAACTTGAATAAACAGGAGGTATTTGCAGATCTTAGCAATTATGGATAATTTTTTACTCTTTCTAATGAACTGTATTTGTTAAATTAACTTTTTAAATTATTTAATATTGCAGTGATGTGGTTCTGATTTTTAGTAACTAAGTTCTGTGTTGTGTTTCCAGGGTAACCAGAAGAACCAGGCTATTGTGTTTGACAACAAGGTGTGTGACTACATCAACCACATCCTGAGGGTGGGACACTTCCACAACTGTGGCATCAAAGAGGTCAGATGTTTAAAATTTCAAATTGTGTAGTTTTCATCGGTCAATACTTGAATAAGATGAAAAAGTTGAGAAATAAAATTTGGTAAATTCAGAAGGAAAGATGAATCCACTGAAATCATTTAATCATTTGGATTTTCCCCCCAGGAATGTCTTTGAAATTGAATTTACTTTCTTAAATTGGGAAATAATTAATTTTGACAGGAATACGTGCTGAAGAAATCTATAGCCACATTAATCCGATCACTAACTGAGGAGAATCCGCCGCCAGAGGAGGAAGATACCTTACTGGCCAAGGTGGGTTACATTATCTGAGTAGTTTTGTTTTACAAATATTAATAGAACAAAATATGATATTTCATTAATTAACAAAAAATTCAACATAGTAGCTCAAAAGAAATGTATTTGGCATGTAATAATTCATAATATATATTGTTTTGAAATAAAGGCATGTTTGTATGATTAACATTATTTGTAATATTGTATGTTGATTATAAGCATGTGACTATATATTTTTAAGAAATATTTATTTAATTTCATGCATGTTAATTTACATATGAAAAGTAATTAAGATATCCTGGAGAAAATTACAGCCTAGACTCAGAATTGGATACCACATATTTTTCTTTACAAGCAAAAAGCACTGAGTGATTTCAGACTAAATATATTTGAATTTTATATACAGATATAATTTGTTAATCTAATTTGTTTTAAACAATTATTCTTACTAGCAAGAGAAAAAAGAGGAGAGATATCCCTCAGTGGTAATCAACAGCATTTAAACATTGTGGAAAATTTATATATCGTACACTTGTGGTTCATAGGTTGTGTGTATGATATGGTTTGGTGTCAGCAATATGCACCTCAAAAAAATAAATAAAAACTAAAAATAAAAACTTTAAAATGTAGTTTTGATATTGGACAAAAAGAGATAAGTTCAACACAAATCAAAGGCAAGATTAAAGAAAAAATTGTGAATTTTTAAGTTTGCAAAGTTCTTTCTGCATGGCTTGATAAAAAAAAAATTCATAAAATCTGGTCAGTTTATTTTTCATAGATATGACCTGTCCTTTTTTTAATGTTGTACAGTGTAGCTGTTATTATGCCCCCTTCGAAGAAGGATGGGTATATTGCTTTGCTGCTGTCTATCAGTCGGTCTTTATGTTGGGACCACCAACAGTTTCTATTCATTTTCTTTGCAGAAGTTGCACATTACTAATTAAAAATGAGATTTGTAAATTGATTTATCATAAGACTATCTAGGTCAAGTTTTGTTTTGGGTGTGGTTGAGCAATTTTTGTCAGAGTTATGCCCCTTGGAATTCAAAAAATTTAATGCCCAAGAGAAAAGGGGGGGGGCATAAGTGTTTCACAAACATACAGTAAAACTTGTTTAATACAAACACAGATATTATGAATTAGTTTACGGACATAGCGAAGTTATCTTGGATTTCCAGCTATATATTGATAAATTCCTAACTTATACGGATATAACAAATTACGGGTATAGCAAAGTAATTTCTGAGGTCCTAGTGACTTCACTATAACCAAGTTTTACTGTATCTTGTTTGTTTTTGTTTTAAATGTGTTCCTGTCATTTCATCTCATAAGACAAGTTTCTTCAAGTTGTAAAGATATGTAGATTAAAATTTAGACTTGAGGCCTATTAAATGTATTAACTTTATTTTCCAGAGAAAAGAAAATATACAAGTTAAGAATAAAGATTTAACTTTTCATATCAAATTGTTTTCCCATCACCATTGCCTCCAAAATAAATAGAGTTTGTATGCTTAGCCTAACAAAATAATAACAATGTTCAATGTAAAGTTGACTGGGTTTTAATACTTGATATTATCTTGCATGGAAAGGCTGAAATAATGAAAGGGCCAGCCAGTGTGGTAAGAAATCTATGTCTAGAGCTAATTGAATCTTCGTCTTGTTGTTTAGTTTGCTCTGTTGCATGGATGTATTGATATTTTTAATACATTGGAGTAAAATGTGAACTGACATATTCTCCGAAGCATACCTGACTGTAAAATATAGAAAATGAATTATAAAATAAATTCTACAGAAAAGAAAATCAAAACTTCAAATTTGTGGGGATGGGGATGAATTTCAGTTTAAGTTTTGACCAGTCAAGTATGTTGTTCTGGTGCCCCTCCCCAATGCCCCTCAGAACAGGAGAATTTGTTCAGTGGTAGACTCTGTCGTAGCTGTGATTGTATGTTGTATGAAGCATGTATGTTGTCATGTAATGTGTCTGTAATAACAGATGCCCATGCATAGAGAAGCCACAATTATTCTCCGTCCTAAGGAGGTAAGATATGAAATCTTGACCACTCCCACAATACCCTCTCTGCACCACCCCTATAGATTTATTATTTTTCTTCTGCACAATTAATAGGTCTGTTCCTCTATATTTTCCATGCTAGTAACCTTTTTAGTGCAACCCAATTTTCCCTTTGTCTATTCGATCAATTCTATGTGTCTTCAGTAAAACTATACATAAGAGAGTATATCTAGATTTGACTTAACAACTATATATGTAACTGCCAAAAATATCTTTTGATATTATTACTTTTAAGAATATCTCTCGCTTGATAGTGTCTACTTTTTGAAATTTTACATCTATTTTAGACCTGGAAATTTACTTACTGTAAAATCACTGATTTTTATGAATCAACTTTTGTGGTTTTAAGATTGATATATAATTTTGTGGTTAAAGGAGAAACGTTGCTGCAGTATGAAATTTTTACATTGAAATATATAGAACAAATCTTTAAAAATCTTCTTCTCAAGAACCACTGGGCCAGGAAAGCTGAAACTTATGTGGGAGCATCCTTGAATTTCATTTCATATAAAGGGAATATAAACTTGTGAGCCTCTACATGCCACAAAAGCCATGAAAATTGACCACCATCCCCCTCTCCTCCAAAATCATGATTTTACAGTACATGTATTTGCTTATGGTAAGCTTTCTTTTCATGATATCTTCAATCCAAAAGTGGATACTCTGCTAATTTGCTTTGTCTATCCAAATTCTTGTTGGATATCTCCAACAAACTATAGTAATGGTTTCCTTCATTGGTAGCATTAATTTCTCCTTCATGTTAACTTCTTCTTCCCATTGGTCTTGTATTCAACTTTTTCATAGACTAACAGGTACTAGAATTGAAATTTTTTGTAAGCAACTACAACTGCGTGCTGAAGTTCATAGGGTAAATAAAATAATTTGAAGTTACTATTGTTTTATAAGTTTTTTTTTATATAATTACATTGTTAAGATAGTATATTGCTTTTGTTGTTTTGCATTTCATACCTATTTTGACTTTCTGCTGTGGCTTTATTATAATTAATATATATGGTATAGAAACTAGATCATATTTTCTTTATTTATGAAAAGTTACAAAATCAAACTGATGAAAAATTTTCTGTAAAATATATACATGTAAAACAAATGTGTACCTATAAAGAGACAATCAAAAGATATTTAACATTTATTGTTAAATGACAAAATTTTGGTAAAAGATCAATTTATATAAAAGAAAAAAACAGGTTGTTATGGTGATATTTTGTTTGACAGGAAGTGATGGAGTACCTGGACGCTGATCTGTGTGTGATGACGATGACAGAGGCATACCAACAACTGATGGTAAGATATCACAGTGTTATTACTGGTGTAGGTCATATAACGACTTAGTGATATACAAGGGTGGATATCTCAATGTTCTGATATATCTGATGTAGGTCATCAAATGACTTAGTGATATACAAGGGTGTATATATCTGGTGTAGGTCATATAACGACTTAGTGATATACAAGGGTGGATATTTCAATGTTCTGTCATATCTTGTGTAGGTCATATAACGACAGTGATATACAAGGGTGGATATCTCAATGTTCTGTCATATCTGGTGTAGGTCATATAACGACTTGGTGATATACAAGGGTGGATATCTCAATGTTCTGTTATATCTGGTGTAGGTCATATAACGACTTAGTGATACAGAAGGGGGTGGGGCAGAAAATGTAGGAAAATAATGATATGCATAACATGGGAAAGAGGTTGTAGGTTAATTTAATCTTAGGCAATTCTAAGAAGTAGTATATAAATTTAGGACATTATCATAGCTAGTATAGATTAGGCTGTTTAGTAATGTAAATTAGTTGACTTACAGGCAAGAGAGGGCTGAAGAAAAAAATTATAGAGTGCATTAATTTTTACAGAGGGTATGAGTGATATGTTATAACATCTCTGATCATTCATTATATGAACAGAAGTAGTATTCACTGAATCTTGAGTGAGGTCTTGTTGCACTGCACAGGAAAGGGAGGAATATTAAATATGTAGCCGCTATTTTCATGCATTACAGTCCTTGTACTTTTATGTAAACATTACCTATATTATATCTAACACCTTAAGATGTAAACTTTGTGATACAGTCTCTGTATGATGTGTATTCTATCATTCACTATTCCTGAATATTTTGCACCTATAGGAGATGGCCAGATCACCAGCAAACAAGGTATAGGACTAAAGTTGTGTGCTTTAATATACTAATGTGGTGTCAGTGTACTAGTCCCATAGGACTGTCATGGGTACCCGAAATGACCCGGAACTGCAGAACAATTAATTCGGGTCAGGTTCGGTTCTGTTTTTCCGAAACCCGGTTTTATTCCAATTTGTACAATAGAGAAGGTTTTACGTCTAAAACAAAAGGTTCATTAGTATACATGTATTACCATTAAAAACGGTAATAATGTGAAATGAATCATTTGATTCAATTATTTTCCTAGTTATTTAAACCAGTCGTTATGTTTCTGTTTCTTAGATTTTAAAAAAATATATTTATTTTTTTTGTTGAATATAATTCAAATTATGAGTTTTTAATCTATTATAAACCCGAACAAAAAAACCCAAAACGAAACCTAAAAAATTTAGAACCGATTCGAAAAATTATGGAACCGTGACAGCCCTATAGTCCCAGTCTAACCCTATAAGAACTGATTGTTTTTATTGCAGTATTTTTTTCAGGTTTCCGTATTTATGTCTGTATACTAGCTGCTTGGTCTTAATATTTTTGCCAAGTTCAAATAACGGGGCATGCAAATAATTGAGAAATGAATGCATGTAATACATATTTTGAATGTATTATTATATATTAAGGTCAGACGAGACGTTCCTCAAAATATGTTTTGTATATTTCGTAATGTATGAAAAATATTCAAAATTTTAATAACATTCTGATTTCTAAACCAGTTTCTAAACATTTTTAAAAAATCCAAACACTTAAACATTTGTGCTTGGAAATTTGTTTTTCTTCCCCAAAGGATTATATAAGAAAAACTACCCCTGGTATCTTGCAGAAATGCCTGGTAAGGTACCTCTATTTTTTGTGTGTAAACATGTTTTAGTAGCAATACTTCAATGACAAACTCTTAGAAAAATTTATCTATTATTAAGGAACGTCTCGTCTGTCCTTAATGTATTGTCATCGCACAATAAGTTGAAGGGTGGGGGGTTGGATTGATAAGTTTGCTTTAAAAGCTTAGAGGAAGAAGCATTTAAGTCCTTTATATTCTTTACAAAATAGTCCTATGTTTAAACTTATGAGATAAAGGCATTATGTTGGGTCAAGAATTTTTCTATGCTTTAATTATTACATATTTTCCCCCACGTAGAATGTTCGTTATAAGTGTCAGTTTTTCAATATACAGGTATAATATTGTGTATATTTGTTTTTGTATGGCAAAGTGTCTTTTCAGCTTTTAGTAACATGCATAGATATAATATAACCTTAATAGATGTCACTTTCTTAATGTACTAAAGATTGACCATTCTGAGCTTGTGAATGCTGGAGATGTTGCATTGCTGCTTAACTTTTGTTATTTTTATATCTATATTAGATATGTAAGTCATACACCAAGATGATTGTATACATTTATATCCCTTGTATAACTTTTCCATAAAAATATTTTTTTTTTGGCTGATCTGTTCAGATTGCTTGCTACGTAGTCTATTAATGTAGAAATAACAGTCTGCATCATGTCAAATGTTCAGGTTGTACTGAGTATCGAATGCTTTATAAAGGAATAAATTCATCCATTTTAATTTATTTTTATACAAACAGCAAAAAGTAAGTATCCGTATTGTGTCAATCAAAGAAGTGTTGAGGTGTTATTTTGCAGGTGTAATCCATGTTCTGGTTTCTCTAAGTAATGGAATGTCAATTTTAAAAAATTGTTTTTAATGTGATCTGTTGTGCATGTGTTCAAATCTGAATTTAACATTGTGTTGAGATGGGTTTAGAATAGTAGTACCTGTTGTCTATAGGGACCTCTTAATATTGCATGTCTAGTTCTAGCCATTTGTCGCCGTGAAGTACAAGAGAATCAGCTATAAAAAAAACTACTGATCTGAATTAATGGATAATAACTTCAGAGATAGAAAGTTGACATATTTCCTTGAGCTTGACTGAATTACAAATAAAAATGGTTGATTCATTATTAATTAATTGTGTCTCTATTCTCTAAGTAGATAGGGAATCAATGTTGTTGTATACAGGCATTTTTTTTTCTTTTCAAAAAGTAGCAGTGTTTACAGTGTTGGAGAAAGAAAGCATGATTTTAGAAATGTTTGTTATAGTGGAAAATATATATGACAGTCATATGAATACTCTTAATGTTTGTCCAGTTAGCATGGCAGATTTATCAAGGAAAGTCACAGTGTCATTTGCATGTTTCTTGCAAATGCCAGGTGTTACTTAATTGCAACAGAACTTGAATCAGTACTGTATCTCTAATGTTGTCATCTGGAATATTGTGTGTTTGACTGGGTAAGAGTGCAAAATGAACATCCATTTTGTCAAATCTGAGAACCAGACTGTCTTCTCTACCTCAGACGGCAATAGCTTTGTTCGAAATTTTAACAAAATGCATTTTTCTGGAAAACCCAGATAGAAATGTTTTCATTATACTTTTAATGTAACTCTTGATCACCTTAGATGATATTAATGGCTTGTTTTGGATGATCCTTCCTTAGTGAAGGATTATTTAAATAAATGCAAATGAAGAGTGACATATTTATATAATAGTGTTGCATTATGCATGTACTATGCCTAAATAGTAGGCAGGGTTTGACACATGGTGCACGAGCCGTTGAGGCGAGTGCACTATGTGTCAAACCCTGCCTACTATTTAGGCATAGTACATGCATAATGCAACACTATTGTTATTATTATGCTGACTGTTGTAACTATTTATGCGGCAATCTATTTGACTTTTTCCTGAAAATATCGGTGCTTAAACAGCGCACTTGCAAGTACTCATTCAAAATATTCATGCTAAAATTGTTTGCATGCTTAGTTATTTTGGTTACTAGTATTTTCTCTAAATAAGTCGGGATCTTCTGTCCCAAAGAAACACATCTTTATTTTCTGTTTTGTTCGTAAGCTTTATTTGTTTGCAGACGTCGATTCTCATTGATAATTTTCTTTACATCCTTCAATCAAGCGTCATATAAAAAAGCGTTTTAATGACCCTATAAAATCAGTTCATCTAACGAACTGTATGTAATTAGTTTTAAAGTTTGTTGTACACATTAATTTAAAGTTCCTTAGAATAATATAACTTCAAATAATATTTGTCTATTTTCTCCTTCTTTTGTCAATTGTATAAATTAAGTTTATATATTTAATAAATTTCTACTAATCAGTGATTGTCTCTATGGCGTAGTCGATAAGGCATCGGACTGACAATCTCATGGTCGTGAGTTCGATCCCCGACATGTGCATGGAAGAATTTTATTCAGTAAATAAAGCCGTGCACTATTTCGGCATAGTATGCTTACGCTATATAAATCCTTAGACCACTATGCGAGAATAGTAGGGTATGGGTTATATAGAGACAAACTGACAGGAAGCATAATAATATGTCATAGCATCTTACATAATCTCACAGACAGGTTCTAAAAACATTTTTTTTTAACCTGTTCAGTAAAAACATATTGAATGCTCAGTAAAAACATAGAGAGAAATGTGTGTATGTGGAACAAGATAATTTTAAAATTCCCAATGGCTGGGGATGTTCAACTTTTTAAAATCTGTTTTTGATCTGTGTACATTTTCCCGAAGAAAATTAACATCAGATAACACTTTTTTTTTTAATTTCATTTTAATTTTTTAATTTTAGTTGTTAATTCAGTTTGATTTAATTTAATTGCATGTTATTTCCTGTGATTTGGTGAGATGTTAATTTAACATATAACTTAGATTTTATTTAACTTAAATTTATATTTGTTTAGTAATTTTATTTGAAATTGACCATTTAAACTACTGTCAAAATATGTTACAAATGAAATTATAATGAATATGCTATATGTTTTTTACACAAGCAATTTTTTTTTTAAATTAAATTGGCTGCTGATATTAATACCATTTAATTTTCTATTCTTTACATCTTTTTTTAAGATTTGATTTTAGTTTTTGTTTAGAAAATGTCTTATTTTTTTGTTTTATTTATTATTATTTTCAAGATTTCAAGACAAACAATGCTGGGATATTTTTATTTTAAATTGAGCATCTATTGAAATTCAGTTTGATACATTCTGTCATTTTATTATTTGTTTGTTTTACAGAAGAGAGACCCCGAGTTTGATGAGCTGTACAGTTTGATTCAGGATACAGGGTTCTCTTTTTACCACATTCTCTGTCGTAAAATGGATCTAGAAGACGACACCAAAAAGATGAGTAAGTAACGGAGCATCCTCACAATGTCAAGGGTTTGTGATTTCTCGAACTCCATCCTCACAATGTCAAGGGTTTGTGATTTGGTAACGCAGCAATCTGAATCTTACTGGCGTTTGACTCCGTTCTGTAGTAGTGTACAAAGTATTGAATTTACACATAAAATGAATTGAGAAATCATAGTGTTATTGGCATGATACTTTAGAGATGTACAAATTCAGATTTTGATAGAATGAAGCAATGTTAGTCTTACTGGTGTTTGATTAAATGCCTAGGTTGTATTTACAGTATTGATAGACTTAGTGAATAAGAATTAATTCAGTTCACTGACAAATGATCAGGACGGATCAATAAAATAAAAAAAAAATTATATAGTTAACCTTCAGAAATGAACACTAAAATGCGAGAAACATTTTTGTTTTGAAATTGAATCAGTACATGTTGGGATCTATACATGCACCACTGATGGGCAATGAACATTAAAGACAGCAAATTCTATTTCATTTATAAGGGTACTTACTTGGTTTACCAAGGAAAGGTAGGCAAAGCACACAACTGCGATCTCATCTCTCTAATCCCTCTACAACTTGACAAACTTTTGAATGTCTGGAAAAAAATTAATGTAGATCTATAGATATGAAGTTGTTCAATTTTCTGTTTAGTTTAAGGGTTTTGTGAAACATACTCTTTTGATTTTTTTTTTTTTGGTAAACTTAATCGACAACATTTCTGGATAAACTGTACAATATGAGCTTTTGTTGAGTGTATTAAGTATTGTACTAGTGTTGTTGCTTATGCTTGTTGTAAGATTGCCCTGTACAGAAGTTCTCCCAGATGGGAGGGGGGGGATTCTTTACAAATACTTCCCTGTCAGCTCAGCTGAACTTGGATGTCAAGGAAATGTACATGTATGAACTGATTAATAGGAATAGGATAGATTTTAATTTCGGAATTAATTAATAGATTGTTATCAGAATTGCATTAATTAAATGTCAGTTGGATGAAACTCGTGGGATGGATAGCCATTATTTAGATAAAAAATATTCAATATGTAAATGTTCCTCAATCCTTTTAAAATCATAAAATGATTGACACTTAGATTTATTCATTTATACTAGCTCCTCTTCTCATTTCAAGCATTTTTTCATAAGTGGCACACAAAAGGTTATTGACAGTGTTAATATGTGGAAATTCAATGTTTTTCAAGGTGAGATAAAAAACAGAAAGATGAAGGATTTTGGGGAATTGCATTTTTAAAATTCAATAAATTATGATCAAAATGATACATATTGGAGGGGGGGGGTATAAAATACATATTTAAAATGTAATCTGGTCTAGTGTCTGTAGCTTCCTTTGTGCATTTTTTCTTCATTTTGCAATATTGAAATATATTTTTTTCTTTCATACATTGTTTATATAATGCAAGTACAACTATTGCATTATATCCATGTATATTTTTTTCAATCTCAGATCTTGTTAAGAACGAGATGCAGAGCATGGCCTGGGACTTCTTCGCAGACAGCACGATGTCCATTGAAGTTATCAAGGACGATAGTCTTCAGAAGATTTACTTCAGAGTCAAGGACAGGGTGAGTGTCTTGTCAAGGTCATTAGAAAAAGGTCAAAAGTTCCTGTGTGATGAATTAATAGAGCCTGATACATCAGGCATCATTAAACTGTTAAAAACAGCCCAGTTTATATAAAGTGCATTTGAATTGCCTTTGTATACTTGATTATTTGCAGTCTAACATTGAGAAAATCCGTAAAATTTCAGAATGTTTTGAGGGAGGAGATTAAGGAGAAGTTTAAGTATGAGGTAGACAGGACGACTCCGAGCAATAAAATACGAGATTTCATGGACTGGGCTAGTGACATCATTCAAGACATCAAATACCAACGCAAAGTTCACGCAAACAAAATCGGCAGAATGCTGGTCAAATTATGGTAGGGAGACGAGCTTTTGATATTTAGACAGGATCATTGATAATTTATTTAATAATTAATAAAGAACTATATGCGGTATATTGCATATATTTGCCCCCACAAAAGTCAGATTTTGAAAACTTCCTGAAATGTGCTGAATTCAATAAATTGTATGAGAAATATAAATTAACAGAAAGTATTATAGTGTCAAAGCAGTGTATTCACAATTTTTGTTTTTATGACGTCACAAACTAGTCCGATTTTATATCCTTTTTCAGAAAGAGGACAAAATGGACAAAATTTCAACAATTTTAGCTTTAAAATTTATAGAGCGCAAGTTTGTTCAGGAACAATATTGACATATTTCATTGATATTATCATTCTACACATTATATCAAAATACTGATCCTGAACACACATGCGCTCGGTGACTTTTACTCAAAATATCGACGAAATATGTACATTTTTCTGTAAAATTCATAAAAAACTGAAATTTACGTCATGTTTGTGACGTCATTATGTACATATGGCGTCATTACTTATGAAAATATTCAGTGCTTTGAAGTCAGCATATACTCCGCTGTTTAAGAACTTAATTAAATATATCTCCATCAAAGTTTGATTTGGGGGGCAAATATTGGTTATTACCGAATAAAGTTCTTTTGAATTTTGACAGGATCCTTGTGAACTACATTGTAGTGTTTCTGAGTTTTCTGAGTAATTCATAAATTTTGCCTTTTGACAGGATCCCCATGAACTACATTGTGGTGTTTCTGAGTTTTGTCATCAGTTGTGTCATCATGGTGACCTGGACTGACCCCAAACTGACAGATGGGTCATCTGACACTGGAAGGTAAAACAGACTCATAAAATAAAACATTGAAAATAGTCTTCTATAGGCTCTCATAGTCTGGCTTATAGAAGTTAAAACAGATTGGGGGAGGGTGATTAGATGTGATTATTACATGTATTTACTGTAAACGTACTTTTTTCCACGGGGTCATAATTCCGCGGAATCTTAAGTTCTGTTTAATCCGTGGGTAGAAAATTACGCGGATTTCATAGACTGTCATTACATGCCTTATATTTATATTAAGTGCGCTTGGACAAAATCCGCGGGAAATTTGTGACCGCGTACATAGCGTAAATTAATACTACGCGGAAAAATGTACTTCTACAGTAATTCTATGAAAAATATGACTATTTGCTTGTACTCAGATCTGTATTCATTAAAACGAACTTTGTTCTGTGCACGACAAAATGTTTTACTGTGTGAGAATTTGTATCAAATGTGTAAAATTAGTCAAAAGTTACTCACAGTGATTGGAAATAAGTATAAAGTGTAGGAATAGGACAATTTTGTAATCGAACGTGATAAATTTGAAACACTGACTCAGATATTTTTTTTCTTCTGTACATAGAAAACTGTAGACCTCTAGTCTTACCCTTTTATCTGTTTATTACAGTGCCAAGCCTGAGACGTTCAGTAACTACGAACCTTTTCTGTACACGTTTGGGGGTATACACAATGTCCTCAGTCTCTGTATCCTCATCACATTTCTAGTCTCCAACAACCCCACCTTCCCGCCCTACACCTGGATACAGAGCAAACTGTAAGTACCAGAAGAAATCTCGAAAATGTCTGCAGCATTATTAAAATCCATCCATCACAAGACCATTTTCAAAGCTTCAATCGTCACATTACTGAAAATGTTCAGGTTTAGAAGCACTGAAATACCGTATAAGTGGAAATTTTAGCGAGACGCAAATTTAGCGATTTGTCCTTAAAAATGGGTGTTTTATTTTTAGCCATAAGTAATTTTAGTGATTTTAAAATGCTAACTTAAGAAGCTATTACAAGTAAACGCGATTAATTATTAGCGATATTCAATTTTAGCAATCTCAACACCCTCGGCAATAATGCCAAAATTAAATCCTCGCTAAAAATTCTGCTTATGCGATATTATGGCCACTGCTCAATTGATTTGAACATGCTTATACATGTATGATAAATCTCATTAAATGTCAAAAATTCATAAATAAATGTAAATGGAATATTAGTGAATAATTTACAGGTAATCAGTAATGTTAAAATTCTATAGTAATGACAGTTAATGAGTTATACAAAATGGCCTTAACCTTGCTTCAAATGAAAAATGGCAAGAAATATGGATTCCCAAAATTTGCTGGTACACTTTCGCATTTAGTTGAATACATATATTAGTGCTGTAAAGATTTTAAGTTGGATTTTGTGAAAGTAGACCATAAATATTTTGTCCAAGTTCAGTCACTTTTCTCACTAATATAGAAGATTTTTTTTAAATTAAATTAAAAAATTGCAAAAAAGATGTAAGATCAATACATATGCTAATAAGTATTTAAAATATCAGAATTTACATAATCAAATTTTAAAATAAAGATTTAATTGCTTTGTTTCAGAAAGAGGAGGTTTGTTTTTTATCCAAAGTATCAAAAAGGCTTATAAAACTAGATTATTTACCTATCAAAGGATATATTTAACATGCAGTTGGTGAATGGGGGAAAAAGATTTTTATATTTTTTTTTCTATTATAATTTCATAAATGATTTAATACTATGGAAATAGAGCTTTTTTCTGGAAATGGAAGCGAAGTTTTCTTATGCATATATTCAATATCTAGGTAGTGTAACATATCTATATCTTTGACTCTAAACTGGAGATGTTTAATCACTTTTTATGGAAACATTTTTAATTCATCAATATCAATCATTTTGTCTTTTGCTTTAGTGTTTATATCAGAGAATTTTCTTTTCTAGTTTACATCAATTAGTAGATGTAAACCTGCATTCATAAGCCACATCAGGTTTAATTTAACTTCAGCTTCTAAGTTAAATTAAGCAAGTTTTAAAAAAATGATGGTATAGAATTATGAGGAATTATTTCTTGCTTGCTTTAATTTAATAAACTATAGCACATTTTCCTGTACTTCCAGTTCATACTCTTTAATGAACTGCTCTTGCTTTGATAATACAGTGGACCTTCAGATATCCGGACGCCAGATAACCGGATGCTTCAGTATCCGGACGATTTTTCATCGGAACGGATTTTTTAAAATGCTATTTTGTCGTGTTAAACTGGTGATTCAGGTATCCGGACGCTTCACATATCCGGACAAATTGACTGGGAACCAAAGCGTCCGGATAAATGAGGGTCCACTGTATCTTAAGAAGCTATTCTCTGAAAAATTAAAAGTTCCTAAACTTTAAAAACACTCAACAAATTTACAGTTCTGTACCCCAGGATAAAAAGCATGTGTTATTCCTTTCAGAACTTCATCATTTGTCATATTATTGATGTTTCACTGTTTTACAGAGACTGTTACTAGAAAACAATACGCTCCTTACTGCAATGAAGAACAAAGGCTCCTATATATGAATGTTCTTGTTGTTGTTTACAGAACATCCAAAGATGATGAAAATGATTTCCGATCCTGGCATGAGAAGAAGACGGGGCGTTCACACTTAGAGATCGAAATCTACAATTTCAAAACTATTTATTACTTTGTAAGTACTTGAAATTTGGAGGAAGAAAAGCTTTCCTAAACCAAGGGCTCTAATGGAATTTTTTGATCAATAAGTGGCTCTCTAGTTTTTTTTTCAATTGTTTTGTAGGGAACAGACTGAGTAAATCATATTTATATACTGTAAAATCCTATATATATGCAAGGAATTCATGCATAAATTATATATTGGTTACTTTTGACTGAACTAATTTGTAGTAATAGACCAATTTTCAATTATATACTATGAAAATCAAATACATGTACATGATGTAATATTGAATAACTGCAGATCTGATGTCTTTATTTTTTCCTTAGATCTTCTTTGCGTGTTCGGTTTTGGGTACAGTTTTCTATGGATACTTTTTTGCCTTCCATCTTCTCCACATGGCAGAGTTGAATCAGTTACTAAAGAGAGTCATCGCCGCAGTAACTACCAATGGTAAGGTAGCATGAGAATATCACTGCCGCTTTTAATTTTGTTTTGGTCCTTAATTTAAAAAAAGTGTTCAGTGGAAATCGGCTTCTCCTTCTGTCTGTCAAGATGATAACTGTAGTGTCTTTTGAGTGTCTATTGAACATTATATACAGACTTAATGACTGTCTTCTTTGGAAGATGGTATACAGAGCTCAAGTAATTTACAGTATATAAAAGCTGTGTATGTCTACTTACTTAATTATCCATGAAATAGCAGTCACAGATTGCAAATTATTTACTACTGTAAACGTGGAAATTTTGACGATGTGCTAATTTTGACTATATTGACGATTTTACTTTTCTCGTCAAAATTTACACTCGTCAAACTTAACATCATATATATAGCGTCATACAGACATTGACCATTGTGCAACAATAACGCTTAGTTTTCTCGGCTTTCCTCTATTAAAACTAGATCAAAGTTATTTTTAATATCTTTTGTAATTAGTTATGAAAACAAAGTGATATATGATCACATATTTTAAAAACAAATCATTGTATCCAATACTGCATGCCTAACTTAGCGTAATTATCACGCCGTGTTTGACCTAGTTTGTCACCTCAAGGAATTGACCGCTTGTAATGAAAACGAATTAAAATTACGAAGGCAGTTTATTTAATCAAATCTTACACACTTAGATAGTTTGCGCAATCTTACACACTGTAGATGGTCTGTACAAAAATTAAATTTTAGTGATTCCAACGCTGCCTTTGTATCCCTGTGAATTTAAAGATACATAACTCTTGATTAAATATTTCGTCAAAATTAACACTCGTCAATTTTCGTAAACAAAAAATCGTCAATTTTTCAACTCGTCAATATAACCACGTTTACAGTATTTAAATGTAAAACAAAATTTCATTAAGGAAAGCTATCAAAACAATAAAGAAAAAAAATTATTATGTCACTTTTTTCTGTTGATGATAAGACTAACAAAACTGTTTTTTTTTTAAAGGTAAATCCCTGTTGATGGTGGCGTTACTAGGGTTGGCGGTGTTTTTCTGCTACTCTCTCATCTCGTTTGCCTTCTTCCGTGAAGTTTTCTTCCAGGAGGCGGCAGGACGACACTGTAGGACGGTGTACCAATGCTTCATCACCATGATCCACCACGGCTTTGTGGATACACCTTATACGGTATGGTATTTGATATAAAAAGATAATAAAAGCAATCTCACCGATATGTGTTCTTTATTATGTAAAATCAAATCGAAATGTGAAAAATAAATGCATATTGTTTTTGGAAATGAAATCTGTGGCTGGTTTAATTATTATGTATCATTATGTCCCTCTTTGAACAGACTATTGAAGGCCTGATGGATGATAATTGGGACAGGGTCATATACGTGACTATTTTTGACGTGACCTTCTTCATCCTGGTAACTACAGTAGGATTGAACATCATCTTTGGTATCATAGTGGACACCTTCTCCCAGCTCAGAGATGCCAAGGTAAGCTCCCCTTAATTTGTATCACTTAATGTGTCTGATTGTAATGTGTCAGATACCTCATATACCATTTTATGGTCCGAGAGTAAAAAACAAACGATTGTAGCAGTTGTATAAATAGAGATTCTCTGACTTAGCCGAGTTAGTTCAAGTAAGTTACCATAAAATCACTAATTTTCGTGGGGGGTAAATGTTCATTGTTTTTTAGGTATGAAGAGACCCATGAATTCATGTCCACCACGAAATGTAAAATGTTACATAGTTACATAAGTACTCAACAATTCTTCATCCATGAAATCAAATCCCCACAAACCAAGAATTTTTACTCAAACCACTAAAATTTGACAGAAATATGTGATCTTCCAATATTAAGGTGGGCAAAGCTCACTAGATTATTATTCCACAAACTGACAAATTTATATATGGGTCTCTATTAGACCACAGAACATGAATCTTGTGAGGTTTCATGAAGACCAAGGTATTTGGTTAAGGACATGTATGATTGCAGCAAGGAAAAGATTTGCAGTGATTAACAAAATTTCTCACATGAGATAAAATTGATTCTACCCCTTTTTAGCTCACCTGAGCCGAAGGCTCAAGTGAGCTTTTCTGATCAAAATTTGTCCGTTGTCTGTCGTCGTCGTTGTCGTTGTTGTCGTCGTAAACTTTTCACATTTTCATCTTCTTCTCAAGAACCACTGGGCCAATTTCAACCAAACTTGGTACAAAGTATCCTTGGGTGAAGGGGATTCAAGTTTGTTCAAATGAAGGGCCAGGCCCTTTTCCAAGGGGAGATAATTATGAATTAGAGAAAAACTAATGGCATTTTTAAAAAATCTTCTTCTCAAGAACCACTGTGCCAGGAAAGATGAAACACATGTGGAATCATCCTCAGGTAGTGTAGATTCAAGTTTGTTCAAATCATGACCCCCGGGGGTAGGGTGGGGCCAAAATGGCCGATCAAAGTTTTACATAGGAATATATAGGAAAAATCTTTAAAAATCTTCTTCTCAAGTACCACTGGGCCAGGAAAGATGAAACTCATGTGGGATCTTCCTCAGGTAGTGTAAATTCAAGTTTGTTCAAATCATGACCCCCGGGGGTAGGGTGGGGCCAAAATGGCCGATCAAAGTTTTACATAGGAATATATAGGAAAAATCTTTAAAAATCTTCTCAATAACCACTGGGCCAGGAAAGATGAAACTCATTTGTGATCTTCCTCAGGTAGTGTAGATTCAAGTTTGTTCAAATCATGACCCCCGGGGGTAGGGTGGGGCCAAAATGGCCGATCAAAGTTTTACATAGAAATATATAGGAAAATTCTTTAAAAATCTTCTTCTCAATAACCACTGGGCCAGGAAAGATTAAACTCATGTGGGATCATCCTCAGGTAGTGTAAATTCAAGTTTGTTCAAATCATGACCCCCGGGGGAAGGGTGGGGCCAAAATGGCCGATCAAAGTTTTACATAGGAATATATAGGGAAAATCTTTAAAAATCTTCTTCTCAAGAACCTTTGGGTCAGGAAAGATGAAACTCATGTGGAATCATCATCAGGTAGTGTAGATTCAAGTTTGTTCAAATCATGACCCCGGGGGAAGGGTTGGGCCAAAATGGCCGATCAAATTTTTACAAAGGATTATATAGGAAAAATCTTTAAAAATTTTCTTCTCAAGAACCACTGGGCCAGGAAAGATGAAACTCATGTGGAATCATCCTCAGGTAGTGTAGATGTTTGTTCAAATCATGACCCCCGGGGGTAGGGTGGGGCCAAAATGGCCGATCAAAGTTTTACATAGGAATATATAGGAAAAATCTTTAAAAATCTTCTTCTCAAGTACCACTGGGCCAGGAAAGATTAAACTCATTTGGGATCATCCTCAGGTAGTGTAGATTCAAGTTTGTTCAAATCATGACCCCCGGGGATAGGGTGGGGCCAAAATGGCGGATCAAAGTTTTACATATGAACATACAGGGAAACCTTTTAAAATCTTCTTTTCAAGTACTTCAAAGCCAGGCTTCGTTATATTTATAGGGAATCATCCTCAAGTAGTGTAGATTCAAGTTTGTTCAAATCATGACCCCCTGGGGGGGGGGGGGGGGGGGGGTGTAAAATTCACACCCCCCCCCCCCCCCCCCCCCCAGTATACTTTCAGTTCTGATCTGATCTGTGTTTTTTCCTAGCCAATTGCTCAGGTGAGCGATGTGGCCCCTGGGCCTCTTGTTAATATATTCGATCAGTGCATACTATTAGTTCAAGATATATTACTGTAGTCAGCGGCGACTCACACAAATTGTTCCGACGAAAATAGTTCCATCATTAATAAGTAGATACAACATAATTGTTCATGATAATGCTGTGTATGTCATACGTAAAAAAACCCAAAATTAATGTTAATTTTTCCTCCAAAGATCACTTTCCGCCCTAAATGGAAATAAAAAATGTTAATATTCCTACGCTCGCTCCCTCCTCAGCTTTTTTTTTAACATGTTTGATAACAGAGAATATCTAGGTCATTCTACGGTTGATATTTTTACACTGATGAATTGATTATACTATATCAACAACTGTAATAAAATCATGTTAATTGTTCGTTAATTATCATATAGTTTCCTCTAAGAGAAAAAAAATAATCATTCTGTGTGTGTAGTATATTAAATTACGGATTTTTTAATCCCTGAGCAGATTCCTGCACGTGTGTAGACAAACTACACGTAGGGAGAGTACCTATAAAATGTGTAACAAAACCCGAACTGGCCGGGGATTTCTAAACTGACAATCGTTTAATTTTTTTGAATCAGAATTTGTATTCATGTGATCTAATTATGAAAAAAAGTTCTGTCTGCCATCATAACTTCTCTGTTCGCGGGAGTCCGTTTGACAACTCCATCGCACGTGTGTATAGACCAAGGCTAACTGGTCTTGCGGTAGGAGACTGGGTGACAGTAATGCTACGGACTCAAGAAATTTACACAAGTTCTATAACTAGACAGTGCAGTTTTATTTTTATAAACGTCATTAAACACTGTTGAACATATTAAATCTAAAAGTCGAATATCTTAGGATATGGGGTAACCCATATCTATTCTTGTTTAAAGCTGTTTATATATGTGTGTGTTATTGTAATTACAGTGGGAGATAGACAAGGATATGATGAACAACTGCTTTATCTGCAGCAGGGAGTCCTACGATTTTGAGAGACATGGCAACGTAAGTTTATAAAATCTAGTTCTGTATACATCTTTCATGTACGTGTATTATCATGTTATCAGATATTTGATACAATTAACAAACAGCTGACATTTCACTGTAGTGACTAGGAATTACCATTCACTTTCTAATATCTAGTAACATCAAAGTATGAGGGTGGGGGTCTGATCTAAGTATACTATCTGATATTAAATTGAGTCATATGGTATTTTCATCACAGTGACTAAATCTTTATGTTGTATACTACAGGGATTTGAGAGACATGTGAGACAGGAGCATTACCAGTGGGCCTATCTGTTCTTCTTCCTCCATTTGGACGAGACACGGCCCAATGACTACACAGCTCTGGAACTTCATGTCTTTAATCAGCTCCAACACAATGTCTACGACTTCTTCCCCCTCAACAGAGCTCTCAGTCTTATGAACGAGGAGAACACGAGCGAACGCAAGCTGGAGAATCTCCGAATAAACATTGAATACATGGTCAACAAAATGAAAGAAGAGGTAATGCTTTTAACTAATAGTTAAAAAAAATTCCTGATTTTTAAGACTTACAGCATTTGTTCACAATTGTTATAAGTTAAGATGAAAAATTACATTTTTCTTGAATTCTTGGTGAAAAATTGGGCACTTGCTCAAGTTTCTGTGTGTTTGATTTCTACAGGAGGCAGCCAAAGAAAGGGAGAAGGAGAGACAAAAGCAGATTGCCTGGGAGGCTGAACATAAGGCAACAAAAGCAGCCGGCCAGAAAGAATAAACCTAGACTGACCAATCAGTGCAAGGAAAACGACTGACCAATCAGTGAAAAGAAAGACTGACCAATCAGTGCAAACAATTATTTACCAATCAATGCAGGTTCTGCTGTGAAACAGTTGGAGCTTTTGATTATTTGTAAGGAGTATGCAGTTGGTCAGAATATATTTATATATTGTGGCATTATTTTACTTTCAGTTTTTAATAAAAACAATTTCAGCAAATATTTTGACTTTGAAGATGTGATAATGTTTGTCGGTGATTACTCAGAGTAAACTCATGTACTGATGTGATGTAAACTGAATATTGTACGTGCCGTATAAATATAAAACTTGGTTTACTATAAGAATAAGTGATCTATGTTGAATGAATGGGACACTTCTTTGTACGATTTGTTTGTTTAATCAGTACTTGAATACATGTACCTTATTATGTTTTGCAAAATGTTTGCAGTGAACAACATTTTTATTTTATTTTTTTTGGTCTTATATAATTACCATGACATTTTATGACATTTTATAACAAATTGTGTTTATAATATTTATGTGGCTTGAACGAAGATACATCCCAAGTGTCTGAGCATGAGAGAAATGTAAACTACAAAATTGATTGAGTGAATCTTAATTTTTGTAGTGTTTTGAATATATGTATAAATGTAATGAAAATTATAAATTCAAACTAATAAATAAGTTTACAAACTGTAGTATTATCAATCACTGTGATATTAAGATTTGGTAAATTACATACCTTCAATATTTTTAGTTTTTATTAAAAAAATTATAAAAGACATACTTGTGTACAAATGTATACATCAATTTAAAAAACAGCCTTATAAAAGGAAAGTAATTTCTTCTTTCTGATGAATTTCATAAACTTCACCAGAACTTTTCTGTTTTCATCAAATGAATTAGTTTTCTACCAAGACATCTAGTTCAGTCCACATGTGTTTGTTAATTTTATTTATATTATATTTATTTTGTACTTAAGTCTTTACATTTTCATGTGATAATATTTTGTTCAGTCCATCCATTGTTATATTTTTATGTTTTTAATTTATTGTATAGTCCACATTGTTTTTCAAGTGTTTATTTTTGGATAAAGAGTTTTCAAAAACTCTGTGTGATATTTTCTGTGATGTTATAATCATGAAAGTATTTATGTTACATGGGTTTCTCTAATTCAAATAAATATTTGTACTAATTTTCAACCCCTACACATTTGCATTTCAAATTAACAGAGAAATTTCCATTATACGACATAAAAAAAATGACACCACTTCTTAATAATAATACATATAATGGAACAAAATGGACTATTTTATATTGAGATTTTATGCAGGGTATTTTTAATATTACCTTTATTGTATCAATACTAGCAGTTATGCACACTACCCAAATTATTTAAATTTAATAACCCTCTCTAATTGCCATTTTACTTAAAATAGTGTAAACTTTTAAAGGAAATCTAGTCTTTTAAAATATTCTGTTTATTTTTACAAATACCTTTTAAACCATTTGCAATATCATGTTTATACATTTTTTCATGAACTGTGGAGCATTTTACACATTTACCATTCGCAAGCCAGTAATGCTCAAGTTCACTTTATGTAAAGAGAGTTCCTGTGTGTGTGACAATCATTACGCAGAGTAATTATGGAATTGTTCCGATTTTCAGAAGTTTGTCTTTAATTAATAATTAAATTAAATATTTTTATTTCTGCATACTGTATGTGTACTTAAGTGTATACTATATTAAAATTATAGCAGAATCGTGTAAGCAGTGTAATTTTATGTATGTAAATGATAAAATTATTATAACTACTTGTAATGTAAAGTACATGTACTTTGGTGTCCTGATTTTTAGTAAGAATTTATTTGATGATTACATTGTATATTTTTGGGCACCAACATATAAAATTGACAAAATATACCAAAGTACACATACAGTATTTAGCACCAATTCACATTATCCGTTAGTTTGAAGATTGAATGGAATTGCACCTCAATCAGATTCTGATGTGAACTCAAGCAACTTTTGAATGGTGTAAAATATTTTAAAATATTATTTGTTATTGTGCCTTTAATAAAATGTTTTTTCAAACTTTGTTTTTATAAATGATCAAAGGAACGTAACACTTCATTTATAATTTATTTATAGCTGAAGAACAAGGTGATTCATACAATAACAAATTGAGTCAACTAGGAAGATGCATGACTAATGGTCATGGTAACAAATCCATGGACAACTTAGGTTATGCTGATGAATCAAAGTCACATGGTTTAAGGTCATACTGTCACATGATTTAAGGTCATGGTAATGATATTGAGCCAGCACATCCGTAATAACCATCCTCTCCTAATCCATGTCGCTGAGACAGGTGTAGGCTGTTAATGGTGCAGTCTCCAAAGTCATAATGTCCAAACTTCTGCAAAGAGAGATTACAGTGACAGAGAAATGAACACTAGATTTCTCCTGTTTATGCTTACTCAATTCTAAATGTTTTTATTTAGTACTTGATGAACACTTTTAATAGACCCATGACCTTAAAATTGAAGGATAATTCTTACTTTCATCACATTTGTGGCATCAAATGATTCCCTTTCCTTATTGCCTCGTTTCCCCTCGGGGGGCCTCTCCCCTGCTATGGAGGTAGGATCTCGCCTCATTAGAGTGTTCATTACTGTGACATGAAGTTTAACACGACTGTATTCCTGCTGCATTAGGCCTGTAGTAGAAAATCTGTCAACCAATCGATCTGCCAAAATCTGGAGCCTGTAAATTTACAGAAAGATAACAAACTGACACTGTACAATTTCCCATTAACAGTATTTACAGTCAAGATTTTATCATAAAAATTTCTATAAATATTTTCTATAGTATTATTTTATGCTTCTAATGATCAGATCTTCTTTACCATTAATATGAAAAGGACTGACAATTACACATTCAAACTGGATACTGCAAGTTGTTTTTACTAGTAAAGGTATAAATATTATCCAAGGGATCTTAAGTGGTAGATTGGAGCAAAAATGGTTTCTAGAGTTTGGCAACTGCTAAAGCAGTTTTAGCCACAGCTAATTAAAAAGTAAAATATTTAAAAGTTGTAAGCCATAAGAACTTTTTGACATAGTCCCTAACCTTTCTGCCTGTTCCCCGGGTTGGATTTTAGCATAGAGGACATCTACAGAGGCAGGGTCATCATTCATATACTCCAACCCCTGTAACCTCACCGTCAGGGGCTCACCCCTCAGGATGGGCCTATAAATAGAAATTACTCTCATTATCTCAAAGTGGTTTTGCCCATTAGGATGGGTGAGCAACAGAAAATGATCAAGTTCTGAACTGAAAAACTGCTAATAGCTCTCAGAGAAAGTAATCTGGGTAAAAACCTATCAGAAGGGAATGGATTTTAAAACATTCAAAACTTTGAGTGTTATGTGGATGAAATGTGACAATAAAGAACAGTCATCATGCTCAAAATTGCATTTAAATACACAAATCAGGAGAAAAGCAAACACCGACCTCTAAAAACATAGGTGGGATCAGGTGCCATGGAGGAGTAAGCATCCCCTGATGACTGCTTACATTCTTTGGTAAACATTTTAAGTTAATCTTCATAATATTGGTATATAAAGCTGTACATACTCCACAAGACTTGATTTACATTCTTCAAGTGTCTCCAGGGCCTGTTCTATTTCCCGTTTATTCAGCAGTGCTAGTGTACCCACTGTTAAATGTAGCTTCTCAGGCTTCTGAAATATTGTTTTGTCTATTCCTCTATCCTAGTAAAGAAATAAAAGAAGTGAAACACTAAATTGTTTAAAATTTTAATGACTCAGTCATCTATACAGTAGCTTCAATGAGTTGTGCACTGAGGTATTTTCTGCCTTAATTTTTTTATTGAGAACCTTGGAGATTTCTAAAGGGACCTGCATTGGCATTCAAGTTATACATATTTAAATATACTTTCTTACACTATCACAGCTCCTCAAAATATCCTCCTGAAACTCTAAGAAACTTTCTCTGATTGGCTGTAAGTTCACTGGGAAGGACAAAAAGTGAGTGAAGGGTTCTTTTCGGCGTACGGAATCAACAATGACATCCAGTCTTGTCTTGGCTGAAATCACGCCCTTTCTCTCTGGTCCAAGGATTACTGAAGAAAATATAGTTACAACTGTAAGCTTAATATTTCAATTTTTAGTGTATGCAAATGAGAAAATTCAGATATTTTGCTTAAACAACTTAATAGAAAATGGCCTAGGGGGATGACCCTTTGATTTGGAAGGCCAAGTGGTAAATATTGTCCATTCAGATTACTGGTATTTATTGCCTTTGCAGGACAGAATATTTATTACCAAGACAATCTGACACACATTATTCCTTTTTCTTCACTGAAAAGCATTTGACAAAAACGTTTTTGTTTGAGAAGTAGGGGGGGAGGGGAGGTACCCACAGTCAAAGTTAGATAAATTTTTCCTCCTAGCTGAGGAAAAATTATTTAGTTTAAATTATTTCAAATGACAGATTATTTATCACCAAAATCTGCAACCCCTCCCCCTTCACAATCAAATAATACTCCTATATCTAGATGATGTGTATTAATAACTCTTCAATCTAATATACTGACTAATATCCCCCTCCACTCCCTCTCTAGGGATCCGGATCTGAGTTTTTGTCTCCGTTTCCAGTCGACGTTTGGTCTCCCCCTTCCTGCCTATGATGTGTTTGAAGAATGCACTGGGTAGGCTAACACTGGTCTGGAAGCCTTTCTCTGTCTCCTCAATGTCTGGCATCATATCACAGGTCTCGTCATTCCAGGTGTTACACTGCACAGTGGACTCCTCTACAATGAGGAATGTATTAGAACATTTTTAAAAAATAGAAAATTGTTAATTTGTTTTATAAATTCATGAAATGAAATAAAGCATGACTCCAAAAAGCTAGAATTTATATGACTGTGTAAGGACAAAATAAGGGTGTGGAGGATTGAAAAAAAGAGAATGTAATAAATAGTAGAATGTCAATCAATGTCATAAATAGTAGAATGTCAATCTGGGGACAATCAGGAAAAAAACATTGCTTTCCCTCTATATTATGTTATCAACTTGATAGGGCAGTATCTAATAAATTAAATTTGTATGCAGATATAGGTTTACAAGTTTTCTTTTATGCCCCATATTATATGGCAACACAAGAGCAGTACAAATATTCTAAAAGTGTTTGAAGGTTTAAATATTTTTAGGTAAAAAGTTACTGTATCAGCAGAATTTTTAGCGAGGATTTAATTTTGGCATTATTAGCGAGGGTGCCAAGAAGCTAAAATTGAATATCACTAAATATTAATTGCGCTTTATTTGTAATAACTTCTTTAGTGAGCTTTTTAAAATCGCTAAAATTACATCTCTCTAAAAAAAAATACCAGTTTCTAAAGTTAAATTGCAAAATTTGCATCTCGCTAAAATTTCCACTTATACGGTATATAGGATATGGTAAGAAAAAGCCTTCAAAGAGGAGAAGCATTTGAAAAAGAATGCAGGTGATTATACATTCTGATTACTTCTTCAACCCACATGGTTTTTAACAATAATCCTGATATTCGACCCAAGTGGTTTTGTTCCCAAGCAATTATATAACAATTTCAACAGTTTGTCTACAGTGTTTTTATGCATAAATTTAATTATTTGTGTAAATTATGATGTTTATCTTATTTTATCGTATGCATTTTAATTTAGATGTACATTATTTACATTGTACAATATTGATATCACGGTCATTATTTACACTGTACAGTATTGATATCATGGTATGTCATTTAAAGAAGTATTTCATGTATTTAATTAATTTTTGTTCAAATATACAATCATTATGAAATCAAATTTATCTACATCTCTTCTCCACTATAGTTAAAAACTATATAGGAAAACCATCTTTTCTATTGATTGCATAAAGGAAACAATTAACAACCTATTTACACATATATCTCTGAAGCCATGCAGCTACCGAATATTGATTTGTTTACATACTGCACAGCATGTACACCTTACTAAGGCCTAGAAAAAAAATATGTTTGTTTCTGCTTTCAGGCTGAAAAAATATAGGGTAGGTAGGAAGGCAAATTTTTTTTTTTTAAATTTTGTTGCTTCTTTAATCAAAACGTGTATAGAAGTAACATTAATTACAAAAGAAATGGTGTTTTCAAGCATTACTGTGACTTAACTTATAATAGAAAGGTGACCCAAACTTCTTTCTGTCTTGAAAAGCTTGCAAAGTTGGAGGCTATAATTCCCTGGTTGACATCATGGGACAAAAGCATTAAAAAAATATTTAGGGTCGGCACTATAAATTAGGGTCCGTCGGGAAAGCGGAAACAAACATATTTTTTTTCTAGGCCTAAGGTACTGACTCTACCTGTTGGGATATAAATATAAGCAGGTCGAAACCACCTGGGTTGTAACAACACAGGTCTATTAAACACAGAATCGGAATGTAACCACCTAACCACCCAATACCTTGAAAAAAAGTTTGTCGAGACAGACTGACAGACCATAGGTGCTTGGTTTCAGGATGGTATTTTTTTTATGTGTCTATTTTAATGTGTCAATACCCTCATTAAAATTAAAAAAAAATTCGCTGAAATTAGCATATTTTAAAAATGTCATATTTACTGTAAAAAAAAACACTCAAATCGAGTTCCTCGATGGCTCGTACCTCGCACATAACCTCATATGTCAAAGGTGTTCTACCATCTTGCTGATTTAGTTGATCTTATTTGAATTTCTTTCAAATGTCATAAATTTGAAATCTGAGTTATTTTGTTGCACTCTCAACATTTAGTTCTTGCTTTCAAAGCCTACTAACATTAGGTTGTAATCAAAACCTATTTACAGTGAAGAATTAGACAGATTAAGAAACCTTTTCGAAGAACTTTATGCAGTGCGAAATATGAAATGAGTGAAAAGGCAGTTTCCGGCAGAGAAATGTATCAATCTGAGGCGTATTTCTTCACCAATTACATTAAATCCAATGTTAAAACGTGACCCAAGGATTGTATTTATTAAAAATTTTAAAGGAATGCCACAAAAAATTGTTTGTACCATCTGTCCTTAAATCAATTTCTACATTTTTCCTACCGGTGTGGTGTGAGATATAGCTTCAAAATGATTGAATAATGCCCTTCAAATGTCTGCCGATTTGAACTTACCGATTAAAACATGCAGTAAACCCAAAACGTCCTCGATACCAAGTACAGAAATCGAAAGCAACAGTAGTGCTGATTTCTAATGATGAAAAATGTAGAGGCATCCCAGAATCACACGAAAAATCTAAAGAAAGCAAGTTTGGCACGGTTTCTGACCTCTCTAGATTTTCCATGTGAAATACACAAAATACGTAGTAAAGATGGATGCCCATGGTTAACAAAAGAACTTCGAAGCCTAGTTAAGAAGAGAGATGAAAGAAAGAAGAAGTCAAACGATCAAAGAGATATACAAAAATACAAGGAACTTAAACAACAAACACAGAAATGATTTTATATCGAAGGCATTGTAAGTCCACCAAAAGACGAAAGTTCACAAAATCAAGGAATGAAGCGATTCTGGACTTTCATAAAGCACAAAAGATCGGATGGCAATACAATACCACCATTGAAATCAGAAGGATTGTTACACTCCAACCCAATAGACAAAGCGGATATCTTAAATAGACAATTCCAAAAAGCCTTCTCACCAAAAACAAATTTTACAGAAGAACAATTTAAATCCAGATGTGAAATGAGAGGGAACCACCCAATAATGTAAATATAACTGTGAACGGAATAGAAAAGTTGTTGTTAAACCTCAACATACATAAAGCCGCAGGACCAGACGGGATAACACCTAGATTACTAAAAGAATTGGCAGCAGACATAGCACCTATACTCTGCGTTATATTTAGTTCATCATATGAAACAGGACAAGTACCAACAATATGGAAAACAGCAACAGTATGTCCAATATATAAAAAAGGGAAAAATTATGAAGCGATCAATTACCAACCTGTCTCCCTAACCTGTATAACATGCAAAATAATGGAACATCTAGTAACAAGCAACATCATGTCACATGCAGACAGACACAATATCCTTAATCCTTTACAACATGGATTCCGTCTCATGCGAGACCCAGCTTGTGGACTTTATTGATGACATCACAAGAAACATCGATGAAGGGAAACAAACGGATTGTTTAATCATGGACTTTAAAAAAGCATTCGATAAAGTGAGCCACAGCTTATTAGTCATGAAATTGATCACTATGGAATTCAGGGTAAAACAAACAAATGGATTGAAAACTTCTTAAACAACAGAAAACAAGCAGTAGTTATAGAGGGAAATCATCATAATATATAGATGTGGAATCAGGAGTACCCCAAGGCTCTGTCATAGGATTTATTCTTGAACATCAATGACATGCCGGACAACATAACATCAACTGTGCGTCTTTTTGCCAACGACACCATCATGTACTTGACTATAGAATCACAGTCAATAGCCAATGAATCATTTTAATTTTTATTTTAAATGTAATGTCTTATATCACAAAGAAGAGGAAACCCATTAAACATCAATATACCCTCCATGGACATATCTTAGAGCAAGTTACATCGGCTAAGTATCATTTTATATTTTTTATGTAAAAAAGCTAACAACACTCTCGGCTTCTTGAAAAGAAATCTAAACATCAGTAACCCTAGCTTAAAGGAAAAGGCATACAAAACGCTAGTCCGACCAACATTAGAATATGCATGCTCAGCCTGGGACCCATATCAACAAAACTACATCAACAAACTGGAGGGAGTTCAAAAAGAGCGGCTATATACGTAAGAAACAACTACAACTACAATAGTGCAACATCAGTGTCCAATATAGTGAAAGACCTAAACTGGGCATACTACAAGACAGTATATACACGACTATGCCTATTCTACAAGATCGTTAACAACAAAGTGAAAATAGACCCTAGTGATAAGCTAATACCAACAGGAAGAGCAAGTTCAACTCATTCAGGCAACAACAATCTCAACAAATATTAAAATTCCTTTACCCGAGGACAATCAGAGATGACGCTCCCCTCCAGTACAGTGTTTTGAATCCTTCAAACTCACCTGGCTGCCTAATTTATTCTGCTCTGTTTTTAAACTCACTACTTGTATAGTTGCACCTTTTTTAACGCGCACACCCTACACAGTGGCAGAATAATCAGCTTATTGATGGCGGCCGCTTTCCGGTAGAAGTAGAAGTAGAAATACGTATACCATCCTGAAATAAAGCGCCTATGTGACAGACGACAGAATTTTTTTCCCCCAATTTCGACCCAGTGGAGTAAATATTTACGAATTTTGGACTTCCTTAATCCAAAACAATAATTCATTAGTCTGAAGTCGGAATAATACAAACTGTGTTGTGTATGATGTTTACCGTATTGTTCCTCTTCCAGAGCATTGATATCTCGGTTCAGTGATGGGTTAACTCTGTAACAGCGGTCTCCTATCGTGATAATTTGTGGCCTTAAAACATCCATGTTCCCTTCAGAATAAAACAGTATATTATTTTTACCGTTCGAACGTCTAGACTGCAGTTGCAAATCGTAAAAATTATTAAATATCGCAGGATGTCTCCTGTGCACGCTAAACAGCGAGTCTCTAGGTAAATCCTATAAAATTCCGGATAGTATTTTTGAAATCGATGAGGCCCAGCAATTTTTGAATAAACTAAATCATAAAAATGAATCATTTTAATTTTTATTTTGATGATTTTATATAAACCCATGCACAAACTTTTCTGTCATTAACGTTACATTTTATATTTTTTTAAAGGTATTGTGATTATTTACCATAAAAACGCCATATGGTTATATATTACATATTAGGTATATCTGAGTATATACCATTTCCCTACTAAATATTAATTAAGTTCTTTGTAACTTCTCTTGAAAACCTTTCCATAATATAAATGACCTTCAGGTGTTTTGGAGAAACTTGTGATGCATGTACTATCTATCTTAAGATATCACAAATTGGACCTAATCCTCATCTTATTTTAGTTGTGTATTATATATTTCTTCCCCGTACACTTAAACTCATTGTCTCCTTTTCTTCAACTTCTTGTATTTTCACACTTGTGACTGTCGTACAAGCTTTGACATTAATGTGATATTGCCAATTAACCTGTTGCTTTGCTTATAATGGTCAGTCTTTTTGCAATTAAGTACGTATCATATTGTTAATTTTATCAAGATTTACACTTACAGCAATTCTAACAATTTTTAAAATGAGGCAAGCTATTGATAAACAGGTTAATGATACAAGGTTATCAATCGATCATAAATCATATTTTAAAAGTACATTGTTTGACACATATAATTGACATTCAATTATATTTCAAAATTTGTCTATGACAGATTATGTACATAAGTTTAGTGTGTTCTCATTCAAAAGTAACTTACATATATGAAAAGAAGGTAAAACTTACAGGTAAAAAATCATAGCACACTCAGAAAGGCTAGTTACATGTAATTCACATGTAAAATGTGTGTCTCTTGCAGTAAACTAAGAATAGTAGATAAAAGCAGTGTGTTTTCTGTTCAATGAAGGCCTGACTGTTCAACCAGAAAATTGCCTAGACTTCATCTCCCTCCAGACTGATCTCATAGTTCAACAAGATTTTTAAGCAATTATGTGAATATTTCATACCATGTTATGATATATTTTTTTTTTTCAAATTGCTAATTTGTATATCAGAAAGAACTAGTAAATTGATCCATATAAATGCTTGCCTTCTACAATTGCAAGTCAGCAGAAAGTATTCTTTGGTCACAGGTTTTAATTGTAAAAGCGAGGGGATATTAAATCTCATTCGTCCGTCCGTCTCTCCGTCAGTCTGTCTAGCTATCCGTCCGTCATAAAAACTTTAACCTTGCCCATAACTTTTGATTTAGTAGAGCTATGACTTTCATATTTCGCACGTGTATTTCCTTGTGACAAGACATATCTTTGGGTACCACCAAATTTGACCTTTTGATCTTGACCTTGGAGTTTGACCTATTTTTACAAAAAATTCCGAACTTTTACTTTGGCCATAACTTTTGAATGATAGATAATAGGACTTGCATATTTCACATATATATTCTTTGTAGCAAGACCTTTCATAGGATACGAACAACTTTGACCTTTTGACCTTGGAGATTTCCTTACTTATGAAAAAACTTTAACCTTGACCATAACTTTCAAACAATAAGAGCTTGGGCTTTCATACTTCGTATATGTAATTTTTGTGAGAAAACCATTCATTGGATACCAAGAACTTTGACCATTTGACCTTGGAGTCTTAACTACTTTTTAAAAACTTTAACCTTGGTCACAACTTTTGAACGGTAGATACTAGGACTTTCATATTTCACAAATGTATTTTTTGTGGCAAGACCTTTCATTGGATACCAAGAACTTTGACCTTGACCTTAAAGATTTCTGTACTTATGAAAAAACTTTAACATTGACCATAACTTTTGAATGGTAAGGGCTAGGGCATTTGTACTTCACATATGTAATCCTTGTAAAAAGACCTTTCACTGGAAACCAAGAACTTTGACCTTGACCTTGGAGTTTGACTTTCTTTTCAAAAACTTCCACCTTGTCCACAACTTTTGAACGGTAGATACTAGGACTTTCATATTTCACATATGTATTCTTTGTAGCAAGAATATTCATTGGATACCAACAAGTTTGACCTTGATCATAACTTTTGAATGGTAAGGCTAGGACTTCTATACTTCACAAATGTAATCCTTGTGAGAAGACCTTTCATTGGATACCAAGGATCTTTAAACCTTTGACCTTGACTTTGGAGTTTGACCTACTTTTAAAAAACTTTTACATTGGCCATAACTTTTGAACAGTTAGGGTTAGGGTTTTCATCCTTCACATATGTATTACTTGTGAAAAGACCTTTCTTAAGAAACCCACAACTCAGACCCTTTCACCTTGGGGCATGACCTATCTTTAAAAATTTATCCTCGACCATAACTTTTGAACAGGTGGTGCTTGGGATTTTGTATTCCATACGAGAAAAACCCTACTTTGGGTAATAATATATTTAATTTGCATTTAAGAAAAGTTTAATCTTCGTAATGTTGCCATGCAGGGTCATCAGTGTTTCACAAACACATCTTGTTCCTTATATTGAGAAGAGATAGGGCTTTCATATTCGACATGTGCAATACCTGTGACCCGAGCATGCTATGATTTCTTACCCCTTGACCTTGACCTTCATGACTGACCTTATTTAAAAAAAAAAATCAACTTCCATGATAATTTCTAAATAAATGACATATGATAGGGTGTTCATATTTGACACAATATGTCATAAAAAATAACATCTCTGCACCCACAAAGACATCAAAAGCAGGGGACCACAATTCTTTGAATTTGCTTGTTTAATCCATGTTTCAAATGTCAATAAAACAAAAACAAAACAAACTGTTTGACATTTTATTGTAATCAGACATATTTCATACATATAACAGGGTAAACATAAAAAACTGGCACATACATTGTGTAGTTATTAAAAAAAATTGAAAATCATCAGGGATTTCAATGCTCTATACGAACTTCCAGTTGTAGATACATAGTCAATGCAAAGAATAAGCTTCATATTGCTATCATTTTAGTAGAACTAGACACAACAATAAACTAAAAGAAATGGACTTGGCACATAGTATCTGATTAATGAAGCACATAAATATGAAACATAAAAAATTGAAATTTATTATGCACTTGAATGCACACAACATATAATAGAAAATGTAGATAAAAGCACCAATTAAAAATTTTTACCCTATATCAAACTTTGGAAATAAATAGAACTCTGACATTTAAAATAACTTGCCTTGCTATCATCAGACAATATATACAATGGTTTATTTAAAAAATTAAAAATTTAATATATACATGTACGTGAAATAGTCAGCATATCTTTGATAATTACAACATATGCATCAGAATTAAAAATATTCACACATACTCAATTCTTTAATTTATGCTTTTATATTTTATCACATTTCAAACCGGTATTTTAAAAAAGAGGCACATTTCTTCACTTTCTCTTTCATATCTTTTAAAAAGTCATTTTAAAAAAACATATTCCAAAACTTCTCTCAAGAAATATCTTGAAGATATGTGCTATAGTTGTGAGACCAATTTTTGTTCTTTTCACTCAAAATAATCGTCCAGTGCCATTCGTGTGTCGTAGAAAGCTACATTACCCCCAGTGTGGGAGTTATACACGGAAGCACCTGTAGGGTCACTATAGGCTGGTCGCCATTCTTTCTTTTCGTAAGCTCCGTTGCTAAATACACTGGGTTCTGGATCATACTGCTTCATAAATCGCTCCTTCTTTTTCTGTGCTCTGTATCTGTTCAATATAAATAAAAATAATATACATGTACCTATAATGATTAGATTTTACTGTTAGTAAACATTTAGATGCATACATGACTAGATGCATACAGTATATATATAAAAGAAATCTCCAGTTACATAGCATTTTATTGCAAAAAATCTGTTATTATCTGCTCATCATATTGCTATTGTTGAGAATTTTAGAGTTAAAATTTTTTGAAAATATACAGATTCCCCCTAAACACCTTACCTAACAATGAACACTACAGCCAGCACAATAGTGATGACCAGGAAGATGGTGGCGGCCAGTGAGGCTACAATGACCACCGTCTGAGAGTTCATGTTGACTGCCGTCTTGTTGGGAGGCACTGCTGCGGTGGTGCTGCTCGGTGATGTTGGACAGCCTGCAGCTGTGTATAAATAGCACAAAAAATTATCTCTCATTTCTTACACAACCATTTCAATATGATGTGGAACTAATGGCTACTTTTGTATTTTACGTTATCAGATCCTTACCCGTAGAGGCAGTCCAAGTGAACTGAGATGTGATGGGAGTACACAGCTGACAGGAGTTGATTGGATTACTGCTTCCTCCTGCATAGCACACGCCACCAATCAGGCAGGATGAGGTCTGAAATGGAAAGGAGTTTAGATCAAGATCTCATCAGAAACATTCATGACCATCAGTATTTCATGAATTCATTCCACGAAGGCAAAAAATTATCACTTTCATTCAATTAAGACACAATGAATATACAGCTTTGCAGAAATAATACTAAAACATGTCAAGAAAAAGATGTTAAGTTTCATCACATTAGGGATCTGATGGTAGCTTTACAAGCAAACTTGAATGGATGAAAAGAAAAAAAAATGTCTGATTTTAATAAACACTCACCAACATGGAGCAGTTTCCATGGGTTCTATCAGCTGCTACATCACAGGTGTAACAGTCTGACTGGTAGAGGATGAACACAGACTCGGCCACACTGCGATGTGTGCCATCATTACTGATCCTGATGGCATAGCTCTTCTTGGCTGGCAGGGTACAGTGAACTGCTGAGATACTCTTAAAGATGGCAGTGTCTGTTATGGTGGTAAGGGATCGACTAGAAATACCTGCTCCATTGATCTACCAAAAACAAGAGCAGTACATTATTTTTTCTATTTGATTTTATCTCTTATGATCATCCTGTGAAAATTGAACTATTAAGATTTTTTTTTTAGCAATTCATGTGCATGTCTTGTCTTCATATTGATAACCATAGCAGTTATGAAAATGCCAGGCAAATACATAAACATGCATAAAAATCAAAGAATTACCTAATTCTTAAATATAGTTAAAACTTCCTTCAAAATATACTTATTCTATTCATTTCAATAGAAAGACACAACTTTTTTGAAAATCAGAAATTTCATTTGAACAATGAAGATCGGGCATACACTGCCAAAAACAATAACCTCAATTTCTGTCATGTGACAAGTGATGGTTGAACTGTTTAGGAAGCGATCGCCCTTGATGACAGCCTGGGTACAGTTGTTATTGAGGGTATCGCAGGCCACATTGGAGTCCTCTAACAGAACGACTGGAGCTAAGCTGACAGAGATTGAACAATCTGCTCCACCATAGCCAGTTTTACACTCACAGACTCCTGGCAAATAGAAAACAACATGAATTCATGCAAAAAATTATGTATTAACAAACACACGTACAATCAGAATGGAAACCATAAACCATGCACTCTTTAAGACAAATGAATCAAGCTTTTTATTGTCCAGTTTACAAGACCAACTTTTTACCCTGTTATTTTAAAGCAGTAATATCCCTTGTGTAAGGATAGCCAAATTTGTCTTATGCCATTATACCGTATAAGTGGAAATTTTAGCGAGACACAAATTTAGCAATTTGTCCTTAAAAATTTGCAATTCATTTTAAGAGATGTTATTTCAGCGATTTTAAAATGCACATTAAAGAAGCTATTACAAATAAAACGCAATTAATTTTTAGCGATATTCAATTTTAGCGATCTCGGCATCCTTGCTAAAAATTCTACTTACATGGTATCTTGTTCATGAATCAACCACAGAATTTATTTTACATCCTGAACATTTAGCTACATTCTAGAGTTTACAAATTGCTTCTCTTCACCCATTATTGTATACATTCTCACCATCTACACAGGTTCCCTGATTTCCTTGACTATTACAGTCCAAAGGACAAATAGCATTAGTAATAGTGGTGGGTAAAGATGGAGCAGCATTGGCATTCTGTGTCCATTGAGTGGTATCCTTCAGAACTTCCTCATAACAATTCTGCTGAATTCCTCCCAAGTGATCCTCCCTCCAAATGGTCAGACCGGTCAGCTAGGAAGATAAACAAATAAGATGTAATTCAAGGATATCCCAATATTATAGGGGGAGACAGATGAAATTTGATGAGCTAGATAGTACTGGCTATTCAACTAAACCTGAGGTACAGGAAATAAAAAAAAAATGTGCAAAGAATTGCTTTCAAAATGTGTCAGAATAGAATGTTTAAACATGCATGGATATTTCATTTAACAATGCAAAGACTTGAATCAATGCATATCTTTCGATTACTAAACTGTATGACCAATGTAAATTTGTAAAATAATATCTTAGTAGCTTATCAGAAAGCTAGTAAGTTACCTTGTAGTCTTGCACACAATTCTCTATGTCCTGGGAATAGTTTCCAGACAAAAGATTCTGACAGTTAATTCCGGCCTTGGAATTGACGAGGTAGTTACCACAACTCTGTCTAGCTTCCTCTTCTGTCATGTTCAGATTGGAAGGCCAGGCAGAAGTAGGCTACAATACAAATATGACAAAGTTCTGAGCTAAGATAATTTATCTATGATAGATTCAAATAAAATCTATTTAAAAAAAAGGACAAGTGAGAAAACACAAAAAATATTAAATCAATTGTAATACAGTGGACCCTCATTTATCCGTGATATGTGAAAACACACCAGTTAAAAATAGCATTTAAAAATCAAAAAATTGTAATATATCATATACCACTGTATATCGTATACAGGAAATGAAATTTAATAAAAAGTTTACTAACAGCTGGAGCATTGTAGTTGAGGTCATAGGTCACTGTGTCATCAACAGCCTGTCTCTTCTTACGCCTGCCAACAGCACTGGGGGTTAATAGGCCAGGATTTGGGGTCAGGAGGTCAGGTTTCAAATCCACACCTGTTTTTCAAATTAAACACAATAAAATTTACACATACAAAACTGAGAAAAGAATTTCAGAGAAATATCATTATCAAACTTAGTGCTTAATGGTCAGAAAACAAAAATTTTATAAAATTTATTTTCATTCTTTTCAATCCCATTTAACTCTAAATTATCAATGCAGAAGACCATAAACACAACAAGCCTTGAAGGACACAAGAATGCATTTTACTATATGCCGCTGTGGTATTTTGACAATACCATCAACCTACCTTTGTTTGTGACTCCACATGTACTGACATCACCAAAGAAATCACATGTTGATCCACTATTGTAGCAGGAGCAGTATACTGGTATCTCCATGGAAACTGTTGACCTATAACCCCTAAACAGTGAGTTGGACTCAGAGGTTCTCCATGTAAGACTGTATGCATCTGGTCGTTCATTGGGGCCAGGAACTTTTGTGATGACCCCATTGGGATCTGAGAGGTCATTGTCTTGATTACCATCATATGTACCACATAAACCTGAAATGCAAAAGACCACTTATACTAAAATCTTTAAATACAGTTAACACATGTAAATAAGCAGGTTATTTAGTTCAAAATTTTGCATTTGATGCTTGAAATAGTATAAAAATATTCAAGTTTGATAGATTCAAATTCATCTTGCCTTTTACAAAGACTTTAGAAACTTTTTGCCTAGTATTTCTAAAACACTAATGTTTTATTTCAAACAAAGTTTCTTTAAACATAACCTTACACAGATAGATGTAGAGTGATAAGTTGGATTTAAAAGATCTTTACCTTCAGTTTTGTTAAAGTCTGCAGCTGATGGGTAGATGAATATGTTAATAAAGGCCTGGTATGAGTCTTTCACTGTCACTTTGGTTCCTGTGGGTAACATGATCTGTCAAAAGAAAGCAAATTTAGTTCACATATCATCCATCAAACTGACTTGCCAAACAATATGTACAACACTCAGACATTTCTCTCTGACCTGGAACTGTTTGCCGTCCTTCTCCTGGAAGATCTCTGTCCTTGGAGTCAGTTCTCCGTTGGTGAAGAGCTCCTCGTTGATTGGATAAGCAGTAGAGGTTTTGTTGACCCACTTACATTTGTCTATCCTGATGACATCATCACCAGAACGCACCATCACTCCACAGTTACATGTTCCACTGGAACAGCGCACCATTGCAGCACGTACCTAATGGAAAGTGTACAGAACATTAAATCAATAAAGCTTAGATTAATATCAAAATGAAATCTTAATATCCATACACAAAACACTTTTTAGACATATGTGGATTTTTTCTAGCATTTTTTAACAATGCACTGCTATATGTACAAAAAAAGTTCTGAAGTGACTTCATTTGAAAAGTAGTTGGAGGAAATTAACCCAAACAATCCTGATTAGATTATGTTCATACCTCTACTTCAGTGTCTTTGTTTCTATAAAGTATGTATTCTCCTGGCTGGAAGTTGTCAAAGTAGCTGCAAAAATTTAAAATAAAACAACAATTAGTTTTACATTACATTGTAATTTCATACAAAATTGAATTTAAAAATATAGTATAATATATCATGTTTAAACTGCATTGATCAATACATACGCTCCATCAAAAGTTCTGATGTGAGGATCATTAATGGACTGACAGTGTCGCAGGTCTAAAGAGTCCATCTCAACAACTTCAACCTGAAGAAAAGCAAAAAATTAATCTCTAACATATTATATCATTGTTTAATAGGGTCATAAAACGTAGGTCTAAGAGTATATATCTAACAACTTCAACCTGAGGAAAAACAAAAAGATTAATCTGGAAAAATCATGTTACTGTTGAAGGGATCAACCAAAGCTACTTAGCAATTGACAATCATTGATATGGAATGACAAATTTCATATAATTTAATAGTGCATCATAATTTTTGTGTCAGAACTGTACTAGGTAAAGTATCTGAACTCTGACCTCTATTTTCTTCAGAAGGACCCCAGCCTTGACCTCTTGACCCACTTTATCTTCCTGTTCAATGTTCAGTGTACTGTTTTTGTTTCCGAATTTCATCCTGTCAATCATTGCCTTGATGTAAATCTGGGCGGACCGTACATTTTCTTTCATCACAGGACCACAGGTAGACTCAGCTGGTGAAGCAGCATTAGTGAGGGAGGACTTGACCACAATATTGGGGATTTCCCCTCCGTCGGGACATCTCTTGGGATTCTGTGATTTTATGACCTCTCCATTGAATCTTATGTCACAGTTAGCCTTGTACTTCATGGAGCAGTAATAATTGGCAGTTGTGGAAAGATCGATTTGTATTGGGTGTGCTGGTGCACCTTCTACAATCTTGATGTATGAGGCCTCATTGATCTGAAAGTAATTAGTAACACCTCTGTGAGATTCAGGCCACTTTCGTCATCATTTAAAAAAATCTTCCTCAATTTATTTTCATTCATTACAGAATTAGAAGCCATTGACCATAATAAGTAATATCATGTACTTACTGTGACTTGGTACTTGAGAATACTACTCCTTGTTACTGAGCTAGTCACCTGTCCACAGGTACTGGGCTTTGACACAACTACTCCACAGCTTACCTGGTAACAAAAAGCAATATCTTTTACTAATTCAAGAAACACCATTTTAATCTTCTAACCACCACAGATTATGAGTGTGTTCATTTGAGAAGTGACCTTCATATTCCAAGATCCAATATAGCAGGGTTTGACATTAAGCTTTTGGAATACTAGACCAATCAGGCTACTCTAGCAAATTTTTACTAGCCGTGACCCTTTAACCACTAGCCCTGACCAAACTTAAGAAAACTTAAGAAAAAATATTTAAAGCAGGAAATAGTGATGATTTATGAATAACCCTTTTAAAGTTTTTATAATCTGTTTGATTGTATTGGTTTATTTTAATAACGAAATTTTCCCGCACATGCCAACATCGAAACTATAGATCATATACATGCTGCTTGTTGTGTTTAGTCCTAACTTATAACTAAACTTAATCAACTTGTAAATATTAATACCATACCATAACAAGAGGCCCAGGGACCACATCGCCCACCTGAGCAAATCAGAATCAGATTAGATCAGAACTGAAAAGTTTACTGAAGGGGGGGGGGGGGTTGAATTTAATACTACTTTAGAATGCCTTCATATTAATACAGCATATGACTTTGCTGTTCTTGATAAAAGGATTTTTTAAAAACATTTTCTTCCTATACTATCACTAATCATTGCTTTGAAGTACTTGAGAAGACAATTTTCCTATAAATTCCTATGTAAAACTTTGATCAGCCATTGTGGCCCCACCCTACCCCCGGGGGGTCATGATTTGTACAAACTTGAATTTACACTACCTGAGCATGCTTCTACATGAGTTTCATCTTTCCTGGCCCAGTGGTTCTTGAGAAGAAGATTTTGAAAGATTTTCCCTATATACATCACAGGACCATTGTAGCCCCGTACCCCCGCCTCAGCAGGTTGAATCTACACTACCTGAGCATGCTTCCATATAAATATGATGAATTACGGCTTTGACATTCTTGAGAAGAAGATTTTTAAAGAATTTTCCTATATATTTCTATGTAAAACTTTGGTCGGCCACATCTCTTACCCCCGGGGGTCATGATTTGTGAAATTTGAATCTGCACTACCTCATGCTTCCATATAAATATGATGTCACAGCTTTGTCATTCTTGTTTTTAAAGAATTTTCCTATATATTTCTATGTAAAACTTTGGCACCCCCGGGGGGTCATGATTTGTACAAACTTGAATCTACACTACCTGAGGATGTTTCTCCATAAGTTTAATCTTTCCTGGCACAGTGGTTCTGGAGAAAAAGATTTTTAAAATATGCCACCAAATTTTCATTTATTCCCAATTATCTCCCCTTGAATGAGGGCATGGCCCTTCATTTGAACAAACTTGAATCCCCTTCACCCAAGGATACTTTGTGGCAAGTTTGGTGAAAGTAATCAAAATGTGAAAACTTTACACACAGACGGACAGACAGCTAGACAGACAGACGGACGCCGGACAAAATGTGATCAGAAAAGCTCACTTGAGCTTTCAGCTCAGGTGAGCTAAAAATTGTTCAGAGAATTTACGTATCATAAAAAATATGTTATATAATTTTTTTGCCATTTACACAGTTTACCAATGTCGTAAAGCATGTGAATCTTTTGACAATGACAATTGTAACTTCTCAGCAATTTCCGTAGCTTATTGTTTCTCTTTAAGAAAATGGCCGAGTAGTTACGAATGCTGACAATGACTGCTGTTAATAATATTTATCACTTCGGTCATGCCGTCTGTTACGTATGTAGTTTTCTTTCTACTATGTGGTTAGAAACATTTTGATTTTTTTTTTTCATTGATAATAAATTTGTTTAAAAGTATATATAAAATTCCTTTATTTTTCTTGACACCACCACTCCACAGCTTACCTGAGTAACAAAAAGCAATTTACTAATTCAAGACACACTATTTTAATCTTCTAACCACCACAGGTTATGAGTGTGTTCATATGAGAAGTGACCTTGTTATTCCAAGATCCCAATATAGCTTGCATGAATTGAACATATTTTTCTTTCCTTTTCAAATTGATCACTCTTCTTTGGTGTTTGTCATTTTTAAAAGAATGATTCAGACAGTCCCTAGTACACTGTATGCATTAATACATTAAACTTAAATTAAAATCACTAAATAAATTCATAATTCTTTTCTAATACTATAAAAAAAATCCTCTCACCCCAAGTGTAAGGGCTTCAGCTGTGTTGGTGATCTCAGTTGACTCCATTCTGTTTACATTAGTTCCTGAAGTGAGGGTCTGTTTTTTGATGATTGTCTCCCCTACATACCACCAGATGGCGTACTGTGTACCACTTCCTGCTGCTGATGTGACTGAGCAATCAAAAGACACCTTCTGATAGTCAGCAGAGACAGAGTAGTCCAGAGTGGGTGCTGTGGAAACAGGACCTATAACAGAAAATTTCACTGTAGATTGCAGCAGAATAGTGATTTTAAAGTAAAATGATAAATCACTGTATACAGGGAAATTTTCGTACCCGTTTCATTTTCACCCTTTTTGTCCTACTCGCATATGGGCAAATTCAAAATGGGGAAAATTCTAAAAAAGTATAATTTCTTAAACTGAACTAAGAATGGGCGAAATTTAAATGGGGCAAAATTTTTTGCAAGTGTGAAAGTGTGAAAATAACATGGGGGGGGGGGGGGGGAATAACCCTGTATACAATATTTTTTCCATGAAAAGTTCCGTAACAGATTTGTTTTACAATAATTCCTTGTAAAAGTTACCAGTAATACATTTTTAATGAATTTGAAGATATGTAAATATAATTTGCAAGGTATCTTGTAGAAGGGAAAATTGATTTTGACAATTAAATGAAAAAGGAGAGCTCAATCAATACACTTACTGATGACACAAGGTGTTGTTGTGCCTGGAGCTTCTGTGGTGGTGGTTATTCCAACAGTTGTAGTTGTTTCTATTTATTGAAATAAAATTAATAAATTGCAAAATTTTACACATTTCTCTCTGGCATGCAAGTTAGCAGACATTTATAGCCATTAGTCATAGAAAAGCAGATGAACAAAAGCCCAAAGCAAGAATCCCACAGAAACAAAACATGCAATTACTATTAAAGTTAAAAACAAAATTTTCAAACAAGTTATTATTTCAATGGAAATCTACCATTATCCACATAAAAACAGTGCTGTGCAGACTAGCATAAAGTTTAGGTAAGGTTGAAGTGGTAAAGATAAGGAAATAGACATAAGTGACTGGAAGGAAAACAGTGCAGTGCTAACTGGAGTGAAAATGTGTGTGGTCTTTTGGCGGTTGGTGATTTAATAGTTCATATGATGTTGTTGGTACTGATGTTGAGTGAGAGGCGTGTTGTGACTGCTAGGACAGGAGGGGGTTACAGACTACACACCTAAAGAGATCCTAGTTGTCGGTTGTTGGGTCGTTGTCACCTTAGCTCCCTCTGTGGTGGATGTTGTTTCTGGTCCAGCTGTTGTCATGTGTGTTGTGCTTGTCTCTTGTTTGGATGTTGTTTGTTGTGATGTTGTTTGTTGTGGTGTTGTTTGCTGTTCTGTTGTAGTTGTAACCTTTTCTGGAGTGCTTGTTGTTTGTATTGGTGTAGATGTATCTTGTTCTGTGGTTGTTTGTTGTTGTGATGTTGTGTATGGTTTTAATGATATAGAAGTCAATGATTCTACTGAAGTTGTCTGTTCTGATGTTACAGCTTGTGTTATTTCAGATGTAACAGTTTCTAATGTGGAAGTGGTTATACCTTGTTCAGTTGTTGATATGATGGTGGTTGTCATTGGTTCCATGCTAGTTGTCAATGGTTCAGTGCTAGTTGTCAATGGTTCAGTGCTAGTTGTCACTGACTCAACTGTGGTTGTAACTGGTTCAGTGCTGGTTGTAACTGGTTCAATACTTGTTGTTTCTGGTTCAGTACTAGTTGTATCTGGTTCAGTACTAGTTGTCATTGGCTCAGTACTAGTTGCAGGCAGTTCAGAGCTAGTGGTTGTCATTTCTAACAAAGTCGTAGTTGTATCAGGTTCTGAAGGTGTCAGTTCTTCTGTTGTGCTTGTTGTTGAAACACTGGACACATCCATGGTTGTTGTCATATCTTCAGTTGTTGTTGGTACTTCAGAAGTTGTCATCTCACTAGTTACAGACTCAGAAGTTGTCTCTCGAGCTGTGGTTGTCTGTTCACTTATTGTCACTTCAGTAGAGGTTTCTGTAAATTATGAGGGACAACATTCTTTGTGTGTATTGTGATAAACCTTGTGTATACATGCACCCATGACTTTAGTAACAAAGAAAGCTACCACAAGAGCCCACAACACTTTTAGCTTACAAGCAGCATGCACATTCTCTAATAAGTACTTTTAGTAGATTCTCTATCACACTCTTATAAAAGTTTGTATAAATCTGACTATACGGTTAGCTGGCATCTAAATTGACTTTCTCAATCCTATTTGCTACGAAAGAATCCTACAACTGATTATTAATACATGCATAACTTTTAAATTAGCTTTTTTTTAAACAAATAATGTAATATAATTCAAAGAATTTCACAACTAAAAAGAAATAATAATTCTTATTCTTAGATGGAAAAAATGACTTTTACATTATTTATATAGATTACTCAATGTAAAGTTATATGCAGTATAGAAAAAATTACATTAAATCTGTGCATTTCAAATTTCATAATGGTTACTCCTAATTTTCTAAAAATAAGTTAGTGTGCAATTTCCTTAAACAAAAAATTGTGAAGAATTTTTTTTTTTTGGTTTAAGTTCAGTGATGAACCACAAAAAATACAAAAATCATGTGATGTCATTTATAGTATGATATTCCAGATATTATACACTTTATATCATTATTTTTTATTGGCATTTACAATGATTATGAACAAAAAAGTGAGTGGTATTTCTTTTTTATGTACAGCATTTATTTTAAAACATTAAAAATTTTGTGGAATCATTCAAGTTAACAAGAGTCATTTTGCAGATTGCTAAAATTCTACAAATTTTTATTTTTAAACAACATGATTCACATAAAGTCAAAATAAATAACCAAAGCATGTTGATGTATCATGATTCCACAATGCAAAATTAAATGCTTGAAAATGTTTAGAATGTGTTTGGCTACATTCACAAGTCCTACATATACTTAATATTTCAAAATCTGCTTTCAAGTGGTAAATTTTAATGATAATTTTACTCTTAAACAGACAAAGATTAAGATTAAATTTCCCCCCCAATTTTTATTCAAATTTATGAAAAATTTTATTTTTATCAAGTTGTTATGTCATTTTTGTAAGCAAATTATTCCACTTCAAACCATAACTTATATATGTTTTTATATTTACTGAATACATATACATTCCTTTGAAAAATCATAAGAGTTAAAGAAATATTTTATATCAGTAAGCAGAGGGTTTATGAACCTTGTTTCATTTTTTCCCCCCAATTTCTATTCAAATTTATGAAATAACATTTATTTAAAGCTTGATTACTCTAACATTAAGGCTGTAAGTTTTTTTCACCCATTAGGTTTGAGATAATGAAGTTTGACTGTATATGTATATAGAGTTGAATAAATAATTACTTGTCATATGACCTGTATGACCTACATGAATAATTACCTGTCTCTGTTGTGGATTCCATTGTTGACATTTCTGTCGTTGACATTTCCGTTGATGATTCATCCGTTGTTGACATTTCCGTTGAAGACATTTCAGTCGTTGACATTTCTGTTGTTGTATCAGCCTCTGTAGTGGTCTCCATGGTAACTTCATCTCGTATCTGTTTGGTAGCTTCTGTCACTGTCCATCCATCAATAACAATGTTAGCGTAAATATTTGTCTTGATAGACAAACCAATGTAGAATTTGGTTGTAACAGACACTGTTACAATCTTGGTGATATAGACTCTCGTAGATGCCACTTCCTTATCATCTAGGTACAAAACAAGACCATTTTGTTCACTCCACGAGAAATCAATCTTGTAGAATACACTGATTTTGATCAAGGTTGTTTCCACAGTCCATTCCTTGGTCTCCGTACTGACGGTCAGGAACAACCTGTTTCTACGGTAATACATGGCCACCCCGAATCCATCTGGCTCATCTCCACCGTTAGAGAAGATGTACATGTTCTCTGTCAAGGTCACAAACTTCAGGTTAAAGGTTACAGACAAGCCAAACTCACAGCGACTAGGATTACTTAGACAACCATTGTCACTTGAGGTCAGATCTATGTACTGTCTGGCACCGTCTAGCTGGAGGGCGTTTTGTCCAGTGGGGCCAGTCACTAGTGAGGGGTTTCCTATCACAGTGTAGTTGGTGGACTGGGTAATGAGAACATTACTTATAATGGTGATGAAGGTGTATGATATTTGTATCACCATGTCACCTAGAAATGAATAAAAATACACTTAATTACAAATTAGACTTATTGATTTGTAAAAACATCTTAGAAAAATGTCGATTGTTATAACTTACATGTAATATACTATAATATATATTATATAGTAATTTACATAATTGATAATTGTTGTAACTCACATGTGGATGTTTAACTAATGTTTAGCTGAAAGTTTATCATTTGGCTGTAAACCTTGTCAGTCCCCAGTGTCCCATATGGTATGTAATAGCAATGTTCTTAAACTGTATTTTATTTGTTATATATTGATTAAGTGTTTGTGTGGCTACTGTAACTTACGTGTGACTGTTGTCCAGCTGGTAGTGGTCCTGTTAGGAGAACAAACCTCCAGTGGATTTCCAGCATTCATAAATCCTCGTCCATAACAGGTTCCTCCAATCAAACATATGTCAGTCTGTCAAATAAAATGTCAATGGTGTTATTATTTTGAAATGAACAGGTATTTCAAATACATTTATTTCAAAATGTTAATAAAGTCCTTCTTTTCTGACACGAAAAAAATTAACCTCAAAATTTTTTTCTAATCATGATAGTTTAACAAGCAAACATTAACACAGCTTTGCCAAAACCATCCTTTTTGTTCCAAGGAATGGAAGAACTTTCCTTTGATTGTACTACTCACCCTTTGAGAACATCCAGACAAGTCACATGTGTAGCAGGAGGAGTCATAACCAATGAAGGTCAACTCCGCTCCGAAGTTACTTCCGTCATTGCTGACACTGACATTGTAGATTCCAGAGTCCGGCATTTTACAACTGACCTGTTCCCGACTAACAAAACTGGCATTGACAGTCACAGAACTGCCATCTACTATAAAGTCAACTCCCTGTCGCTTCTGTAAAAAGAATGTCACAGTTGAAATTATAAAACGGCTCAAAACTGTTCTGTTCTCATGAGATATCTGTTTGACTCTAAGTATCATACCATTGTAGTTCTAGTACATAAACACTAAATTTTGAACTTTGCTCCAACTTCTTAAAAGCAAAAAAGTACAATATTCTTTCTTTTTTTAAATATGACCAGAAATATTCTTCTCTGTAAGAAAATTAAATAGTGTGATGTTAGGACTAGCTTTGGTGACAAGGATTCCTTGGAATCAAACATACCATCTTCTGGACCTTGCAGACAAGGGTATCAACCTGGATGAATCCATCACCATTTATAACAACACTTCTACAGTCCGACTTCAACAGGTCACAGAGGTAGTCTGGGATATCATCAACTGCTGGTGGTGTTGTCAAGACAACAGAGCAATCATCTCCATAGTAACCAGCATTACAGGTACATTCACCTGTTTAATTAATAATGATCAATGTTAATTTATCTAGTACATATAAATACTTTACCACACTTTTAGGAAATTTACATGACTGTGCAAGTATTTTATTTCCAGATTTTACTCCACTATTTTTCAATCCATATGTATATTTATAAACCAGTTCACAGAATTTTTTTTTTACCGAATCTCAGTCACAAAAGATTTTATCTCTTTAATATTACAACAATCACCAACATTAAGAAACTGGACTCTGTCTGGCTCTACAAAACTTACTATCTTTACATGTTCCCTGTTTACTACACTCATTAGGACACAGATTGTCGATGATGGCAGGACTGGGGACAATTTCTCCTGACACATTCACCCAGAGTTCTACATTGACCTCCAGCTGAGTCTGACAGAGCTGTAGTACCGCTGCTAATGCTCCCTCAGCCCAGGTAAAATCATCCATTATCTGTAATTTCAATTATTTTTTAAACATCCTTTATCATGATTTTGATTCAATCTTTGGATATATCTGTTTTTTCCTACTAATTCATTTCCTTCTCATAAAGTCTTAAAAATAAGAAAATAATAATAATAAAAAATAATTTTCATTACTTCTTTTCATCCTAAAACTTGATCAGGGATAAAAATCTACATACATGTCATTATTTTCTACTGAATATCATATGGTTGATACCTGAATGTCGATGACACAGGAGTCAAGGGAGATGGAGAATCCAATGTCTGGGACATTCTTACAGCCCTGGAATCCCACACTGGCCTCCACTGTTGTCTTACATTTCTGGAACGCCTGTCTCTCTGTGATGTTACTGGCTGTTGGCCAGGTGTAATCCTAATAAATTACATTTAACTTATCATGTAAAGCTTTTATCATGTCATTCATGAGTCTTCTACTCTAAATAGCTTTGTTCTATTTTTTAAAATGAAAATGAGTTTGATCGTTTGGTACTTTTCTAGAAGGTTCAAAATCATAATTCCTACATTTAACAAAACATTTATGTTCAATTTTTCTCTTCATTAATCAAGTCTATGCAATTTAACATTATGCAAATGTTCAAGCATTTTCTATGGCACGCCGATTGGTTCAAAATTATTTTCTGCACGACCTTAAACAAAAATTACACGAGTAAGTAAAAACTTACACAAAGTGAGGAAAGTATACAAAAAGTTATTGAAATTTACACAAACTACAGAAAAACTACACAATCAACAAAATATTTACACGATATAGTGAGAAAATTACACAAACATAAAAACGAAAACTGCACGAGTGAGAATACAACATCGACATATTATATACGACGCATCCTCATTGCGCACATTTCATTAATATTCATTAGAGAACAGCTCAGGGTGGCTTGGATGCTTGAAACATAAACCTATAAATTTATCCTAAAGGATGAGTAACGTGTTAGTAATATTTATTTAATCTTTTTAAAAAGGATTCAGTCTTTTAGAATTCCACTAGGCTCTCAAGAATATGTACAATGTGTTTTATGCATGTATAAATTTACACACAATCTTAAGGATAAATAACACAAACTTTTTTCAGAAATCAGCATTATTTTTCATAGATTTACATTTAAATTGACAACCTGAATAATGTTTACAAAGTAGAGCGGGAGGATTTTATAAGATTTTGTCATAAAGTTAAAAAATTGTGAAAAATTTTGTATGGAATTATATAGAAGGCAAAATAAAATCTCAAATCTAAGCACCAAGGAAATCCTACGATTTCTTTATATTTCAGGGATTTATTATTTATATCAATACAAATCAAAATCAGTCAAAAAATATATATCAACCCGCGCATCCATTTTTTGTTTGTGGTAAGTACCCTTAAGTATGGAATATGAACACCCCCGATTAAAAACATTCTACACATGTATAAATAACGTAAAAGGGATGCATATTACCAGATGTGTGTTTCATTGTTAGATTTTTAAATTGTGTCATTCCTCTATCATTGTCTATATAGCAATTTCTTTTGAAAGTGTAAAACATTGATATAGTAAAGGTCTTCATAAAATTAATAAAAACAGCATGTGATGTAATACAGGGCAGTTAACAACAAATCAAACTCTTCTCCTCCACCACCCACTGTGTGTACGTCGGTAATAATTAAGGATGTGGATGCGTGACCTTTTCATATGGAGAGAACCCTCCCTGCTGGTGAAGGAATGAAAGACACCTGTACGCTAATCGATTTATAGTTATTTGACACATCAATAATACCTTTTGATTAAGGATTACTAGCAATTCATACAGAGATTTTGAAGCATAAATTGTTGCGATCATCTGGGTTGTGGAATTTGACAGAAAACTTTTTGGAAATAAACAGTAAAAAAAAAAAATAAGGCAAATAATTGCGCAACTTTAAGTTTTATATTTAAACGATCGAATATAATTATTAATTTTTTTTTATATAATTATGTATGTGACAAAGTAGAACATGTAGTCTTTAATTTTGAACAATGTGTAGTGATTTCATAAATATCCATGTAAATGTAGAAAACTGTATGTAAATTGTAGTCGTTTTAGTTATGTGAATTTAAGCTTAACATATTACCGGTATGTTTTTTATCGAGTTTGCTTTGAATAGGTAAAATGCATATAAAGGAGTTAAAACAATTTAAAATTATGATATACAGACACATACATGTATAATATCGGTATAGCATCACTTTTAATAGTGGGGAGGGGGTTAGAATTTTTTTTTTTTGACAAATTACCTGAAAAGTCTAATTGCATGACAAGCGAAAAAAAAGGCGGGGGGGGGGGGGGGGGGGGAGTGTCCAAACTAGAAAATCCTATTTCGTTGAGGTAGTGAGGCACCTTCAATATTCCACCTTCTTTTCGAAACGCATAAGCATATATTACTTAGATTTAAACTACCAAACAAAAAAGGGGATGAGGCTTTTCAGTAGATATTTACGATAGAAAAAGGTTATGTTTGCAAAAGAAAAGAAAACGAAAAGGGGGAGGGACATGCCCCTCCTGATGCTAATAGCTGAAATATTTTTCTATGAATTTAAGCGTACATGAAGTAGTCGATCGAAATCAGGATTGCAATTCAACCTAAAACTATAACGATAAATATTGTAATTTACCGTCCATATCCTGGAATTTGCGCTCGACCTAACAACATTTAAAAATTGAAGGTTAGGGGGTCAACCAGGATGTAAGGAATATTTACTAGTACTGTTGAAAAGTCTATAATACTCAGAAAAAAGAAGGGAGGAGGGGGGACTTTTACAGGCCCGTTTGCCGATTAATTTCATTTTATGATTATACAGTCATGTTCTTGTTATAATGGCCATAGATTTGGGTTGAAAAGTGTTATTACAAAAAAACTTAAATTTAGTGTTTGGGAAATAATAAATTATTAACATTTTATGAATACGAATTCTAAATGTAAAGAGAATTTGTTTTCTTTGAAAATATTTGCAAAAATTGTGCTCTATTTGGAACATGATTTATTTGCATTTTTCAAGAATGATAAAACAAGATTTATATTCTTTTCATTTATTATCAAACTGCAGTATCCATTCCCATTTTATTTATGACATTGTATGTAGATGTATTTAGTAATTCACAATGTTTTAAAAGTCTTGGTGTGTCATTATGGTCCAACGATTTGAAACTTAAATAAATTTATGGGACTCCAATCGATCCATGAGCCAGGTCCGCCACTGATCATGTGTTTTTCCATAGCCAGGATTATTTGAGTAGAGTTTTGTTATTTCATTTGGACAAATTTAATTAACAAAAAACAAAAGCGCATGTACATAGAGTATATAAGTATATTCTCCGTTTATCTGGTCCTTTTTATTAAAAATGAAAACATTTATCAAGTAATCGCCATTGCGAATGAGGGCAACGCTTACAAGAAATATCTTGTTTTTATTTCGAAGTTTATAACTGGAAATATGAAATATCATGGAAAAAATCAGAACAAAAAGTAGGCTACAGATATCCAACCAAAATTGATATCGGATATTTTATAAGTTTGGATACATATGTAAATAGAAATAAAATATGTTTATGTTTGACATTAAAAATACGTTGTGTACATCTAAGGTAATCCTCACTTTTTAAATTTAAAAATGTACACATTTGTATATATCCAGCCAACTGAATATTTAATTTCCTATTCCGAAATGGGGAAAAAATCTCCTCAAATGATTTTTTAAAATCAAGATCCTTGTCAGCCGTACTGTAGTTCATCGTTAGGTACTTTTAGTTCGGAGTCGAGTGCATCATACTCAATGGTACTTTTTTAAACCCCGCATTGTAGCACAAACGTACCGATTCATTCTTGTTACAATTTTTGTCCGGCATCATATAATACATCCTTGATCTCGGTCAATATAAGAAATTCATAGTATTTTCAAAAAGCTTTTAAATACTCTCGCATAGATCAGATGGAAACACTTCATTCGAAATCGGATTGTAAAAAAGCAACTTCCATTCTCGATAACATTCAGCTTAGCATACATGAAGAGATAAAGAGTACAGAAAACAAAGAACACTATGAATATTCTATGTGCATAGTAATGATATGCGCAGTAAAATTGTTTGTGTAATTTTTAGTTTCCTCTGCTCGTGCAATTTTCGATTTTTGTTTGTGCATATTAAACCCTTTAATCGAGTAAAAAAATTCGGATTCGTGCATTTTTCGTTATGTTTGTGTAAAAATCTTTTAAACTATGTGCAATTTTTACCGATACGTGCATTTTTATTTTACTCGTGTATATTTTTCTTCTAGCTCGTGTATAAAATCGTGATCGTTGTGCAGAAAATAATTTTGAACCAATCGGCGTGCCATAATTTTCCAATAAAATTTCAATAAAGAAAAGAATCTTTAAAAATCGAATAAATGATTGATACATAATATCCAGTAAACAAATCATCAAGTATACCGGTGCAATGTAGGTAACATTGTACTCAAACAAGATAAGAGCTGATCGAGAGAGACACATAGGTGGTGGGGAGACAGCCTGCTGAATCACGAGGTCTGTAATCTCCTCCCCTACTAGTCCCTTCTTCTTTCCCTTTCTCTTCTTGTCGGGCTTGACACAAGAGGATATGTCAAGGTCAGTTCCACAAACTGGGGTGGATCCAAGATTACAGTCACAAAACACAGGGACGGGAGGAATGACCTCGTTTACTGTATCTGTACAGACACCAGAGTATAGAGTCTCAAGTCCCATCTCCTTAATCCTGTAGTGAGAAAAATAGTAAATCAAATTAGATAATAAAACCAGTCCAATTTTTTTCTAGCACATATTAATCTAAGTACTACAGCTTAAATGATTAAGGACAAAGAATTTATGCTATACTGAAGGCAGGGATAAAAAAAACTAGTAAAAAAGATCATATTCAAACTTGCATTTGTCTTTTTTTGTTGAAACAAAATTCTAAGCACAAAGATTTCAACTTATATGAAAATTAACTTTCGACTAATTATAACCTCCAATGTATCTGTATAAGTAATGACTTACCTCCAGCTCTTGGAGAACTCCTTTGGTCTCCTTTCTTTTCCAGAGTACAGTCGGCCATTAGGCATCAGCAGATCATTGCTGGAGTCTCCATCATAGTGACCACATAATCCTGTAATACAGTTAATACAGTACTGTAGCTTTGTTTTCCTCTACTGGCTTATTTTCTTAATATCCTATCTTAATGCATCTTGGTATTATGAGTAAAGTGCATTTTCATTTAGTAATAATCAAATTACTAGGGTAGTTAACTTAACCATCATAACATGATCTTAGCCTCTCATTATTAAACTAATATTCTTCTCCTAAGAAAAGTTCTGCACTGAACTACGGCTACATTATATAAATTTCTTTTCGGTTACATTAATAATGCTTTGGGGTAAAAGTGATGTTCCTGGGGGTCGAACCTGGTGGCTTTGGTGTGCGGGGGAGGCGTATGTGTTGATTTGGTTATGCAGTTAGTACGTATTATGTTGGTAATATCTATTTATCTCACTTATGTGCTTTACTAACTTAGATCTCTTTTGGGGTCTATTTTGCGGCATGCGGTGATTCGGTCTAAGGGTATTTAAACTCGTGTTTTATGTTCTTTTGTCATTCGACAAAAGTTAGCCACGACTTATCAGTTTTCCAATTTTCTTTTACTTTTATTTAATGAAACAGAATTCTTTTGTAGATTGATGCTTAGTTTCTTTGAAGTAGATCTGATTCCTAGTCTGGAGTTGCATAGCACTTTGGTTGAACCAATACTGGGCTTACCTATGTGGAATACAACTGCTAAAATCGCTTTAGAGATTTTTTTTTCTTTATATTCATAAATAAAAAACTGTTTTGTAGTGGTTCATAGCTACATAGCTACATTAGCGGAAAGGTATTTTGATGTAGTGTAAACAGATATTGCTTGTACATATTTATTTTGCACAGCTTTACTTAAAGAAGTCAATTTATTGTACATTATAAGTAACAACATTTTGCGTTAAGTTTGTGAGAATGAGTCCGCCATTCATTTCGTTTACCTCGCATTTGCTGCGGATTTACAGGTTTCCATAGTTTTTTCAACATCAATGTTGGTTTTTTTCTATGGTTTTTCCTGGGCGGCGAGGGAAGCATAATATTGGGTTCATACATTCATTTATGGAGGTCAAAACAAGCACATATATATATGTTCTGTGATATTTGATTAATTATTTTTATTTTTGATACATTGTAGAAGGAAGGCAAAGAGTTGGTACCATCGACGACTGTGTTTGTAAATTTATATGTGTAATAAATGCGGCAAGCAAGCGTTTCTATGTGTGGACGCACCTATGGACGCTTTAATATTTGTACCAATCAGTTTGATTAAATCTGGCTATATGTTCTGTGATATTTGATTAATTATTTTTATTTTTGATACATTGTAGAAGGAAGGCAAAGAGTTGGTACCATCGACGACTGTGTTTGTAAATTTATACGTGTAATAAATGCGGCAAGCAAGAGTTTCTATGTGTGGATGCACCTATGGACGCTTTAATATTTGTACCAATCAGTTTGATTAAATCTGGCTAACATTGTCGCCTCCTCTATAATTGTGTTTGAGTTGTTTTTGTATATGTAAAGAGAATATGATATAATTTATGTTCGTCTGAGCGAAGCGAAAGAGAACATAACTATTGAACATTTAAAATTGCACTGTCTTGTATCTAAAACATTAAGTTGAGGTAGCTGTATTTTTTTGCTTATAAATCTTATTGTTACACCTGACCTCATAATATCTTGTCCTCAGAATCGATTATCATACCTTATTTTACCCGCTGGGTTGAGTCTAGTTATTACCCTCTGGGTTTAGGCTTGTGAGTTGAGTCTACTATCTTACCCTCTGAGTTGAGTCTAGTACCTCTGAATTGAGTCCGTTATCTTACCCTCTGAGTTGAGTCTGTTATCTTACCCTCTGGGTTGAGTCTAGCTATTACCCTCTGGGTAAAGGGTTGTGAGTTGAGTCTGATATCTTACCCTCTGAGTTGAGTCTGTTATCTTACCCCCTGAGTTGAGTCTAATTATTACCCTCTGAGTTAAGACTTGTGAGTTGAGTCTGTTATCTTACCCTGTGAGATAAGTCTAGTATCTTACCCTGTGAGTTGAGTCTGCTATCTTACCACCTGAGTGAGTTAAAGCTATAGAATCTTACCCTCTGAGTTGAGGTAGTCATCAGCTGAAGCCTTGTACCAGAGTTGTAAGAATTCCTTCCTGTTTCTGTTGACCTGCACAATCAGCTCTCCTCCACTGGGGAACACAATCTATAACATCCACATATAAAGTTATACTGGAAGGATGATGTGGCATGAAGCAGATTGACAATTTTTGGTTCCCTTGTGAAAGCATTATTTATCCCCTTTTTTTTGACCATGCTTGTATTGAATTATGCATCCATCATGTACATAATGTAACCTTAACATAAGCAACACCCTATCTTACTTAATATTTATTTACCTTGTATTTTCGTCCATTGTTGAATCTGCTGATGGATGTACCTGGAGTCAACTCTCCATTCAGATAGAGTTTGGGAACCAGGGGCTGTTTCTTGGCTTTCTTTCTGTTGGCACCACATCTATCCAGAACAATGACGTCATCACCGATTCTCGCTGCTACAGCGCAGTTACATGCAGCACGCCTGAGACAGGAACGGTGGAAGGCTCGAATCTGTAAACATTAAGATGCTGATTAATGAATACATGTTATTACTTTGCAAAAACACAATCAACCTGATGATTAAATGCTTAACTTTTTAACATAATCTTTATAAATAAAACCAAAATACAAAAGGAATGGAAGATGTTTAAATAGTTACAGCAAAACTTGTTTAGTACGAACACGGATATTGTGAATTTACAGATATAGCGAAGTCATCTTGGATCCCCAGCTATATAATTTTAATGAATTTCTTATACAGTTATAGCGAATTACGGATATGGCGAAGTAATTTCATAGGTCCCAGCGACTTTGTTACAACCGAGTTTTGCTGTAATACTATTTTTATAAAGTCAAAGAAATAAAAAGTTGTTGAATAGCTCAAAAGCTTTCTTATTTTCTTTTTCAAGTTTTTCATACCATGCATTCCCTAGGCTATGTTTACCATACACCTTTTTAACAAACTGCCACAGAATGTTCATTTTGTCATTCATCAAAAGTAAGTATGGTTAATTTACCTCATATGGGAGTGTTTTGTGTCGGTACAAGATGAATTCTCCTTCTTGGAAGACATCAAATGTCCTATAGAAAAAAAAACAAAAGTGCAAAACAGACAAGAAATGTAAATTTATGGTTCTAATCAAATAAAATTTTTAAAAGCCATCTGATAAATTTTTACATGGGACAAGAACCTTTTCTACATCATAAGACTTACCTTTTATCAAAAGTGGTAATGTGAGGATCTCCAAGCGACCGACACACAGACAACCTGTCTTTATCGACCACCTCAACCCTCACTGTGTAGCTGACCAGCTTAGGGGACATCACTGTTCCAGTAGCAATGGACACATCAAGCTGGACATTCAAATTCTTATTCTTATCCTTCAGTCCCTCTGGCACTCCATAAATATTGACACAGGTCTGCTTCGTCCAGTGTTGGTCAGTGATGGTCACTCCGCAGCCTGGGGTTTTGACCTCGTCGCTCTGTTTGAAGACAGCCTGGGGTATGTAGCGACCAGTGGCACACTTGGTCTGTCTGTGGGATTGGAAGCCATAGGAAACTTGGATGCCACAAGCAGTGGTGTTGTCAGTAGAGTTACAGAAAAGTCGGGGTGGGAACGGAGTCTCCAGCTTCACACACTCTGTATCTCCTCCCTCAAAAACAGTCACCTTACTGGACACCAACTGTAACAGACAATGTTAATGTTTAATATAAAAACTTTGTCCATCATTTTCGTATTAATTTCTTCTCTATGCACATTTATTAGGTCTACAGTCTACAAATGGCATTAGAATAAAATTTTTTTTATTGGTCTCCTTATATTAATTATACTAGAACTTTGAGGTTACCTTGATGGCTGTGCTGATTTTGTCACTGCGTTTCTCAGGACCTCTGGTGTTATCACAGTTGTCACTCAGACAGGCTGATACTCCACAGTACAGCTGTTGTGCAAAACACATTACATGTAATAGTACATATAAACAAACAAAAAAATGTCTCCTCAACAACAAAGAGATTTAAAATTTTGAATGACTTATTTAAATATTTTTTACTGTAAATACATGTACATGATTTACTATCAAGATATCAAATACAGCTTTTTATTTTGAACAAAAAAAGGTTTAATTAAAGACACAGTTATTGCATAAGAGCAGTCAAATCATAATTCACTTATACATATCACAAGAAAAATTAGCCTACGAACCTCGGCTCCAAATGTCAACATTCCCATGTCTTGTTCAGTGAGTGTAGGTCTTGTCTCATTTCCAATGTCTACTGTCTTCAGAAGTCTGTCATCTTCATACCAGGAGACAGAGTAGGAATGGGTGGGGGACAAAGACTCAAATGAACACATGAGGGACACCTCATTATTGTTCACATGACGGGTCAAAGCAGGGGACTTCTCAAAAGAGGGTAACTCTGCAGAAGCAAAAACCATATTAAGTGAATAATAAACATTCGAACTTGTCTGAGTCACTCTTACCAGAAGTTACCTTAATTCTGATTCCAATTATTTGCAAACATTTTGCTTTTATTCTGTATATTTCATGGTACATTGTATTTGATTAGGTTTGAAATTATTCTCTGAAAAATTATACATGTACTATAAATCATAAAAATATATTGGGGGAAAAACACACACACAGATCAACACAGATCCATAAAATGCCCTTTTCTTCGAGTTTGAGATCCTCCTCTAAGAAATTTTAGGTGTCAGTTACCTGTTTTGATTCCAGCTCCAGTGATGATTTCAGTAGAGGCAAACACGATAGTGAAGGAATCAATGGCCATTCCACAGTTCTTATCTTTCTTGGAGGATCCTCCAATTACAAAGTCTTTGATTGCAGAGTATGTACTGGCTGGTCGGCTGACATATCTCTTGCTGGATGCTTTAACTGTCTTGTCAATACTTAGCTGTAATCCACTCTGGAGACTCCAAGACATCTCCACTTGCATGAATGTCTCCACTTTGATGGATGAAGTAGAGATGGTCCACTCGGACTTTTTGTTGCTGGTTCGAGTGTAGAGTTTGTTATTCTCAAACCACATAGCATAGCCATAACTTGAGGCTTCCTCTCCACCATTACTGAACACGTAACATTTTGAGCTGTGTTTTTTCAGCTTTAAGTTGAATCGTATGGTGACCCCCTTTGTACATTTCTCTATATCACCAAAACAAGTTGTTGTCTGATCCCCATAGGTTAGATACTGCTTTCCATCCAAATCGACTGCATTTCCTCCAGCAAAACCAGGAATTAGTTTGGGGATGCCTGTTCCACCAATGGTGATGTTGAAAGTCTTGGTGATCAACAACTGATTAAATATTCCTATAAAGATGTAGTTCTTGATAATGATGTTACGGACTGAAAAAAAAAACAACAACATAAAACCAATGCATTGTGACATGAAGAATATAAAGATTTCCTATAAATAAAGTTTTACAACCTGTGAATACATATTTCTATAAAAATTAATATTATTGAGATCCTACCATTGAGGGTTCCCCACTGTGTTTTCGATGTGTTGATATCACAGATCTTTGTGGCATCGAAAGGATTGACAAATCCATCAGCATAACACTTCCCATTGATCTGACAAATGTCAGTCTGCAAAGCAAAGGGTCAATCAGTCAAGTTATAATCTATAATGGTACTTATCATATTCCATACCAATCTCTATGGCTTATGACCATTAATGGGGTATTTGTTTTGTAACTGGATTTTCTCACATCAAATTTAATTCACAGATGTATGCAGTTGCTTCCATTACAATATACTAGACACCAAGTACTTCTAACAGACTGTCAAATATTTACACTGTATACTACTAAAAATGCAACTTCACCATTTTTCATGTAAATATATGAAAGAGTAAACACATTTTTTAAAGTAAAATATAATGAAAATACAACAAACTTACCCTGAGTGAACAGGAATTATCATCACAGATCTCACACACGGAATCATAAACTACGACACGTACTGACACACTGATCAGAAGTCCGTCATTACTGATAGAGAGATTTCCTCTGTAGGCAGGACATCTCACCTCCTCCTCACTTCGGAATATAGCCGACATGTTTACCATGGACTATAAAATATTAAATTATTATTTACTAGTGAATTATTGCAATATCTTTGCATGTGTAATTTATTCAAATTCATATTTGTGAATGCTAAAATAATTCTATCCTTAAATCTTATGTAATCAATTGCCAGAAGTAACCATATTTTGGATTTACATTTTTTGTTATTGTATAATACACTCTCTTCATTCTCTTACATTGTTTTCAGCTAATGTATAGTGACAGGTGAGTGAAGGTTGATCCAAGAAGCCGAAGCCTTGAATGAAGAAGAAGAGACAGGGTCCTTGACTGAGGTCACAGATGGCATCCACCACGCCTACCACATCTGGGGGATCACTGGTCGACAATGAGCAATCCTCCCCATCAAAACCAGCATTACATACACAGGAACCTGCAAATAAGATATGTAAATTTTCTTTAAAATGTGATTCAGTCTTATTCAATGATGTTACAACATCATTGACATTTAATTTTTCACAGAATAACACCATTTAAACATACCAAACATAGTTTTAAGGTATTTTTAAATAATTATCCATATAAAAAAGAATTCCCAATAACAAGGACAAATTTTCCTCACCATTGACACATGCCCCCTGTTTGTTACAGTCGTCAGGACAGATGGCCTCAATGACAGCAGGAAGTTCTGGTACCCCTCCCCCATCAGTTATCCACAAGGTCACGTCAGTCTCTATGGCAGTCACACACTGTTCTTGTAAGTTTTCTAGAGCTGTTATCAGCCAATCTAAGCTATCCATTATCTAGAGAACAAAACACACATTTATTGCACAAATACAAAACAAAACCGCAAGCTGAAATGGGATGTTATGACAAATTGATGCACTTCCATCTGTTTTCAGTAAAACATATTTTAAACTTGTCAAATTTTTAAAATGACATGCTTTTTAGTACTTGGTGTTAAAGAGCTGTCATATTGTACTAGAATGACTAACCATGATGTCGTCAATGCAGTTTTCTAGGTTTCCTATCTTATCAACATTGGCAATAGCACCACAGGCATCACCAGCTGAGGACTGAGCGATGAACTGGGTACAGTTGTTAACAGCCATCTCTCTTGTGATTCCATTGGGTGTGGGGAAAGTAGCACCCTGTATTAAGAACATATCATTTAACTATCAACATATTCTGAAAGAATGAATCAGTGGATTAATGTTATGATTATAGTTTGACATAGGAATATGTGATTAAGAGAAATTTCAAGTGAGACATTTCCAGATACATGTATTGTTTTTCTAACCTCTCATTTTTTCTGTCCCCAAAATATACAAAATTTTACAGTACAAACTACTAAAAGTATATTTTAAACCTTAACCACTTTCTATTAACATCAGCATAATACAATAATGGATGATAAATGAATGAAAAGATAGCTAAGTTAAAGGAGCTGTTACTACAACTTACAATGAAGACATAGGTGATGTTGAATTCGAATATGATCCTGGTGACTGTGGACTGACAGAAGAACTGTTGTGACTCATCAATCAAGTCCTGTGTAATGTCTACAACTAATCAAACAGATTTTCATTCAGTATTGTCTACAAATCCATCATCAAATAATCATTTTGTATTCTCTCAAACACCTGGTTAATATTAAAATTTACTTTGTAATCTCCATGTATGTTTTTTTTTTTTTTAAATTAAAACTCAATATCTGTACACCATTGTCTGTATCCAGGAGTGTTTCTTTCTATATAATTCATCAAATTCCTTACATTTCTTGCTTTTGCCTTTTTTCTTGCTATTGGCCTTGGAGAAGCTGCCACAATCACTGACCGGGCTGGCCCTACACTGGGGGATCATTCCCGCCTCACACTCACAATACTCGGGCTCAGAGGGGGAGGAGTCGGTAGTGACCACACCACAGTATCCCGAGTACAGAGACTCACCATCAGGGACTCTGGTAATGAAATAACAAAGTGAATTCATTCTGCACAGGCTTACAAGACAGTATTTTGTATGGTTAAGTCAGATTAGTCCAAAAATTACAAAATGTTCCCCCCATCTATTTAGCTATGTGTTTATTTTTTAATTAAATGACATAATGAAAAAGGCAAAAAATATATTACTGAGAACATTGATAATTTGCTGAGGTTGGTCATTCAAGAGCATACACAATTCTTAATACCTCCATTCCACTGAGAATTCATCAGGCTGCTTTTTATTGACAACTTTCCCAGCCTTTGTTACCAAATCATTGTCCTTATCACCATCATAATTTCCACACAGACCTGAACAAATACAAAATAAAATAAATTTTTCACTTTTAATTTATATTCCTTCCTGCATATCTACATCTTTTACAATGCATGTAAAGTAATGTAAACTTGGAAAAATTTACATGAAGGAAATTTTTGCTTATTCTGTGATGACTTCACTTTGGAAAAAAATTACCACCAATTATGTTGAAGTTCAAAAGTGGTTTTACATATAACTTTTTATAACACATTTTATGATATTTTTTGCTTCTACAAAAATATGTTCTTATCTAATGGAGAAATCACAAAGTTATGAGATGAGTTACCTTCCACACTTTCATAATCTAAGGGTGATCCTTTCATCCAGACATTGATAAAGTCTCTCGCAGGTTTAACAATCACCTGACCTCCAGTGGGCAGATTGATCTATAAAGAAGGCAGTCTTCTTAATTGCTCATTTTCATTTAAGAGGATATGGAAATGATTTCATATGCATCTCTGAAGTTACCATTTTTAAAAAATAGATATGGTTATCATGATGTTGTAATCTGTGTATTTGCTGCAAGCTAGTTTATTTACTGCAAGCTCTGAAATTTGGTAATAATATAAACCAATTCATCAAAAAACTTTAAAATCTAACTGACCAATAAAAAAACAATTATAAAATTTGGCACTTACCTCATATTTCTTTCCCTTACGGTGTTGATAGACTGATGTTCCGGGGGTCAGCTGCCCATTCAGATAGAGCTTCTTAGTGAGTGGGCGTCGCTTCTTTTTGCCTGTACGTCTAGTTTTGCCACAAACATCTAATACAATGACATCATCACCTGATCTCACCGCTACAGCACAATTACACGAAGCTTTTTTGTTACAAGATCTGTAGAATGTGTGTACCTGTAATAAAATTAAATTTTTTTTTTATATGTCAGACTAATGTTCTTCTACTTGACTGTACACTTACAAAAAAATTCTGAAAACATTTTAAATTTAGCTAGGAAACACTTTGACAAGTAAAATAAGTTTTCAAGCAAACTTGGGATAAACTTTTTCATATCTTGAATCTTACATCTTCAAATGTCTATTTTTCAAAAGAAAGTTCCATTTAGAATTGTATTAGCACAGAAAAAATCCTCATCCAATAGTACTACAACAGGGAGTATGACAGAACAAACTTACAGCATAGGGTAATGTCTTATGACGATACAGCACAAATTCTCCTTCAAAAAAGTTGTCATATTTCCTACAAATTAAGTTAATTTGGTGAAGCAGTTGTTAAAATCTGACAATCCTCTTTTATGATTTACTTCTGCAACTTTTATGAAATTGCATTTAATATGTTTTTTATTACATTAAATTTATTAATCAGAATGCAGTAAAAAAATATCCCCTTGCATCTAAAAAATTTTAACTCACTTCTGATCGAAAGTAGTCATGTGAGGGTCATTGATGGACCTGCATGTCACCACAGATTTAGAGTCCCGGATTTCAACAGGGATCCTGGCCACATCAAAGAGAGTCCTCATACTTCCTACTACGACTAAAAGCTGGATCTGAATGGTACGAGATTTCTTCCCATCCTTTATCTGATCAACAGTTGCCTCAATTTCAATCTCTATATCTTGGCCCCATGTGATGGGATATGAACACATAGAGTTATTGGTTATTGGAGATCGGAAGACAAGCTGTTGCATTGTGCTGCCATCTAGACACTTTGTCTCTCTGGAGTTTGTCTTCAGTGAAGAGACGACATATAATTTACAGTTAGCTCGGCTGGCAGCTGGACAGAACAGTCTTGGAGGAATCAGATTTCGCCCGCGCAGGGGTTTATCTGGTTTCTTTCCTTCATAAATGACCATCTTCTCCTCCTCAAACTGCCAAGAAAAATCATCTTGTCAATTTCAAAATTGTGTGAAACCTCAGGTAAAACAAATTCAGTGTTCTTTACAGCAATTTCGTTGTGAATCTTATGTCTTAGCTGAATCTTACCTCCATAACCATCCTAACAATGCTGCTGCGCTTAGCTTGTCCTCGAGATGCACTGCATCGATCCCTGTAGCATGCACTAACCTCACAATACATCTGTATAGAAAACGTAATGTTGAACTACATCCTACTCTGTTTTATTTTTAAATTAACTTCTTTCTCTCATTTTTGTCATATCTGCATGATAGGAATTTTAGAATTTGTACAATCAAAAAATTTGTCTACTTCTCATTATGGTAAACAACTGCATTCAATTGTATTTGATAAAAGAGATTGACATCTCTTACAATAAAAAAATTGAAGATAACCAAATGGGATTAATCTTATAAATCTGGTCAACAATATCAAACATGAAAAGAGCAACAAAAAAAAAACAGATCTCTGGAAACACTAGATATAAGGTTGGGTGGAAAGAAGGAATAAGCACCCATTGTAGTTTCTCGTTTTCCAGGTTACTAAATCATTTATTTAAAATATGGAACTCTGACTTCTCCAGACATCTTCAAAAAGATTTAAAATCACAAAGAAGGCACTTACTGAGCTTCCATATGTGAGATCACCAGCATCTTCTTCACTAATCATAACTGGGCTAGTGTTGTTGGTTGCATTAGCAACCATTCTATTGTTGACAAAGAATTCCACTATGTAATCCACATCAGCAGCCAGTTGAGTAAACTCACAGCGAAACTGAACATTTTCATCTGGATTAGCCACAACACGGAGGGAAGGTGATTTTGTGAGTTCCGGAAACCCTTAATTCAATACAAAATTCTTCTATTGTACATGTATATACCAAAGTTTCTTACACTCTTTGACCATCTTATCAGATATTTTCTTTCTTTATCTTAACATCTATTTATAGTTGATAATTTATTGCTAAAGCTCAAGGGCATATATAATATTGCTTGCGAAAATTTTCTTTTGTACCAACCACATCCAATTCTACATATGTAGTACAGTATTTAAATTATACTGTACATGACATTGTATAACTCACCAATGACGTAACCCAGCTGAATCAGAATGTCTCTAGAAGCCAGCAGAATGTGGAAGTACTCAAGCTCCATGTTGGTAAAAGATGATTGGTCTTGGTTTGTTCCTATATAGATTGGACACTTTTCTGGTAGAGATACATCCCTAGTGGTATACTTAGTGGTCCGTGAGACCTCCACTCCCTCAATGTAAAACACCAGACCATACTGTACACTCCAGGAGAATTGATAGGCATAGAACACGTCAGTCTTAACATCGTTAAACTCAACACTCCACTCTCGGCTGCGGGTGCTAACGGTGAATATAAAACGCTTATTGACATAACGGAGGTCATATCCTACACTTTTCGGGTTGGAGCCACAGCTAGAGTAAATGTACATGTCATCTTTTAGGCTGATGAAGCGAATGGTAAAAGAAAAGGTAACCCCAAGGTTACAGAAATCAGGGTCAGAAAGACATAATCCTTCATGATGGGGCAAAGCTAAGTACTGGTTGACACCATTAAATGTCAAGGACTGTTTTCCATTTCTGTTTGGAAGCAACTGCATGTTACCACGCTGAAGAATACTTCCTGCCTCAGTCACAAGATAATTCCCAACAATATTCAGAAAGTATAGCCTATACTCATATATAATATCCACTGAAAAAAAGGGGAAAAATAACAATTAAAATGGTGGAATACATATATCTCATCTACACTAAGAAGTGCAAAAACAAATATCAATTTCTCCATTCAATAATTCATTGATAGAACTACAGAATAAAATTGCAGTCATGACTGTTATCTAGAATTCAGAATCATACCATAGTCCATATACTGTGGAACCATTTTAAATTGATGTGGTCAATAATTGTGGGCAAGCAAAATTTTTATTTGTTTGTAGGAATGTTATTTTGTTATAAGATTCACGGAATCAACAAATATGTTTTTGAAATATTGTTCCTTAATTGGGATGTAAATTCATGGTTAAGGGTGACCACCAAAATTCATGAACACTGGTTCTCCATAAACAACAATGATTCTGCAGTACCCAGGTTTAGCAACTTACATGTACAGTACACAAGTTATTATGACATCATGTAAATGCATCTATATATATTGTTCAATACCCACTCTTCCTTAATATTGAAGTAATTTGAGTTACCTCTTATTGCTGTCCAGGAGTCTGTGCTGTAATCAGGAAGACAGGCCAGATTCTTCTGATCAGGTTTAACAAAACCATTCTCATAGCACATCCCAGCAATCACACAAATATCAGTCTGTCACAGAAAAACAAGGACAACAGTCTAACAACTTCCTCAACTTATTTAATCAAGATTCATAGATTTATGCTTTGTATTCCACCATTAATGCTCTAATTTGTAAATACAAATTGATCAACAGCTGAAATTACCCATAAAACAGCCCTCTTATTTAATACATATTGGATTAACAAAATAAACCTTTTATTATTTTTTTATTTAAATATGTATAACTATTTCTAAACCTTTAGTTGCTACAAACTCAGTAATATCTGTTGATAGGCTTACCCTCTTGGCACATCCTGCCTGGGTACATCGATCACAGTAGCTGTTGTAGATGATGTAGACTTTGTATTCACTAGTGATCTCTCCATTGTTACTGACCGCTACTTCGTACAGGCCTTCTCCAGGGAACGTACATACGACCGTCTCGGAATTCACGTACTCAGCTTTACTGGTTTTTACACTAGATATTGCCGTCAGGTTTGGCTAAGATAAATTAAAAACACAGTGTTGTGAATATTTAAAACCATCAGCCATTTCTAAACAGGCAAATTTTAGCTGAACTCAAATATCACAGGGAAGTCAAACTAGAACTGAGTTGACAGAGAAGAGAAATCAGGAAAAATTTGAAGTTGTAAAAATCGGAGCAATATCTGGAAGAGTTGTCATTATTTCTCTTGCAAAATTAACTAAAATTCCTATTTAAACATAATACATAATGCATACATGATAAAATTTGCAGCAAAAAAAGTTAGTTTATAGAGGATATAAATATTCAACAACTTTTAGTATAATTTACTTTAAATATGACATTTTTTTTTTCATATAAAGGAATATATTTCAGGGATTCTCTGGTAAAGTTCATGGGAATTCTTACAGCTAAATTTCTGTAATGACATGTGAGATTCTCCACTTCAGCAAAGTCATCTCCAAATAAGTTCACAGAATTGCAATCATAACGATTCAGATCACATGGCTTTCCTTCCCCAACAACGTCCAGCTCTGGTGGTTTATTGATGTTAACTGAACAATCACCTCCGATCCATGGATGATCACACTGGCAGACACCTTTAAAACATTACATTTGATTGAATAGAGTTGCAAAAGATTTCATTGGAAAGCAATAAATACATTTGTACTGAATACAGTTTCTTGTGTGGGTGTAAAATGCTCAACAGTATGCCCCCCCCCCTTCCCAATGATTTTGTTGGGAGTATTTTTGGATAATAGTGTTCAATAAAGTTGAAAGCCAATAACATAATTTGATACTACAGATACCAAAAGTAAGGTCTGTAAATGATGACTGATTTTTGTTGCATACTAAGTTGCAGAAAATGACTGTCACTTCTTATGACAGAACTTTGAGCAGAAAGATAACGAGATCCAAGAATTTTTAAAAATCTCTCACCATCTACACAGTTTCCATTGTCATTACAGCTGTTGGGACAAATGGCCCCGGTTATTGTAGGGGGTGGGGCCACTACACCTCCCTCTATGGTGACCCAGAGAGTAATGTCTACTTCTATGATGACCAGACACTGCTCCTGTAGATTGTCTAAACTCTCGTTGGCCCAGCTCAGGTCATCTGTCAGCTGTTAATGGAGAAGAATTCACAACTGTGTCAGTGACAGGACTAGTCATTTTACTAAACAGACTCAAAATACCCCCATTACTTTGTAACAAAGGCAAATGAATCTGTCCTCTGATTTGAAAAAAGTGTATTAAAATCTTCTTATAAACTACATGTGAGTACATTTACATGTATATGGTTCCTGTAAAAACAATTTTTCACAAAAATCAGAATCACATTGATGTTGCTGTCACAAAAATCTCCAAGGTTAAATTACTTCGGATCCAAGTTTTCTGAGTACATTGTGATGATATGCACAGTTGCATACACAAATATAATGAGCTTTTTCATGTGAACCTGACATAAGAAATATTAAAACTTTTTACAATAGTTCTCTTATTTTACCTGAATATCTTCCAGACAGCCCTCAAGAATCGGTTCAAAGTCCATCCCCGGTACACCCAGACACTTTCTGCCTGACTCTTTGGACTCAATAAAGCCTTGACAAATCGATATAGCCCTGTCTTTTGTGATACCATTTGGTGTTGGCCAGGTCAATTCCTGTTAATAAAATGACCCATTTTGAAAATTTGTAAACCTAAACTTCAGTGATGTGAAATGCTTTCAAACCAATTTGCAACTGAGATTAGTTTTTTTAACTCTGAAATGACCATTCTCTGAAAATTTATTGCACTGATTGCAATATAACTGCTGAAATTTCAACTGAAAAAGATAAAATTTGGTTACATTATTTACCTTCTGTATATACTTTGGATCATATTCAAACACCTCTGGTGGCTGTGTGGACACACATCGAGTAGGAGGGGACTGTGCTTCTCTTATGAGCTTTTGGGTCAAATTCTTCACGCCTGTATCAATGTAAAATAAGATTTAATATTGGAGTATGCTTAATTCTCTCTTCAACATCACAATTTTTTTTATGCAAGATATTTCTAAAGATGAACTGGCTTTACTGTCTTCAGTGTGAAGATTCCTTGTGTAAATAAACAAAAGGAAGTTTTGGTTTCTATAAGCTCTCTTTAAATGCTCAATAAACAAAGCATTGTGACCAATGTGACTCCAGACTCAAGAAGTCCACATCCTTAACTGCTCAAACACATGCTCTGGTCCATACCTTTTTTGTTCTTGTATTTGTTTTTCCGTTTCTCTATTTCTTCACACGCCATGATGTCCAGCCCTGCCTGACAGACAGGGTCTTGGCCCTCCATACAGTCACAGTACGTGTCCTCCACTATCCTCGTGTCACCCCTAGGACAGTAACCCCGGTACAGACTCTCCTCCCTCGACACTCTGCAGACAGACATCAAAAACTCAAAGTACAAGTTAGAGCCTTTTTTTCATATAATTTAATAATATGGGAATAAACAATTCTATTTTTGATGACTTTAAAGAGGATCATTTCTAACTAAATTTCTGACCTCCATGTCTTTGAGAATTCTGTGGGTTGTTTGCTTCTTCCACCATACAAAGTTCCATCTCTCTTTGTCAAATCATTGGTCTTGTCACCATCAAAGATACCACACAGACCTGTCACGAACAACATTATACCATGTCTGGCTTGATATAAAACTGTCTCCAAATTAAGTCATCTTGGGTACTCATAACATTAGTTAAGGCTTGAATGAACCAGCACTGAATTTTGTCTTCAAAATGCTGAATAAGATTTATTTACCCGGTACTCTATTGACTCTTCATATTACCACCATATAAAATCACCTTGTAAATAAAACATTGAATATACAGAATCACAATTTATCATTAGTCCTACCTTCTGTGTTGCCATAGTCAGCCGAGGATGCCTTCAGTTTCACATTGATAAACTGACTGGTCCTCTTTCTACCATTCATCACAACAACTGTAGCTCCAGTGGGTAAGACAATCTATAAAATTCATTTACATTAAAAAAAATAATGATTCCAAAATATCTCATAATTAGATTGTGCACGACCCAATCATTTTCCCCTTTTTTTGTCCCAATTTTTTTCCTTCAAATTAATTTTAAAGTACTACTAGTATTAATGATACACTTACCCAGTATTTCTTTCCCCCTGACTTTCTGAGGACTTCAGTGCCCTCGGTCAGGTCTCCATTGAGGTACATCTTGAGTTTCATCCTCCTTTTCTTGGAGAACTTGCCAAGAGATGGTCCACATCGGTCAATGACAATGACATCGTCCCCAGAACGAACGGCCACGGCACAGTTACAAGAGGCCTTACCGTTACAGCTACGATAGAATACCCGCACCTAACAAAAACAACAAAAAATTATAGCACGCTTACTTATCACTGATTCAAACTTTTGAGTTAGAGAAGATAGGGTGTTCATTTGGCCTGATAAGACATATGATATGCATATTAGTATGTTATATTTCTTATATACCACAGCTTTAATACACATGTAGATGATTTTGTATAATTATTTTTATAAAGTATTTAAATTACCTCATATGGCAAAGTTTTGTGTTTGTATAGTATGAACTCTCCTTCTAAGAAATTGTTGTAATACCTGATAATAAAAAAATAAACAAAATAAATCAGCAGAATCTACATTTGCAGATATCCTAAAATCAGTTAACTTTTTTTTTCTTAATTTTCATTACAATAGAAAATGTGGCTTCATTTTATTTTCCCCCTCACCTTCCATCAAATGTGGTCATGTGTGGGTCATTGATGGAGGAACAGGTTGACGTCTTGTCTCTGTCTTTAACTGTTACCTGTGTGGAGGGAAGAGAATAAACTTTTAAAAAGACATTTCTTCCAATATTTTTAAATTAGAAATTTTGGTGTGTTTTATTTAACTGCACTTTAAAGCTATAACTAAACCTAATTTCCAATGATGTCAATAAGCAAGAAGTTTTTGATTTAATTTTCAAGATTTTTAAAAATAAATTTAGTCAGTTGCTGGTTTATTTTGCTAATTTTTAAAATACATTACCTCTACAGTGCTTATCTGCTGATTGAAGAACTCAACAGATTGTACTGCCATTGTGACATACACTCGGACATCTCTTTTCTTGTCTTTGTCCTTGAGACTGTCTATCGTGGCCTTGACTGGAAGCAGTAATCCAGTGTACCAGGTATCCATGGTGATCAGATGTGAGCAAGCTTTTGTGTAGGTGTTGGATTTGTACACGCCAAATACGACCTGTGTGATCTCCTCTCCTGAACTCGGACATTTGGTTTCTTTCTCTGTAGAATAAGTTCATAAAGTTGAGAAGCTTGATTTTAAAATGAAATTAATATACCTTTTAATTTATATATTTACATTATATATATACAGTGTATATTTCAAAAGCAGGTGGTTACCTGTCTCAAAATTAGTCTTCAAAGGATAAGTAATAAATAACCTCTATTAGAAATCCATGTATTTATCAATTAAATCAAAAACCATTTACTGATTTCAGACATATGTTATCCAAATAAGCAATTGAACTTCTACAAATGTATCAAAGATGCCTGTTTTACAAATTTGACCTCCATGACCATCAATTCATTTGGCATCTGTACATGCTGGTGACTTCATGGTAAATTTTTTAGAGAAGAAAGACGAGTGAACCTACCTTTAACAAGGTCAGTGGAGACACCTATTTCACAGTATTTCTCCCTGTCATCTTTCTCACAGAACAGCCTGGGAGGTACAGTGAGGGTAACTTTGATGTTTGTGGGAGAAGCTCCTTCATATGTTGTTATCTTTGTATCACTCAACTGTATAAAATATGATTTCAAATTAACCACAAAAAATTCTCTTGTATATCTATTTTGTTTTATGATACTAAACAGTTGCAACTTTCATTTAAAACTTAAAAATATATGCACACGTATTTTCATAGAGGTAATTTGCAGGAAATTTTTTCCAAATATTTACATTGTATTTTAACTGTAATTTCTTTAGAATAAATGAAAACCATTTTAATCTTATAAAACAACTGTTTTGGTAAGATTTTTACATGCATAAATATGTTCGTCTGATGATTTATTTTCAAAATATAACTTTCAATCCAAAAATTCTCTTGTCAAGAAAACTTCCCAGGCATGCAATGAATCTGTCCTTTTTTTTTTTGAAAAGTCAATTACTGTATATTTATAAATTTCCAAGTTTTTGTTCTTTATTACCTTGACTTGGGCTGTCAGTATGGCACTGTCTCTCCATGGGCCTCTTGTGTTATCACAGTTCCCTTGTTCACAGGCAGACACACTACATTTTATCTGAAAGAAAATGTCAAACCTCTCTAAATATCAATATATTGCAGGAATATTTTAAAAAAGTAAAATGAACACTAGTTGGCAAAAATCATAAATTAGACTTGGCATGACTCTTGTGTGTAATATTTACCTTGTCTCCATACACCAGCTGTGTGATGTAACTTTCATTCATGGTGCTTTCCGTGCTGTTATCCAGCACCTCCTCCATCAGCTGTCTGTCATTGAGGTACCACTGTACTGTATATTGGAGGTTGGGAAGCTCTAGTGGTTTAAACCTACACAGGAATTCTGTTTCTTGAGTAGTTCTATTGACAGATATAGCCAGAGACGGTGCTTCTTTGAATTCTGGAGGTTCTGCAAATAGTTATGAAAAACATATTTAAATATTTTCACAATGAAAACCATTTTATTTTTGAATCTTTTATCTGATATTATGAAAATTACTGAAGTATGTCTGAGCATGCATGCATGTATAAAATGTTAACTGCCTTTTAGGACTTTTCAACATTTTAGTAATGGAATTGATAATATTTAAACTTTGCCTGTATTTAGTTTCTTACCAATCTTGATGTCTAACTCCTTAACCACATCCCCGACAGCTTCAGCAATATCCCAGCCCTCAATCACAATGTTGGAGAAGTATTTCTTCTTTATGGAACATCCAACATAAAACTTCTTATTCAGATTCTTCACGCTCCTCTTGTAATATTTCTCCTTTCTGCTGACCAGTACACCATCCAAGTATAGCCTTATTCCTAGCTGTACGCTCCAGGAGAACTGAATAGCCATGAATCTGTTGAGTGTGGTGAATTTTGTACTGACCGTCCAGATCTTAGAGGAAGTACTTATGGATAGGTACAGCCTCTTTCTCTCATACCACATGGCCATTCCAGAGTAACCTGGCTCATCTCCACCATTGGAAAAGATGTACATTTTCTTGGAGAACTTAATTACCTTTAGGTTGAATTTCACAGTAAGTCCCAATTTACAGGTGTCCAGGTTTCCTATACACTGAGTGGTCTGGTCACCCATGTCCACAAACTGGTCATTGCCATTCAATAGGAGGGCCTTGGCACCAGTAGGACCGGTGACAAAACCAGGAGAACCAAAGAGGGTGAAGCGGATGTTGACTGTTAGAGTATACAGGATGTTACCGACAAGTCTCAGGAAACCATACCTCCTTACTGTTACTTCTGTCTCTGAAAAGTAAAATCCATACACTGTTAATTGAATTAATTGAAACTCATACAAAAATGCATTGTTTTCATATGAAAGATTTGTGTTCGTCTAGTCTCTGTTTCTTGACTTTTTATCAGTTTACTAAAAGAATGGCAGTCACTGTGTAATAATCTGTTCTGTTAGTGTAAAAATTTGTTTGCACTGAAAGTTGAGATTATGTATCCTTGATATGACAGGACTGCCAAAGGACAAGTATTCAGTATAAAAGATAAAGCTGATATTCAAATCAAAAATAAAGTCAGGACAGCTGACTCTCCTTGCCATATGCTTTGCATTTCAAATATTAATACTGAAGCTCAAAATTATTGTACGTATGCTTACAATAAAAAGTTTCACTTACTGGTAAGAACACTCCATGTGGTTGTATTCTTCTGAGTGTAGCACACCTGCTTGATATCTTTAGGATTGACATAACCATCTTGGTAGCAAATTCCATTGATGACACAGACATCTTGCTGTTAGTAAAAAAAAAAATCAACATATTACAAATGGATCATTACATATAACTGTAGTAACGAATTCTGATGCTTTACTGAAATACTATGGATATTGGTCTTCTATGAACAGAAATTATTCCACAGTATTTTCAAAACTGAGCTTAGTTTTTCAGCAGACTTACCCTGGGGCTGCACTTCGCCAGGGTGCAGGTCTCACACAGGGAGTTGTACACCACCAGTTGTAAGCGTCCACTGACCTTGACCCCATTGTTACTGACCCTTAGTTCATACGGACCACTGACTCCAGCCCAAGGACACAGGATATTGTCCTTATTTACATACACTGCCAGAAGCTTCATTTCTGTTCCCTGTCAAATTCAAAGGACATTCATTGTATTGTATTTTTTAGTATATACGACTCTCAACTTTAATCTAAATCTGAGTTTTTTTTAAATTAAAAACATTTTTCCTTCTTTTAATAGCTTACATTAGGCAAGAAGTAGTGACATGTGAGTTTGTCTCCGTCTACAAAGTCTGCCCCATACACTACAAGATGTTTGACCACGCCCACACTGATGTCAATCAAAGTACCGCCCTGAATGGACTCCAGTTCCGGGGGGTCAGTCTCAGCAATGGAGCAGTCATCTCCAACAAAACCAGTGTTACACTCACACACTCCTAGAACAAAATAAGGTATTCTGTAATTTTTCATTGTCATCAGTGACTAAAGAATTGAATAAAGCTAATTCAAAGAGAATTGCTTATACTGCTTTGTGCTGAAGAAGAGAAATTACCTGTACATAATGATGCATGTTAACATGTATTTGATAATTTTACAACTAACATTGTTTTTTTTTCGCTTGGAATTTAACTGAGGTTAATGAACTGTATGACTAGAGCTCAGTAAATTTTGTAAATAAATTCATTTCCTGCAAATTCTTTTTTCAAGTAGTTAACAATCAATCCAGAGATCAAAGGCAAAGTATGAGTGGGACATATTTCAATTCATAGTTTACCTTCATTGCATTTTCCATTTCCGCTACAGTCAGCTGGACATATAGCTCCAAACACGTCCTGTGGGGGTAGTAATTCTCCTCCTACGGTGACCCAGATAGTGATGTTAAACACAATCTCTATCTGACACTGCTGGTTTACGTTCTGTAGGGTCTCAATAGCCCAGTCTCGCTCATCAGTCAGCTGAAAGAAGATCACCAAAATAAAATATAGCAGTCCAAGCCAAGTGTTTAGAAAACTAAAATAAATAATAAAACTCTAAAGGAGAAATTTTATTTTAAATCATCCACAAAAACATTTTTATGTGATTTTAATTTGACAAAATCAAACCTTTAAATCTGATATTCTTTCACAGAACTGTAAAATGAAATTGACTGCACTTTGTACATTGATTGTACCTGAATGTCCTCTATGCAGTTGTCCAGAGCCACATCCAGCTCTACATTGTTGACCTTCTGACAGAGATTACCAGAGGCAGACAGGGTCACATAATTTCTACAGTATGAGGTGGCTTGTTCCAGGGTGATTCCATTGGGGGTTGGCCAGCCCAATTCCTGCGATAAAATAAAGGAAGTTAATGACAATTGCCTTTAATTCTAGCTACATATGTAATATTTTAGATGACATACACGAAAAGTCAGATAGAATTGAATATAACTGTGCATTGTACATGTATGTATCCTACAAATACTTACCGGCCCAATGTGAGTGGCATTATACTGGAACAACACCTGGGGCTCCTGAAGGAAACACTTGGTGGTCTCCACAACATTGTTAGATATCAGCTCAGCTGTGATATCTTTCCCTACACACAAAAAATAACAAATTTGAATTGATGCAAAGGCTAATTTTTCTTCAAATCAATTCTTTTAATCAGTTATTAAAATAATCTTCTATCCTTTTCAAAAAATATGAAAGGAGTATATAAATGAACTCCTATAAGTTAAAAAAAAGTGCACTCCCCAACCACCAATAGACCAAAAGCATGTCTTTATAAAGAATTGAATAAGATGTTTCACAAGTTTTATTCCCACCAAAACAGCAAACAAGTGATACAGAGATGAAAACCTACCTCTTTTTTTGCCTTTCTTTGTTTTCAGTGCTGGAGCACAGTTCTGTATGATAGCTTGGTCAGAACATTCATTTTGTGTGTTTGTGTTACAGGTGCAGTAGTTAAACTGGGCCTCTGCCTCCAAGTCTTCAGGACAGAATCCTGTGTACAGGGAGTCCTCAACCGCCTCGTCAATCCTAAGACAGAACCAAGGGAGTTTAATATAGAGGTCCAAAGGTTTCTTCCCTTTGTTTATCAAAGAGTTATTCTTTGAGTTCTTAATAACCAGTCATCAAAATCATATAATGTGCAGCCAAAATTTTCAATGAAAACACTTGAGCAATTTATACTATTTAAAGGCAGTTACCTCCAGCTTTTAGAGTATTCTGTGGCTTGTTTTGATTTTTTCTTTGGACTGTACATAGTTCCATCTCTCATAAGTTTATCATTATTCTTGTCATCATCCCAAACACCACAAAGTCCTGCATAGTAAAGACAACTGTGTTAAAAATTTGGATGCATAACTCACAAAGCAGTTTTTATCAAAATGTATCCTCCCCTCAATTCTCACCAAGGTTTGAAATAATATATAACTCCCTCTTCACTTTCATGCTACATGTAATTTTACCAAAACAGTAAGAATAAATTAAGGTTAATCTGTGTACCTTCTGTCTGTTGATAATCAGCAGGAGAAGCCTTGAGCCAGACATTGATGAACTGAGGTCTCTTTCCTTTACCATTGGCAACCACCACAATGGCACCGTGTGGAAGGTGGACCTACAAAAAACAAAATCATACATAATAAGCCTATCAATGATAATATTTTCTCTGCTCAATAGATTGACCTCCACAAGATTGTCTTACTATTCACTTATTTTAGTCTTAAGTCCATATCCTGAACTGCAGTAATATAGGAGATATAAAATCTCTAATTGCTGAATTAATAGCAAAACATTTGTAGAAATACTCTCATTTCATAATACACCAATTTTAAAAATTTAAAAATCTTAGCCTTAGGTATCTGATGTGAACACACTGCTTACTTCATATTTCTTTCCTCCTCCGTAGGACAAGACTTTGGTCCCCTTTGTCAGCTGACCATTTAGATACAGTGTTATCTTTATGGGTTTGTATTTCCCTGTGGTGGTCACAGTAGGACCACATCTGTCAATCACTATGACATCATCTCCTGATCTGACAGCCACCGCACAATTACAGGTGGCACGGCCCCGATTACATTTACGATAGAAGGTACGAACCTGAAATACAAATTTCCCTCAACAATAAACTTAGGAAGTAGAATAATGCAGTATACTACTATTTGTTTTGTCTTGTAATAACTTTACACATTTTTTAAAAAACATTATCAAATATACAGAGATTAGTTTGTCTAAATACAACTATAACTGTAATGGTAGGTACACAGCACCAAATGAAGATTAGGACTATTTTAGAGAAGTAAACTTTTCTACTTTTTCATGACTTATTTCAAATCAGTAACCATGCCATAAAAGGACTTACTTCATATGGAAGGGTTTTGTGTCTGTACAGAATGAACTCTCCTTCCAAGAAATTATTGTAATGCCTGAAATGACAATTCAATTATGAATTTACAAGTACCAAACATTCATGGGCATCAGTGATAAATGCTCAAGATATATTTATCAAATGAAGTTGCATAAGGGTTATTTTTAGGTGAGTAAATTTACCATTTATCAAAAGAGGTCATGTGAGGATCATTGATAGATTTACACACAGCACTCTTATCTCCATCCTTCACCTTCACCTAAGCAGAGAAATCCAAACATTTATTTTCAAACAAGGCAAAATATGGAAATAAGCTGAAGAGTGTGATATTTTTCTCTTCCAAAATTTGAATTCTTCTGTAATACATATTCTGCAGTTAAAATAGAGAATGAATTTATTAAGATTCTTTCCTTTACTATATTAAATGCTTCTCCTTACTGTGACGAGGCTGGTATTCGTGGTGTGATTGACACTGCCCTGGCAGAAGACATCGGACACGATAGATAGACTCCTGGTTTTGTCTTTGTCATAGAGAAGGTCAATGGAAGCAAACACTGGGATAATGGTCATCCTCTCCCAGTTCCTCATTGTGATCATGTTACCACAGAATGGAGTGGCCATTTCATTGGAGACACTGAAAACAACCATTGTCAGTAATGATATAGACAAAGTAAAATATATTAAATCATTGTCAATAAGAAAAAGAAAAGAGTAAATTAATCTAAAATTGACATAAAGAAATATACATTACTGCTTTTATCTAAAAACGTATCTTTATTAAAAGGTTCCATTATGAGATAAGATGATCATTTGTAATCATAACAATGTATTTGTAATCCTACCTGTACCCAATCACAGCCTGATTTAGTCTGTTGGAGTTTGGACAGAGTTGTTCTACCTCTGAGAACTGAGAGTTAATTCTGACATAACAGGAGTTATTGGCCCTGTCTGCAGGTCGACACAGTAACCTAGGTGGCACAGTCAGTCGAATATTGACATCACCTGGCAAACCTCCTTCTACTACCATTATATCCTTTGTGATAACCTGCAATAAAGAAAGCAACTTAGAAATTTAACAATTTGGGGAGTTAAAAGTTACCTGTCCAGAATTCTTCAAGCCATTCAATCAAACAAGAATTACAATCACATGTAGATATTTTGCTTTTATTAAAAATAGAAACCCGATGTAATAATCAAGGATTACCTGGACTTCAGCAGTGATGATGTTACTTTTACGTGAAGGTCCCTCTGTAGTTGCACAACTGTATACATAACAAGGTGTCACCATGCAATATGACTGAAACAAAAATACATACAAGTTTTATGATATTAATTCTACAATTACTTAAATTTCTTAAATAAATATCTGCTGATACTTAAGTCCTTTAGTAAATTTTTCTCAAATAAGAGAGATTATACTTTCAAATGCAACTTGAGAGAAATCCTAATTTATTTCATCACTACATCTGGATTTCATTTCACTTTGTAGATATGACCATTTGTATTGAACTTATGTACCTTAACTCCATAGCCCCCTTCACCATACTCAGATTCTGACATGATGTACTCCTCAGCCTTCCCATCTACCAGACCTACATCCTTAACCTGCTGGTTATCCACGAAGAACTGAACTTTGTATGCAACATCTGCTCGGGGCAAGCGTTCAAACTTGCAGTGAAATTCGGCTTCTGTGTTATTCTCACTGAAGGATGCAGAAAGCTCTGGAGCCTTGGTCAGCTCAGGAATGTCTAAAATATCAGGTCTCAGATAAGTACAATTCAAATTCTAAAATTGAAGAACATTACAATTTTTTTTCTATCTGAATTTATTATGTCCTCAGCTTGAGGATATTTGAAACTTGCCTTTTTATTAAAACAATTCAACCACATCACAACTTCTTCAAATATTTTGGGTATAAAATGATCAGAGCTTGAAAAACTGCACTCAGAATGCTTAATTTTGTTGGTTTCTTTTTTTTCTCCTACTCATGTACAACATTTATAATTCTGCATTTCTCTATGTAAAATAAATATTATTTTTTTCAGTGCCTTACCAATGACAAATCCAATAGCTGTAATGATTCTGGTCTCCGCCTTCACTAAGGTAGTGCCTCCCACTTCACATTTAGCTGACACTCGTTTTCCTCCAGGCACTGGCCCGCCAAGTCTGAATCCATGTAATTTGGCTCCCTTAATTGTCCTCTTGACTGGTGCCCTTGTCCTTCCTACACTTACTCCATCCATAAAGCATTCCAAACCATAGCTGAGTCCCCATGAAAACTCAAAATCGAAATATGCATTGATTTTTCTAAAAACTGTCACTACAGTCCATTCAAAATTCTCCGTACTAAGGGTTAGGTACATGCGACCTTTCCTTAAGTACAAAGAAACCCCTCTGTAGCCTGGCAAATCTCCACCAGAGGAGAAGATGTAGGAATTGTCTATCACAGCAGACACTTTTAGAGAGAATTTGTATGAAAATCCAAACCGCAGACAGAGCTCTGGGTTCCTGAGACAACTGTTCTGGTCATTATCTTCTATGTAAGACTGTCCATCAAACCTTAACGCTAACCCTCCTTTCCATCCATCAATCAGTGATGGTACAATTCCTCCAACAGTAAAGTTACCAAGGGAGGTAAGTAACACATTGTTGATAATCGAGATGTAGGTAATTCTCAAAGCAGTGATAGCAGTGGCTGAAAATACAGAGCAACAGATATACTTATGAAAGTCCTAGTATATTTATCTATGAACTTTTAGTGCAGGGAAATCTTTAAAATTAAGAAATAACTTAACTCCAAAATGAAACCTTGACCATTGTAATTCATTAGCATAGTAAGACATTCTCAAATCCAATATGAGAAAAACTATAAGGTAGCTTACTTTCTATCCTTGTCCACGTGGTTCTGTTTACGTCTGGCATACAGGAATATCTATTGTCTTGATCAAACACTGTCCCTGCAGAGTAACACTGGCCACCAATATTACAGGTGTCATTCTACAATAGAAAAATTTTGCAGGTTTCATTCTTCAAATATCTTACAGCAGTCACTGTGGTAAAATTCTAATTAGAAAATCTTAGAGGTACCGTTCCCAAAAAAAAAAACACATTCTTTACAGATAATAAGCATCTTCTTCAAATAAATATACAAGTATTTCACAAAATGGAATTTTTTAAGTATCATTTTATATTATACAAAGTTAGATTATTATTCTACAATAGACAAATACAATATGACTACTGACCAGAACTCTCTGACAATGTATAAATGGAATGTTGCACATTGAAAAGGGGAGATAACTTTTGAAATGTGGCTTTGACTTAAAACTTGCGTGCTTATAGCTAACTCTTACCCTCTCAACACAGACCAGGGTGTCCTCATCACACTGTGTACAGAAGGAGTCATACACAATGTATCTGATGGGTTTACTCTGTCTCTCTCCACCATAGCTCACTGTGATGTTAGCCGTCCTGGGGGTCAACATCTCACAAACAACTGACTCCGAGCTCAGGTATGTAGCTGGTCTCCCAGTCTAAGCAATTTTGAAAAAGATAATATAAAGTAAATACACCTACACATTGGATTCTTTTTCCTCCAAATCATTGGCACAGTCAGAACAAGAGGTAAAAAAAAAAAATCTAACAGTAGTTTTGAATCCATGAAATTGATATGCATGGATTTTTTCTCTAAGTCATTCTAACGTGTAGCAGCATAAACTACACATTTCAATAAAGTTGTAAAAACAACAGTCTTAAAAAAACATAATAAAACAATGCACAGCTTACCCCGTCAAAATAGTGGCAGACAAGAGAGTCATTATTCTGGAAATTTTCTCCAATCAGGAAGATCCTCTTACACCTGTCTCCGTCCTGGCTCTCCCTGATGTCACACAACTGACCATTCAGAATGTCCGTTACATTGGGTGGTATGGTGATGTCCACAGAGCAGTCAATATCACCAAAGCCAGGGTCACACTGACACTGACCTACAGACAATATCAGACATTTAATGAAATTCTCTTATCAAATATGAACAATTAATATATACTATTTAGAAGAATAAACTGAAAATGTATACAAATTTAAACACACAAAAAAGAGCTATCATCTTATTTTCCTGGTTAGCACTATCATGAATCGCCATACCAAATTTTTAACAAAGAGTACATGCTTTCATCGGATATTAGCATGTACCGGTACGTAAATAAGCTGATAAGAAGCAGAATAAGGGGCTCTAATAAAATAAGTATATTTACAGTAAACATATTTGTATTTTAATTTATACACCCAGTAAAAGTACATTTATATCAGTTGAGATAATCTTTTCTAACTATAATTTCTAGTAGGAATCAGATTCTACTAGAGATGAACAAGGATATGACAATAATCATACTTTAATGTGTTTACAGTCATGTACCTTTAACACAAGTTCCTTGGCCACTGCACTCATTTATACAGTAATTATCCACTATAGCCTCCTCGGGGGCAGGCTGTCCACCGACCACCACCCACAGGTTTACATTGGTCACTATCTCAGTGATACACTTTATTTTGATGCTCTCCAATGCTTCAAATTCCCAAGACGTATCTCCAGTAAGCTGTTACAGAAAATCAATTCATGTGTTCAAAGTGCATATATGTATGATGATTTTGCATTTTGTGGTTAAGCATGAATTCATGGATCTCTGCATGCCTTCAAAGTGATTTCATAGTAGTGCAATGAATGGAGATAATGTAGGTATTAATAAGTGCTATCACTCAGGTTTTACACCTTGCTTCCAAAGAAAAAATATATTACACTAGTCCAGTATTTTAAATCGTCTGATTTGCTGAAAGTTTGAATTAAGAATTACTAAGGAAAAACTCACCCCTATATCCTCCATGCAGGATTCTATAGAAAGGTCCAGGCCTATAGCTGCAGATAGGCCTGTCTTATTGTTACAGGAAAATCCAATCTTGGAGCTCAAAACAAAATTTAAACAGTGCTGGTAAGCCATGGATGCATTCATACCACTGCTGGGCCACGAAATTTCCTAAAATAATTTGTTTTAATTTTTGGTTTAACATTACAACAACAACAAAAATATAAAAGTCTGAAACGAATTCAAGCTTCCTTTACAGAGAACAATTTTGCAGCAACAGTGCTAATGTTGAAATTGATCTGTAATTTCTTACTGGTGTAGTGTAGTTAACATCATATTCAAACACAATCTGAGGCTGCAGGGTGATGCACTTTGCAGGAGCCACAGCAAATTTCAAGACTTCATCTGTGATGTCCTTGCCTTTAAAAATAATTAGGAAATCACAAATACAAATTTGTGATACAGAAAAATTGTCACCAAGCAAATCTTTTTCAGATTTTAATTCTTCATACGATTAAGTCCTGCACATGAGCTTGGTTTTTCGACACACACAAATTTAACCTTATTTTTCTATGACTCCTTACCTCTGAGTTTTGTCTGTTGACAGCTGAAGTCTGTAGACAATTTAGAACAGATGAAGTTATTGACAGGGTCACAATAAAACTTTTCAGGTTTTCTAATGTCAGAGGCCACATCAGGACAGAACCCATTAAACAGGGTGTCTTCAGGTCTAAAAATAGTAATACAAATCTCTGTAGTTCATAATACTATTTTCACTAATTCATGACCATAGAATATCCAGTATAATACAAAATTATATTCTTTGTTAAAATGGGCACCAGAAATTTGTAAATTTAATGGGGTTATTGTGTGAAAATAACATGAAATGATTGATGAACTGTTCTTACTCGACTCGCCAGCTTTTAGAAAAGGCATTGGGACGTTTCTGGTTGGTGTTTACCACAGTACCATCAGGTTTCATTAGGTCATTGTCCTGCCTATTGTCCAAGGTTCCACACAGTCCTAAATATCAAATCAAAAGGAATACACATAACTGACGTATACGAACAAATGACAAGCATTTAACATCAAAATCTAGAGATACAAAATTAATGAGATTTTTATATTACCAGTTTTATTGCCTATTGTTTTGCATATTCAAAACAAGATTTTTTTTTATTTTAGATCTATTAGATGTAATTCTATCATCAGTCACACCTTCTGTGTGGTTGAAGTCCATCGGAGAGGCGTGGAGCCAAACATTCAGAAACTGACTTGTTCTTCTCTTGCCATTTTTAACAACTACATAGGTTCCAGAGGGCATATAAATCTAAATGCAAACAAAACAACAGGATTATTGCCAAATTCACACATATAAAAAGTCAAGTCAGGAGTAAATCAGATCTAGCATTTCACCTTTTGGGCATAGAACACACATTTTTTTGATGATATGAGATTACTTTAAATAATGCAGAACTTTATAATAATTGGTTCCCTATGATATGAACACAATCTCAGTTTCTCACCCTGTATTCCTGTCCTGTCTGGTAAACTCGGAATCCTGGAGTTAGCTCCCCATTAACATAAGTCCTGATTTGAATAGGTTTGGCAGTGACCTTTTTACTTTTGACCTGGCTACACCTGTCAATCACAATGACGTCATCATCCACCTTGACAGCAACAGCACAGTTGCAGGACGCCTTGCCATTACAATTTTTGTAGAAAGTTCGGACCTATAAAAACAAGAACAGAAGCATTGATGCATGAAAGAGGATTTCAAACATCATTTGTTTACTATGTTTCAAAGTTAACTTCCTGAGATGTGTTTGCTTAAATTACCTCATATGGACTTGTAGTGTGTCTGTACAGCACAAATTCACCTTCATAAAAGTTGTTATATTTTCTGTAAAATAAAATTACTTCATCTTGTTACACTTGTACAAGTTTTTCTGTTTGCTAAAAGGACATCAGATTTCATTTTTCACTTCAAATGACAGACGGTGAAAGAAACTTCGTGAAAGAATATACCTTCCATCTAGAGTTCTCATGTGTGGATCATTGATAGAACTGCACAGGTGTGATTCATGTCTGTCCATAACTTTTACCTAAATGAGAATCACATTTGTTACAGTAATCTTTAATGTCTCTACACTGGAAGCAGCTGGCACAAGAAATTCAAATAAAGAGACTCAAGTTCTAAATATCTCAAAGAAAGGCATATTTTAGCAATATATTATTGTCTTCAAACCTTGATCTCTCTTAAATTCAACTCTTAAATTACAATTTCATTTTATTAATCTGAATATCTTTAATCTAATAAATGTTTTATGCAACCAAATTGCATAAGTCATGTGGATTTTTTTGGGATTTTTTTTCTCTAAGATCCAGTAACCATTACCTTCTTGTTTCTGGTCATATTGTTTCTACTTGTCATATTGCCGTCCCTGACAAAGGAGACCACAGTGATCTCCCTTTCCTGGTCCCCGTCCTTCAGCATGTCCATGTTAGCCAGTACGGGGATCACTAGCCTGCTCCTCCAGTTACCCCTGGTTATCCTCAGTCCCTCCTTGTCGGAGTCCCTCACGATTAAGACCTGGGTCACAGCTTTCTCCTCACATTTCAGCTCCTTGTCTTCTCTGATTTCTGGTCTCACCACGATCTCACAGTCATCGGAGGAACAAAAGATAAAGGGAGGAAACTCCATCTCAATCTCGATGTTAGAAGATTCACCTCCCTCAATGACTTCAAGATCTCTGTCAACAACCTTGAAACATCAAACAATTAATTTTTTAACTGTTGTTTTAAAAATACAGTCATACTGTAACAAAACCACTGATCGTATTTGATAAAATTTTCAGTCTTAACTTATTTGTAAACACGAAGTTTCTCAGACAGATTCAGGTTACAGTACACATAAAATAGCTTTGAAACAAATAATAACTTTTCTTCCCCCTAAATCTATACTCATTTAAGTTTATTGTAACTTTATATATACAATACACCAGAGAAGTCCCTATATATGTTTGTTAATCATTGTTCGATCTCTCTCCTTACTTTGACAGCCAATGTTATAGGTTTGCTGTTCAGGATAGGACTGGTTGTGTTCTTACAGTCATCAATAAAACAGGCCTTTACTCCACACTCCACCTACAAATCCATACTAAAATTAGTAAGTTTTAATGCTACTATTAAAAATTGTATAAAATATTTTCTTACTATCATATAAATGGCAATTTGATTTTTTCACATTATACATTTTAAATATGAATGAAAATGAACATAGTGTTATCAGAATTGCATTATCTTTCTGTAAAACAACAGAATAAAATCACAGCATTTTCAAAACTGAGAGCCTACCTTGGAACCGTAAGTGAAATTAGCCAAGTCTTGGTAAGACATTTCTGATTTAAACTTCCTGTCATTTGACCTGTTGACCTCTGTCATCATCATCTCCTTTCCATCCACACTCCAGACAACAAAGGACCGGGTAGCATTCTCCATACTGACCATTCCCTCACATTCAAACAAGAACTGACCACTGGTCTCATTGTAAGAGGTGGACAGCTCAGGTTGGTCTCGGACAAGAGGATAATCTGCACATAAAGTATTCAAAGATTTTCATGTAGATATTTCAGCCCAACTTTATTTTAAACCGATATATAGAGTAGATTGTATTTTCTAGTAAATCATCTTAGATTGATACATTTATATCCAAGAAAACAGAACTTGAGCATGTTTAACGTCTAAATACAGCTGACAGTGAACTGTATGGGCAAATCCACATAATGAAAAAAATACATCCACAAAATGTTTCATTTTGAATAAAAATTTTTTCCACTTATTACACTTAAATATAAGTTTTCAAACTTAAGACCGCAGAACATTAACTGGCAAGATTGGGAATATGCAGCTTACGTCATTTCCATCTATTACAGACAAAACAATTATGATAGACAATGAAATGGGCGGGTACAATTCGATGCGGACAGCCGAGAAAACATTGGATTGAAATTCTAATTTGAAATGCATTTTCAATCCACCTCAGCTACTCTAGAAGGCACTGTTTTATTGTTTCACGGTCTTATATTTACCTCTTTTGACACTCCAAATGTCATAGTTTTCATAAGGATTACAAATCAGAGAGGAGTTGGTGGGGTTAGACTCGCCAATGTTGTAGCATACATTATCAATAAAGCATTTTTGTTCCTATAAAAAATCATCTAGAGGATTATATCTCATTAAACTACCCAAAGAAGAATGAAACGAAATCCAAATGAACACATATGTAACATTCATATTAACAATATAATCTAATAAATTGAATTTATTTTATTCTTTAAATGAGTGCAAGTCAAAAATATCTATATCTACGCAAAATTCCGACTGACCCTGAATCGGCACATTCCAGATCTTGTACACTCATGACATCTGCTGTCAAACACAGTCAGAAGACTGGCTGAGCTCCAGGTACTGTTGTCATTAGATACTGCTATAAAGTAACTACTCCTGGATGGCAGAGGACAGAGGATTTCATTATAGGTCACCAGGATAGCAGGAATATATATCTCCTCTTGTGTTCTGTTGTAACCTCCATCCAACAGCTATACACAAAAAGAAAGTTCTTAATAATTAAACAGTTCAAATTACACTCATTATTAGGATTTTGTGAGTTTTAAATACATGTAGTTGAAAAAGGTTTAGGGTTCAGATAATTATATAAGCTATCTTGCTGAACACAGACAATTTTTTTCTAGTTCCAGAATAATATCATAAAATTTATTTTTTCAAGTGGGAAAACAAAAAAAATGTTGTAGTAAATCCTCTGTTACCTTGACTGGTTCCAGTCTACACATGAGTTTGTTTGACATGATAAATGTTGCTCCGTAGACTGCAACTTCACTGCACTGTCTCTCACTGAGATCATAAAGTCCATTATTTCTGAGGAACCACAAATCTGGTACCACTGTCATGTTGACAGAGCAGTCAGCACCACCCAAATCTGGGTCACATTCACAGGTCCCTATATAAAGAACATATAAAATCATATTCAAAAAACTATCTTACATATTGTACATTTATACTATATTAATAATTAAACTGAAACAGAGTCCATCATTGTAGATTTGCTTTACTTTAGAGGAGTAAAGGGTACTAACTATGAGTCAGAATTACATTTTTTCTTAAGATCTACAGTCAGTGTACTTTCAGGTGTTAATCAAGTAGACACTAAATGACATTGCTTTTGTGTTTCTGTACTGACCATTCACACACTGTCCTCTTTGAGTACAGTTGTTGAGACAGAGTTCCCCAAGAACTGAGCTGTCTGGAGCCAGTATTCCACTGTCATTTGTCCATAGACTCACATTACGAGTCAGCTCTACCCTACAGGTCTCCATTAAATGTTCTAGTACAGTCCAGGTCAATTTAAACGAGTCCTCTATCTACAAAGATGTGAACAAAAACAAATATGTCACTGTACCTGCAAAATGACTGCAAAAAATGTTAAAAACTGTAAATATTATGGATGTGCCTTCTGAGGCATCTTACCTTGATCTCTGCCACACAGAGGTCCATGATTTCTGAGGTGTCTGTGACACTGGAACAGAGGGAGGCCCTCAAGCTGTTCTCTAGAAGACTCAGGCAGTGATTCCTGGCCATCTCGTAAGTAATGTTAGACATGGTGGGCCAGTTAAAATCCTACACAAAGAGAGCTTTTTTAATACTGCATATCACTTAATTTTCGCAACACCTTATTTTCGCGAGATAGTCATTGAATCTTTATTAGCGAGACAAAATTTTCAAGAATTGTGGTCATTGCTCAATATACTCTTAAGGAATACTATTTAATGCAAGAATGAAATTTTCGCGAGCATACTGTCTTGCATAATTACGCGAAAATAAAGTTCTCGCGAAAAAATAGTGATTTACATTACCTGTTTTTCATAGCTCATCAATATTTAAGATCAGATATCCAAAGAGTGTTTTTAAAGTATTAGTAACTATATAATTCTTGAAAAATCATATAAATTTACAATTTACAATGTAATTCAGTTTGTATTCTCAACAACACTGGACATACCTTTGCTTTGTATTCTTCATCATATTCATACACTGTTTCATTACAGCCAACAGATCCCATACAAATAGATCTGCCTACCAGTATTTGTGTCAGGTCATCTAATTAAGAAAAAATTTTTTAGTCAAATTACTTTGATTTTGAAATACATATAATATCAAACTATTTGAGTCTTTGAAAATATGCCAAATAGAATATTCCAAAATCATTGAAATGATATATGGGCCCATTTTAGAGTACATGTAATTTTCAAATACCTCTCTGTTGTCTTCTGTTCAGGGGACATAACTGGTAGCAAGCACCCGAGTGACAGGAAGAAGAATCTCCTAATGGACAGTCACATAACTCTGGGTCAATAACAGTCATCTGGTCACATGATCCTGTTAGCATACTCTCATTTTTCATCACTCTAAAAAAGGACGGTATATTATATACTCTGATGTGTTTGAGATAAAATTTCTTTCTTCCTAAAACATCCCAAAAATCATCTCAGAAAAAATCTTGACAATTGGTAAAACTTTCTAATAGCAAACATTGGTTTCCCCACACATATACAGTTCCCTGAACTTTAAATTTTGAATAAAATGAACAGAATTCTTAGATAAATTCCTCCACACCTCCAGGAGAGAGAGAATGGGTCAGGACGGAGACCTGGAACATCAAACATGGAGCCGTCTGGGAGAGTCCAATCATTCTGCTTTCTGCCATCAAAATTACCACAGAGACCTGACGTGTGTAAAGTCAAATAAATCAAAATACAGACAGAAAAAGAAACCAATCCAAAGTATCCAATATATTTTATAAAGAGGTAATCTGATATGCAAAACTTAATGTGCCTCGTCAATTTATCCTTTACTTATAAACTTATTAACATGAACAAGTAATTAGTGTCCACTAAAGACATCACTTCTATTGTTATCAGAAAAAGTGAAACTGATAATGATAAATATTTTGACCTACCAATTGTACTGTTGAAATCCACACTAGATCCCTGTAGCCAGACATCCAGACCTGTAGGGGACACTTTGATGGTTACTGAGGTTCCTTTGGGAAGCATAACCTGTGGACAGACAACAACACAATCTGATGCATGTTCACAATGACAACTTAACAAAACAAAATGAGGTACGATTTTTTTCAATTGTTTTAAATGTATAAAACTCAATTTTTCTAAGGATCTTTTTTACATATACAGTAAAATTTGTGTAATCCAAATGCTTGTATTACTAATCCAAAATCTTGTCTTTTATGACAAATTCTAGTCCCTTTGGCTAAATTCAATTGCTTGAGTTTGTCTAATCTGGAATTTAGAGTATTGTATTGAGTTTCAGAGTTTTTGATATTTTAATCCATAAAATGTTATAGACACCTTAAATGCTCTTCCTTCAGCGTGTCTGTAGACTTTAGTACCAGGACTTAGTTCCCCATTCTTATAGAGGTACACTCTGACCGGTTGTCTGCCTTGCCGAGTCATTTCTTTGCCACACTTGTCAATCACAATCACATCATCCCCTGATCTAATGCCCACTGCACAGGTACAAATAGCCCGGTCATTACAGCGACGATTGAAATTACGCACCTTTAAGTAGAAACACATTATACAAATTTACACATTGTTTTGATTGCCAAAAAAAAAACTGTCCTCTTCCATCTATTTCAGCAAGTTTTAAATAGTTAACTAGGTTTAAAAATTTCACCTATGAGCATTAAATGTAAAAAATCCACCAACCTCATACAGCATATTATTGTGTCTGTACATGACAAATTCTCCTTCATTGAAATTGTTGTAGTACCTGAAAATATTTTTTATGATTTTACAGAAAGTTAAATATAATATAAGAAAAGGATACAAGAAACATGCAATTTGCTCGTAAGAATGCTCAAACTTTTACATTACGTACCTTCCATCAAAAGTGGTGACATGTGGTCCATTCACAGATCTACATATGGATGGCCGATCCATATCTTCAACTGTAGCCTAAAAAAGAACATAACATATGCAACATGCATTCACATACTAATTTGTAATTAATTGAGGTAAATATTGCACATTGTGACAGATTTTAAAGTTGTTTGATAGAAAAGAAAACTGCTGTGCAAATCATGGACAGAGCAAACATCTAGAACCCCCTTTTTTGCTTACACTGAGGGTATGAAGGTCTGAACTTCTGGAAGCGTTTCCGCTGATGACCACCTTCCCCAGTAATTTGACGTCCTGCATAACATCCCCGTCATACAGCCCATCAATCTTAGCCTTCAGCATTATTTGAAAAGAGTTCCTCCAGTTTGTATTAGTTATCATAAATCCACAGGAATCATTTACAGATCTGCAAGAAATATTGAAGCTTATCTCATGTTGATTGTAAATTGATGATTTTGAATACTGGCAATTAAGTTGTATGAAATATTATACTAGATTTGAAGTTTTGTTCAATAGTGACTGATAAAATAACCATTCCCCGTCCATTGTGTTTTAACTAACCTTGCCACAGACTTGATGACAACCTGCTGCATGTCAGATCTGTCTCTGCAGGACAGTGTCTTCTCGTTCCTGACAGCTCTACTGGACACCAGGACAGAACACTCCTCATGAGGGGTGTCAAGGGGACACAGGAAGGAGGGGGGAACGGTCATCTGGACTGACACTGGCTTACCAACCTCACCCTCAATCAGGGTCAGGGACTTGTCTGGGGTCACCTTCACAGCAATAAAGAATACATTTAGGCATACACTATCACTTCTTATAAAGAACATTATTCATTAAGCTACAAAATATATCTTTAAAACTCTATTCAAAATCTAAGTACTCTTTCCTCTTTACATAAACCAAAATGTTTTCTTCAATTTTCAATCTTACAAACTTTGTTGTAACAAGATCTATATTGTGTAAACTAGTACCTCCAGTTTAATCTCGAGTTGTTCACTTTCTCTAAAGGCCCCAGTTGTTGTGTTACAGTTACTGGTCAGACAAGTGGAAACACCACAGGAAAACTTAAAAAAGGAGAAGAAATAGTTCAATTCTAAAATCCAAAAGACCAGATTGTCATTTTCCTACATTAAAAAAGCAATAAAACAAAATCTGTTATTCAAAATAAAATTATGAAGTCAGCTAACTTAACTGCAAAATCATAGTTGACATGTTAAAAATATCCTGTTTTTAAATTAGTGAGCAATACCTTTGTGCCAAACATATGACTGTGTAGATACGTCTTGTTCATGTAGAGTGCCACATTTTCTGTTTGGTTGTTCAGCATTGTTTCTTCCACTATGCGACCATTAATGATCCAACGAACAGAGTAGGTGAAATCCTCTGTTTTATTTACAGTAGGAAACTTGCAGACAAGAGTTGTGTTCTCTCCATGACGAGCCAATGTTACTTCAGGATTTGCAGGCAGAATTGGATAATCATTTCCTGTAATATATTATGACATTTTTTATAAAGACACCCTCTGAAGTGATAGTAATCAGTATAGCCTATTAAACATCAAACTTTTAGACTTTGACCATGATATTTGAATATTATCACGTATAAATACTGTAAATCACTTTTTATTCGCGAGAACTTTATTTTAGCGTAAATACGCGAGATAATGGGTTCGCGAAAATTTAATTCTCGCATATAAAAGTATTCCTTACGATTATATAGAGGAATAACAACTATTCCTGAAAATTATGTCTCGTTTACAAAGTGTCAATGACTATCTCGCGAAAATAAGGTGTCGCGAAAATTTAGTGATCTACAGTATTAAAATAAAATTCAGAAAAACTCATTAGATTTTCCTAAGGTCTTTAATTTTCTATGTGTTATATTCAATATCAATTTATTGTTATCTTTCTAATATTAAAGGATCGGTAATAAGGAAAAAATTTCTAGCTGTTTAAACTCAATTTAAGTTTTGACATTCAGTTTATTTCTTATTGTAGCACCAACTTATCTCACCTGATTTACATGACCACTCATGATACACATAACCGGGCCACCTGACGAAATTAGACGGAGCCACATCTTGACGTTGTGACCTGGACAAAACACATTTTCCCATCCCTGCCAAATACTCCACAGATTTACACAAGAAAGACTTCTCCATCAAGCAGAGCTGTTTACATCCTGTGGCTGTCAGGACATTGTTAATTGTTTTATCATCATACTTGTCAATAGCATAGCCAGGTTCTTTGCTCCAGGCAATGCCTCTTTTTCCACATGGATCTGAAATAAAAATGGAAACATTATATTAAAAAAAAAACTTTTTGACCTACTGTACATTCCTGAAATTTTTCTTAAGAACAAAACATTTGCAAATTCTAATAAGTAAATTAAAACGAGAAGAAGACCATCCCCTACCCCAAAGTATTGATTCCAGGAAAAAAGCTACAAATAAAATTAAATAATTTCTCTTGCACACTAATTTAACAATTATAAATATCAAGTATTCTCTACCATTATGACATTGCCATTCTCTGTGCAGGTTATCAGCTGACTCTTCTAGTGGTGAAGCTTTAGAGATATAATCAGCAGTCCTTAGTGTACAGTTGTTAGTGGAGCTGTCTAAATCATAGCTGTGACAGACAGGATTGGTGTAGTAATCCAGACAAGCTCGGTCACAACGGCTCAGGTTTCCACCCAAATCCACACTCTCTATCTCAGAGCCTGCACCCAGCTTCTTCATATTGTATACTATCCATTCCAGGTCAAGGAGTTCACAAGAATCTGAAACCAAATATAATTTTTACTCTTCAATAAGGCCATCAAAATTTGGTCCCTGGTTAAAAGCTTTAAATGAGTGCTATTTCACATCTTCATTTTGGATTCTGCGATATATAATGATATATTACCCTTGGCTTCCTGCCATTCTGTGTGGTTGACTTTGGGATCACAGAACTGCCTATGATTTTGTGGGTTGTACTCCCCTGGTTCATAGCAGTTTCCGTCAATCAGGCAAGCAGTGGTCTGTTCAAAACAGCATTAAACAAGTTTTTTTTTTTTTTTTTTTTTTTTAGAATTTCCCAACAATTTTACACAAATAAATATTTTTTTTTCTTTTCCTTGTTGCATTCTTACAATAGTTAGGTTACAAAAAAATGCACACTTGTACAAAATAAACTGATATACCGTAATTTTCGGAATATAGGTCGATACTTTTTTTCTCAGAACCGTTGGGGTCGACCAATATTCAGAATTCGACCTATTTAAGGCTCAAGTTTACGAAAAATGCCCCCAAATCAGTAAAATTTACGTCAATTTCAAAGCAAATCTGTGCCCCTTTCGTAACTTTTTTTATTATTTTTCGCAAAAAAAATTAATGCCCCGGTAAACAATAACATATTTATTCTAAAACTTTCTTACAAAATAAATTCCATTAATTATCCATTGATGAGAAAGGAAAACAACATTGCTTCACCTATTAAATAATTCCTCAACGTATTATGCATAAACATCATGCGGTATCCATCTTGTGAAGCTAGGAAGTCGCGATCGTGTACTAAAAGTAAAACCGCAACCATATCAAAATTTAAAATACGGAAAATTTTCACGATCACAACTATAGTGTTTCTACCATTTATTAGTAGCGATAAATTGAAATAGTATATTAAATATTTTTTATTGTCTTATGTTTATTTAAATGTAAAATGAGTGAAATAATTTGTTGCCATTATTAAAAGCTTTGTACACAAGAAATACATTGAACTACCGGTATACAAAGATTGGCTTCTAACAGAATTTTAATTGTCTGACAGATAAAGGGATTTACACTGTGTACGCAAAGGTGTTAAACAACACCTGTGTAATTTAATTAATTGCCTGCGGGGCATGATTAAGAAACCCACGTGCCATTATAGGGTATTAGTGTTACACTTCATTGAACAAACAAAGCCGTGAAATTCATGTTGACAGTCAAATTGTGAATGTACTCTCAATTAAACTTATAAATTAAATAAACTAATAGAGTGTTGATATGATTTCAATTCTTTACTGTTGGTTGATATATACTTTCAATGGTCATTTGCGTCATTTAGCCAATCCCTGGAGTAGAAAAATAACAATGGCGGACATCGAAGTAATTGTCGTCCACCGGTAAATACTGTCTGAATAAAATTTATTAGGAATGTGTCCAAGTTATTCTGAAATCGGAATTGCTATTCTTTGGTCTCGGGTATTTCCCGAATTATAGCTGTAAAAAAATAACGTATTTACTTGTTATTTATGCCTTTGATATAACAACAGTGTAAACTACGGAGGCATTGATTGATTGAACACGCAAGTTGGAGAAAAATAAGTAGGAACACAATTCAAAGAAGTTTTAACTACATTTATTAAAAAACTTTATTTAAATGCTGTACTCATAAAGATACCTGTTTATTTTCTTGATACGTTCATGTCACGGAATAACCCCGGTAATTTTAGGGGTTTACCTGTTCTGATACGTTGTATCCGCGTAAGAATCTTTAGAAAACGGGAAAGAAAGCCTCGTCCTATATAGTAAGTTCGCCCTATCTTAGGATTTTTAAAAAATTAAGGCTGAAAATGAGCCTTTCGACCTATATACCCCATCGACCTGTAATCCAAAAATTACGGTACTGTGAAATTTTACTTCTAAAATTTTTTTATTACCGTATATACTCTCCTATAAGTCAGTTGTATTTTTGAAGCTTATATCAGAGGGATTCACTTTCTAAAATACCAGTCTTTTTATAACTCACCTAAAAGTCGGACATAGAGTTTTGGACCAAAGTTTAACTCCCAAAAATCCGACTTACTGGCAAGTGCATACGGTATTTAATAAATAGAAACATCTAATGTCATTTAGTGACTAAATTAAATTCTCTTCCTTTGCAATTACCCAGAAAAAGCTTACCTTTTGTTCACATGTGAGGGTGTTTATGTTGCAATCATAACACAGTGAGTCGTAGACCAAAAAGTAGGCAGGGCCACTGCTGCCACTGGATTCATTAGCTCCGTTGTTACCTATTTTGACTTCATAACTTCCAACAGTGGGTGGTTTACAGGTCAGTTCATTAAATGTCACATAGTTTGCACTCACTGATTTCACGTTTGTAGGATCTAAGACGAAGCCAGTCTCATTTTGCTGAAAACAATGTATAGATAATTGGCATATACAGTAATGCAATTACAAGTATAATACATATCAGTATCTTTTTATTTCATTGATGCTTATGATTATATATAAATTAAAAAATTCAAAATTTTTTTTTTTTAGCAATTACTGATACAGTGTTTATTGTCCAATTCCTAAGTTTATACATATATGAGGATTATGAACCTTCAAATGACATGTTTTTGGGGCTAAATATGCTGTCTGCAACCTACATCAACAGATTTTAAGATCTGATTTATTTCATTGCAAAAGTGTCAATGTACAACAAATTCGGAAGATTATTTAACAACTGGATTTAATCTGCACAGTAGCTATTCACATTCTTGCTAATTGATACCACAAGAAAAAGCGGTCAAAATACATGTACATGGAAGTACATGTATTCATAAAAGCTACAAAATAAATATTCCTATATTATTCCTGTAATATTAAGAAATATTCTGACTTAAGACTGGCATGAAGAATACCTCTAGTTTTGTGAACTGACAGTTCAGCATTGGGCTGTTTTCAGTGTTGTTATTGTAGATGGTAATAAGATCACAGGGACTTGTCCTCAGGTCACACAGGCCATTGTCACCAAGATAAAACAAGTTAGGAGCTGTAAATCTCTCCACAAAGCAGTCCAAGCCAGCTCTGTCAGCCTGACATTTACAGGTTCCTGCAAATTAAAAATGTGTCTTTATTAAAGTCTCTTTAAAATACTCTTGTGTTATACCATGACTTGACAAAAAAATATTTTTCTGGTTGTTTTCAAGGAGAGAAAATCCATAAACTTTTCAGAGAATTATTTGTCTTTATTACTGCTTGACAATTTGTTTCTTCAAATACTTGATAAATTTCTGTGAATTACTTTACAATTTTAATTTCGCATTTGTAATTTTGTTTATAACAAAGAAGCCACCACAAATCAACTAATTGCTACTTGTATCATATGCTAATTACATGCACCCAAATTTCAGGGAGATAACTCACTGTTTTCACAGGTTCCTGCTCCTCCACATTCTGCTAGACACAGCTGTGACATTACATTGTTAGGTGGGGCAGGATTTACCTCCCCTGCAGGAGTGGTCCAGAGACTGACATTGTATGTCAAGTGTACCTCACACATCTCCTTTATGTTCTCTATAGCTGTAAAACCCCAACGACTGTCATCCGTAATCTACAATTAACAATTGATTAAAAGTTATTTCATGTAACTTAATTGACTTAAAATTTATCAAACAAATATCTTCTATATAGTTTATACATGTATGTCACTCAATTAAAGCAGGAATCTGAAAAAAAAGTAGATTACGCTCTTCACAAACAATGAATGAAACCTTGTTACCACACAACTGATAGATATGACAAAGAAAAACATATTTTGATAAACTTAAGAAATTTTTTTAACTAATTCTAGTCACAACCACAGATGTTTTAAACAAAAATATTGGAGACATTACTTTAAAATTCAAAATGCTTAAAGATTCAAAACGTGAGAAGAAAACATTCTACATCATTTATATTTTATTAATGTAAATATTATACTTGCAGTGGGTTTTTTTAAGCCATATTACCTGAATATCCTCCACACAGTTTTCAGTGGCTGCTTCATCATCCACACCTGGAATGTCTTTACAGGCCAAGGCTGCATCTGAATCTTGAATATAGATGACCTCGCATAATCCTCGGGCTTGACTCTCTTTAAGTCCACTCTTTGTAGGCCAAGTCAACACCTTCAAGCATAATCAGGTAGTTTCCATAAAATTCTATATAATTATGTTTGATACTGTTTGAATTTATTTTACATATATCTCTCAAACTCTCTATTTCTCCCTCTAAAAACTAAAAACAAAGCATCAATAGATGGAATTACTAACCAAAGGTACATCATTGGCTGTGTACTCGAAATCTGGGTATTGATAAGTTGACTGGGCAATCTCTCTGTTACATTTGGTAGGGAACAGAGACCGTAACATCAGAGAACTAGTGATATCTTCAGAATCTATAAAAAATGAGAGTTTATCATTTCAAACATTTCCCAGAATACCATGCTCCAATCTCATTTTAGCCAATTTCTTAAGCAAAAAAGTTGTTGAATATATGTATGAATGCCCAACAGAGTAAATATGTTTCAGTAGAATTCTTATTCTAAGCTTAGTTATTAAAAGATACAAACCTCATTTTATCATATATTAACATCTAATGTTTGGAAAAAGCACAAACCTTCAAATTCAAATGGACAGGAAGTGACATCATTTCCTGGAGCACAGTTATTGGACTGGTCACAGAAACAGTAAGATTCCTGGGTGGTTTGCACCTCCTGACTAGCAGTTCTCACTGTGGGACATACTCCCGTATAAATAGTTTTCTTAGGATCCACCCTACAATTGCCATTAACATGAGTTTAAATGGAACAAAGACACACAGAAATCATAACCATTAGCCTTTCTAGCAACAACTTGCAAGTATCAAAAACCCTGGTTAGAAAGAAAAAGACAGACGTTTTTTGCAAGAATATTAGATTTTCTTTTTACCTCCAACTTAAAGCAAATCCATGTGCTTGTTTAGAAGTTTCCATGGAAATTGTTCCATTTGGCATGGTTAAATCATCATCTTTGTTGTCATTAAATGTGCCACAAAGTCCTAAAATCAGAAAAGTTTTTAATCAGCAAAAAAAATGCATTCTAGTCAAACAAGATAATAAGCATTCAGCCATGAAAAATGGCATTTTAAATCCACAATATCAAGATTTTCTAGATCTTTCAAATAAAATGACTTTTTTTTCAGAGCTTGAGAAGAGTAAATTAGAAATATGATAGGACAGTCCCTACCCTCTGTTTTGTTGTAATCAGCAGCAGAAGCTTTGAGCCACACATTGAGGAAGTTCTGTCCCCTGATCACACTGCGTTTGATGTTCACTGTAGTGCCAGTGGGCAGGATTGCCTATAATAATGTAAGTATTGTTAGTCTTTGTATTAATAGATTCGATAGTTCTCTTCATGAAGTCCAAGACTGCAAAAGACCTAAACTCAAGAACTCAATTTTCACACCAATATTGTGCATAATATCCCCATCTTCAATACTGCATTAACTTTCATAAAAGATGTTTTTTTGTAATTTATTTTTGCTGTCAAATGGCAAACTCTGATATACCTTTATTTTACGTCCTTCATTATAACTGTAGATCTTGAAACCAGGTGTTAGTATCCCATTTCTGAAAAGCTTGATTGTGATTGGATAAAATCCTCCAGTACTAGACTCTGTTGGGCCACATTTATCGACCAACAAGACGTCATCATCTGCCTTCACTGCCACAGCACAGTTACAGGAAGCGCGGCCATTACAACTCCTATAGAATGTGTGGACGGAATATGGAAGAGTCTTGTGTCGATACAAGACAAATTCTCCCTCAAAGAAGTTGTTGACATATCTGAAATTAGTGGAATGATGCAGATTATATCCTGGAAACTAAATGCTTTATTACATTATATTGTTGAGTCTAAATGAACATGTGTAGGCAAAATATTCATCTAAAAAGATTTCCTTTCTATTTGCTCTATCATGTTTTACATATTTTATGTACCACTGCTCTTTTTGTAAGACTACAATACAATACAAGCTTCGAACTTTAATTTATGAATTGAAGTCTATTCTTTTTTATAAAAAACACAATACCTTATATCAAAAGTGGTGATGTGAGGATCATTTACAGATATACACAGGGCCCTCCTGTCTCTATCCACTACATTGACCTACAATCATAAGACAATTTTACAAGAAAACAAATAGAAAATGGACACAAATCTATTAACATAATTATCCCTTCAAATTTTTTTCTCTCAAATCATTTGTTAATATTTTTGTCCTACCCTAAGCATCAATGTATTTATACATATGTAAGCTATCAACAAACCCTGACATCCTTTTTAGTGACGTTTTCCTTCTCTGTTACATCGTTGACCAGATAATCAGCCATCAGTGTCATCTGCCTGACATGATCTCCATCATACTTGTTATCTGTTGTCGCCTTTAGTTGTACACTATAACGGGCCTGCCTCCAGTTGTCATTGGTAATCTCCATGGAACAAACTGGAGTCCTCTGCTCCACAGACTGAAGAATACAAATATGATAAGGCTTAGCATGCAGTATACTTGTAAATATATAAGACCGAGTTACAAATAGAGTTACCATAACAAGAAGTCTTCCTATCAAAAGCTATAAATTTTCGTCACATTTGGAGCATGTCTGCATAATACTACTAAAAGCTTAAAGTTTTTCAAACTTTTCATCGTGTTTGATATTCTCCACAGTTGGCTTAATAGTAATGTTCTAGTTTAATAAAAGAGTCCAATGCTAATCTAGAAAACCCTAAGTAAGGTGACTATTTTTCCTACTCTACCTTTAGATACATGCTGACAGCCATCTGTTTGATTGTTTTTCCTCCTGGACACTTCAGTTCATTGTTATCAAGTGGAGTCTTGGTGCTCAGTTTTATACTACAGTTGTCAGGGGCACTCAGGGATTGGTTTCTACACAGGACATACGGGGGAGCTGTGGGGGTGATCTCATACATTTCAGGGTCAGCTCCCTCGGGCAGGTCAATGTTGTCTCTGCCTTCAATCTACCATAAAATAAAACTCAAATGTATTCAAACTGATGTGAAGGAGAATTTAATCATTCTTTAAACTTCCACAAGGTTTAGTAACATGCAATAAGCATAAAAAACAAAAAAAAAAACAACAGACAAATTTTACAAAGTATTTTAATTTGACATAAATATATGCAGATTTCAAAGGCATTTTTAAAAAGAAATATCTGATAGAGAGAAGTAGATAGGGAAAAAAGACAGGAATTAATATCTTCTCTTTTTATTGAGAGGGGAACAAAATTCAGTAATAGCAGCTCAGAACCTTTACAGTTTTTTATTACACACTTAGTAATAAATACAGGTTTTTTGCATATGCGATATGGCTGACGTCAAAACCTCTCTATACATGCCCTGCAGGGCTGATATGGATTTTTTTTTTGATAACCTATATCAGTCCTGCAATCAATAAGACCTGCAGGGCTAATAAAATATTGTGACGTCAGTATCACACCCTTAGTAAATTAAACCACAAAAACAGTACTTGTGATCATACACGATTTTTGGTGGGTTCATATTCTCTTAATTTTACCTTTTTAAAATAAGGTTAATCTTAATTTACAAATACATGAAATAAATTATTTTCAAATTACGGATCAAGTGTATTGAAATAGAAGTAGAAACAAACCCAAATCGTATGAGACATTAGACCATGTACATGTATGTAAGAAGTCCATGCATCATGATTATTTATTTATTTTCTTCTCAACTTAATGTGTTCTGTATTTTATTACTAAGTATGTAATAAATATAATAAAACATACCCTTTTCCACATCACATCTGTAGATCGACAAAATCAGAATTCGGGCCTTCTCTTCTGGCTGATATTGGGAACAATAATCAGTAATAACATGTGATATGGAAAAGGGTATGTATTATTCTCTATATAATATTTTAATGTGCTTTAAATCACAAAAAAACTTACTTGTAGTGTAGCCACATATTCTTTGGAGGTGAAAAGTTTGCCTCTGGAGTCACATGAACCATTGTAACAAGCACTCACTGAGCACAAGATCTGACGAGCATACAAAGAAAAGCTTTAATGTAATTCCTTGTGTACAAACATATCCAATTTCTCTAGATTTTGCATGTCTTTACTTTTCCAAGACAATCACCATTCAAAAAATATATTTTTCTCATTTTCCTTCACATGATAAATAAAGATGACCACTTTCAAAACATTTCATGAATACTTTATCACATATCTGCATAATCTTGAGAAATAATACATCAAGAAAAGTTCTCATAACTAAAAAATGGATTTAGAGTAAAATAATTGTCAAAAATAACTAGCTTATATTTACATATGAATGAATGTAAACTGCACAATATCTTTAAGACACTAAATTTGACTCACCTTTGTCCCATCTTTAATGCTGTTTGCCAGCTGTGAGGGAAGCTTTTGGTTAGTGACATTAGTATCTTCATACAAGTATTTCCCATCCACCCTCCAAAGGACATAATAATTAACTTCTCTGGTATCGTTTAGTTTATCAAAATCACACATGACCTCATCTTGACCTGGGCCTGAGAATATGGGTTTTACTTCAGCATCCATGACAGTTGGACCCGTTTCTTTTTCTGAAATATAAAATTAAGATAAGGATAATGTTTAATAAACAGCATTAAATTTGTGATAATTTTGTACAATTCTTTTGTTTATAATCAAATCAAAATATCTTTCCTGTGAGAAATATGAATTAACCTCTAAAAAAAAAATTTGAGCAATTTGCTTTCAACAAACTCAGTATTTTATGACCTCTTACCTTCTTCACATGTAAATGAGTGATACTGCCATCCAGGGTAGCTCTGATAAGTTCCTGTAGTTTTATCTGTTCTTTGTGCTCCATCAGAGAGAATACATATCCCCCTCTCCATGGAGAATTTAATGGCTCTACACATTGGTTCACGTTCACATAGTCCACGGCAGTCCTCGAACCTCCATACATCATACAGAATATCAAGATCCTTATCAGCAGTGAAATAACCTTCATATTTAGACTCAAGTTTCCATTCAATCTTCTTGGATGGGCATGGATCTGAAAACATTGCAAAATATTGCTATTCCAGTTTGGCACAAATTTTCATTAAGTATGAAATTCAATGCAATATTAACTTTTATTTGATGCAATCTTATAAAAATTTTGATTTTTCTGTCCTTCCTACCTTTTGTACAATACCAGTGACTATAAGTCCATCCCTCGCTGAAATCCCCCTGCAGTAAATAGCTCTGAGCTTCGCGGACCTGAATACGAGACAACTGGCACTCTTTTGTGTCAGCATTATACTCCACAGACTGACATCTGAACTCCTTCTCAGCCACACACTCACTGCGACAGTCCTCTAGACTAGCAATGTTTGAGAGGGTTTTATCATTGTGAAAAACCAGAGTTGTTGAATTCATCTCTGTCCACTGCATCATAGAGAAGGGACAAAGGCCTGCAAATAAAATGGAATAAACCATAAAGGTCACAACAGTATTCAAAACATTAAAAAGAACAAGTTCTGAAATATTTAGGATCAAAAAAGCATGCTCTGAACTAAAGTAAAACATCTAGATCTGTAAAATTAATATTCTAAATTTTGAAATCAAAACAACAAAATGAATAAGCTGAATGGCCTTACTTGTCCTGTTGGACCACTCTGTTTGACTTTTTTGAGGGTCACACACTTGGGATGGGTCCATAGCATTTTCTGACATGTTCAGGTAGCACATTCCATCAATCACACACACATCATCCTACAAGGGAAATTCATGAATTTCTCATCAGTAAAAAAATGTCAATACAGTTCTCAACACATACTAATCTTCATTGATTAATTCATTATCAAAGTCTCTAATTATCAAAAACTCCAATTACATGTATTGTGTGTTTTCAAAGTTAAAAAAAAAGATATTCCAGTATTAAAACTCCACACTTATTACTCCTTGAAGTTTATCTCATGCATATAGATAAAAAAAAATATTTAGGAAAAGTCCCTAACCTTCATAAAGCAATATTCAGATTTGGCAGTACAGTTGTAGCAGGCTGGGTTGTAAGGCACCCACAACAAAGGGTTGGATTTAATGGTGGAGGTGTTGACATTGCTGACATATAAAAGGTGAGGTTCTGAAGACGGCAGAAAACAGGCCAACTGGGTGGCACCAGTAAATCTGGAAGTAATAGGGACTTCTACCAAAGCACCAGTTCTGTTGTAACCTCCTTGGTTAGGTGAGGAAAATAACTGAAAGATGGGCAAATATTACAATTTTTTTAATTTCTGATAATTTTACTTGTATTCACATTTCACTTTAATTCATTGACTCAATCAAAAGCAGTAAAAAACTGTTACTGGTGTAAAAAAAAAAAAACAATGAATAAAACATTTACTTACTGTGACTGGTTCAGCATAGCAGGTAAGTTGTGGACTGTTAACAAATGTGTCCCCATACACAAACATCTGTCTACAACCAGATATTAGGGTGTTACACATCCCCTCATTGGGGAGTGAGGTCAGAGTGGGAGGGGCTGTCTTGTTGACCTTACAGTTATAGCCAATGAAATCCTCATTACACTGACATTTTCCTGAAAAGTGAAAAGAATTCAAATTTTAGCACAAGTTCATCTGAAATAAATTAACAAACAGTCTTAAATTATTTTTTCATAAACTTTTCTCTTAATCAACTCAATCAATTTCTTTCATATAATAAGTTCCCCTTTATATCTGCTTCATGAGCTTTTGTGTTATCAAATTTACACAACTATTTACACCCTTCAGGCAAGTGTAGGCTTATGATATGAGGTATAGAACAAATTCATCGAAATAAAATAGGAAAAAAACTGTAGGACTTAGAGTACCCATATTTCATAAATATAGAATTGAATCAATACCATCAACACACTGTCCATTGTTATAACAGTTATCTGGACAGAGGCCTGCCTTCACGTCAGACACCACCACCCCCACACTGTAGTTTCTGTCTAACTGATAAAGACAGTCCTCCTCCATCACAGAATCTATAGAGCTAATCCAGGACGAGTCATTGGAAATCTATCAAAATAAAGCCAAAAATACAATGATTAAATAATAAGTAAACTTATCTTACAAGAGTTCGAACTGTAACTTTATGTATTGGTAAATATTAACATGACTACACTCTTTGAAACAACTCAAATTTAGGATGGATGAGAATATTTGGAATTCTGAGAAAGTCTTATACTTGGAAAATGGTAATTATATGCAACTTATATTGAAAACTTTTATTTCACTTTGAACATACCCTGATATTCTCCACACAGATATCCACATAGTACTGACTGTCAACATTGATCACATTCTGACATTCTCTGTAGACAGCAGATTTCTGTATGTGCTGAACACAACTTTCATTGGCTGTCTGAAAAGTCCATCCTGTAGAAAAAGATGCCTCATCTTGTACAAACTGTAAAATGAAGTACAGGTAATTACATGTATGTTAAAACTGCAATATGAATAACATTATATGTACACAGTGGCATGTTAACTAAAGGAATTCATATTATCTGAACAAATCTGAAATACATGTAAATGTTTAATTAGTAAAGTTATGTAACTTTCTTAAGCTACTAATTATATATATAGTTTGAAAACTTTTTTTACAAACCTGGTAGTTCTGTTTTGAAGCATAGTCAATCTGCATGAATCTTGGTATGGTGACATTGGGACGACAGTTCTTAGCATAAATACCACTTCTAAACATTTGATCTGTGTAGTCCATTCCTTTATAAACAAAATTAACACCAAAATAACATTTTGCGATTGAAAAATAAAGTCTTTTACAAATACATGTACCTTCAACAGTGAGCATGTTTTGTTATTTCAGATACAAATATGATCCTCTAAATCATTTCATAGAATAGTTTCCTTTTCGGGACAATATAATTTTGTCTCCTTTCCTATTTTTAATTTTTGTTTTGGGTACTCCTCTGTTGGTTTTTACCCCCTTTAGGTACCTGTTTTGTATTTTCTATAAGCCTGGCAGTCTCGGTTGAGATTCCATACATCACAGCTGAACACATCAGAACCAGAACAGTCACACAGTTTGTTCTCTGGAAGTCCCCGTGAGACATTCAGTCCAGGACAGATACCTGTGTACAAACTCTCCTCACCAGCAAAACTGAAAACACAATTACAGATGATATGTTGAAATGGACTGTTATATTTAGTAAAACTGATCTATCTAAATTTAAACATGACCAATTTATTTGAATTTTAACATGAAGAATTCATTAGTATGAGAAACCATTTGAATTGCATGCTTACCTCCAATCTGAGGCAAAGTCTTGGAGATACTTATTGCCAGACTGTGTATAGACAGAACCATTTCTAAGGATAAGGTCTTCACTCATTGATCCATCATAGTTACCACACAGACCTGTGAAAATAAAACCAGGAAATCTTGTATTTTTTAAAAAATATCGACTTATTATCAGCAGTCATGTTACAAATAAGTTGGTTTCACTGATAGTTTGGTCTTTTGTTAAGTTGTTGAAAACAATAAAATGATGTAGGCCTTATACTTATACATCATGGAAAACATTGTAATGCACCAAGAAAACTTTAAAAAATAAACTTCTCAGATGCTAACACGTGGAAACCTTCTACATGTATAAGGTCTTATAAGAAACATATAAATTTGTGGAAGAAAAAAAAGAAACAACATTTACCTTCTGTCATATTGAAATCTTGTAAAGATGGATACAGCCAAATGCCGAGTGAATTTTCATTGGCTAATTTAACTTTCAGAAATGCTCCACTTGGTAGAACAATCTACAATAAACAAAGAACAATTTTTAAAAACTGCAACTGATTTCTTAAAAATCCCTTTACAATTATTTTAATCCAAAAACAAATAGCACTGACTGGTACATTAAGGAGCCTTATATGCCAGCCGGAACAAAGAGGATAGGTGAGGTGAGATACAATACGGTGTTAAACAATGAGAAAAAGCATAAAACCTAGCCCTTACTGTGACTGAATCTCCAGAATTAGAGGTGACAACTCTGAATTCATCATTTACAGGTACTCCATAGAACAGTTGTTTGATTAGAGGTTTTCTGTTTTGTGGATTTCCTTCACAGTTACTAACACGAATCACATCATCACCGACCCTGACTGACACTCCACATACACACACAAAGGTAGGGCCACAGCTGTTGACAAATACATTTACCTGAAATTGTATAAAAGTTCAAATTTCAATTAAAAGTAAGTTTTTTAATGTTTTGGTTTTCAGGATCTGTAGACATTTACACAGATGAGGTCTTAACTTGAGATTCAATTTAGCAATATTACTTACTAATACTTTGTAAATAAATAATAAAGCACTAGTTGTATAATTAACTAACAACCACAATCAATGCAATCCAGAACTTTAAAATTGGTACAGGTTATGTCTATGAAAAATATCAAATATTTATGCATGCATGCATATTGGGTAAGCATTATATAATTATCCACTAGCTTTGAGTAGAATTATAGCTCGATCTGTGTGTTCAAGCCTGGTGATGGAGTTCTCCTTTGAAGACTTATGAAGGATACATTTCTTTATTACCTGTATGGGATACTTGGTATGTCTGTAGAGGACATATTCTCCAGGCTGATGAGTGTTATACATAGTGTTATCAAATGTGTTGACTTGTCCTAAACTGAGCATTGAACACCTGGCTCCTTCATCTGAGTTTTCTGCTGCCACCTGGTTTAAGGCATACCATAAGGTAATTACTATACTCTTTTGAACATTAGAAAATATATTCAAAATGAACCTATATTTCACTATTCTTTTTGGCTATATACATGTATTTTATTGCAAGTGATACTCAAGATATCCACAAAAAATTGGATGTTAAATTCTAAATACAATGATTCCACAGTAAATAGTTATATGAAGTAATTAGTACAGTAAGTATAGAAACTGCTCTGAAATTTATACAGAATTAGATTTTGTATAATGCTGACACTTACCTCTACTGTTTTGACTGTGTTGATGTCCGTGACGGTGTCAATTCTGTTGGTCAGGGACACCTGAACTCTCTGGTTTCCATCTACAACACCGTCCTGAGCTGCCTGTACTGGGATACTTATCACGTTCCTCCAGTTAGACTCAGTCACTTTCACATTACAGGACTCTGTGGAGCCTTCTCTCTCAGGAAATACAATCTGTGCTGGCTCCACATCTGATAACATATTAAATTGTAAGTACATTTGACATCATGTTTATATGTGCGTTACATTGCTGTTTATCAAATTTTCTATCAAAAAGTCTATGGACTTCAAATCAAATGCCAGTTTCAGAGATTTTCCCACATATTATTTTAAAATCAAATTTTTCTAGTGTGAGGAAAAAAAATATTGGTCATTGTATATATGGGGATTATATTTCATGGTTGGAGAAGTGGTGATTAGCTATATTTAGAAATTTTAAATTTTGTAGTGGACTTCAATTTATGGGTCTCTGCACACCTAAGAAAAACAATGAACCCCGATTGAACCCCCCTGAAAACTTGTGTTTTCTCAGCATAAAAAATAGCTTTGGTGTCTTTGTGAAAACCATACCAATGCAATTTTGTTCAATGTATTATAGTATGATGTAGACCCCACTCAGACTTCTATCATACCTTGTGAACATGTTGGAGGACTTCTTTCCAGTGATTCTGTAGTGGCCTTAACAGCAACTGTACAATCACTGTCTTTTCCTGCAGCCAGGCAAAATAAGGAGGGTGGAACAGTGGCTTGAACTCTGATTTCCTCTGCTGGACCCCCCTCTTTTACTGTCAGAGATTTACTGCTTCTAACCTGCATGGTACAAATAATTAGAATACAGTTAATTTTTCTTTTAAGTTACATTTGATTTTAAAAAAAATCTTACTTATTTTTATTTCTTCAAATATTTTTTTAATATATACTGTAGAGGATGTAGTTGAATCAGATTTTTTTTTTTTTTTTAAATTAGTGTTTTTATTATTCTGCATAGAAATATAATCTATGAGTAAAATTAATATGTACAGAAAATGTTCACTATTTTAAAAATATGGATATTTCAATAAATGATGGATAAACACTGAAAATAAATCAACAATAGAGGAATTAAAGACTTACAATGACTTCAGGTCTGAATGGGTGACTGTTTACTTTGGAGCTGGTGATATTGACACAGTCTGAACTATAACAGGCTTCCACTGAACACTCAATCTGTAATGGAGGGGTTATATATTGATTGATGAAATAATATGGACTCGTACAAAATCACAAATGTCTAGTTTCTAATTACACATTTAACTACTCTATATATATCATATACACAGTCTATTCTAAATGAGAGGAATATACAATAAACTATGCTTAATATATTGAATGCTAATTATAAATTAACGTAACATTTACAGTCAGGTGATTTTCATTCCCCTTGACATTATAATATATTGCAATTAAATTGAATGGATAATGATGAAAAAAAAAAACCTGCCATCCCTGGCATGCACTTTGTTATAAGTGTGTTTAACTGTACAATAGAAACCGATCTTGTAATTTCGTATGAACATAGACAGTACATTAATTTATAACTTTTGCTAGAAAATGAAGGTAATTTTTTTTTTTTAATCTGCAGTTTCTTCAACCTTTAATCTTGGAAGCATTTTCATTTTTCTTCCTATTTTTCTCCCAAGGTGCATGTAAATTACAAATACCTTGGAAACTAAGGAATTGAAATCTAGAGTTGATAACTGAAGTGTAGAACTGTAAATACTAGGTCCCATCAAGTCACACCTCCTCTGCTGACCATTAACACTCCAAGTAATCCAATACTGTATGCCATAGACTCTCTTATCCTGTGCCTGACATACCATTGACATATCAGACAAACTGTTATAGTTAAACTGAAGTTTGGGTTGCTCAATTTCAACAGGGACCACATTTTCTGAAAAAATCATAAAGTCTTGATGTAAACTAAAAATAAATAAGTTATAGATCTAAATAATACATTTAGACCAAAATATCTTATGTTTTTCAGGCTTTTTCATGAATTTTGATATTTGATGTGCCAGGAAAATGTCAAAACTGGTAGCATTATACAATTACAAAGTGGAAATTTTGCTACCCCCATCTGAACTTGATTTTTAATACTTGCAAATCAAATTAAAAATCAAACTCTTAACATATCAATAGCAAAATACCCCATAGTAGTTTTAAAGTTACATGCAAAAATATAGTTTTACTCTCAACCGCTTTTCCAGATAACGGGTACAAACGTTAAATAAAGCAACAGAAATGAAACGTAGTTTTATCTATATAAAATAAACATTAGTTATTAATGACTTATGAAAACTTCATAAGTCAAAGAACATAGTTCATTAAAGGATTTTTGATAATCAGTGTTACCATAAATCTCTACACATTTGATATAAGCCAAATTCAGTTTTGTGTTTGTTTTATTTATATGCCATGATATGAATAGGGTACAGTTTTTCTTACAAAAATATTACCGTGGTATTGTGTTTGAAAAACTCACTGTCAGTGTCTTACCATTTATATTGATAGTTTTAAAATAATTTTTTTCATCAGAATATAAACGTGATTCATGTAACAAATCCATTCTACTCTGTAAATGAGCCCGGCTCTCTGTACTTCTGAGTACTTTGATTGATACTTGCAAATCAAATTAAAAATCAAAATCTTAACATATCAATAGCAAAATACTGGTAGTTCTCAATAATATTGCTTAAAAGAAAATATCTCTCCACATTTTGATACACTACTCCGGTAAAACAATTTCAAGAGAATGATCTTTAAATGTAAATTTTAACATGACCAATCTATTGATACCACCCAATATCCATTTCAATATTCATGGAGGCCTTTGACAGTTACGATCTTAATTGCCCTTTTATTTTCGTCAAAATGTCATCAAAAATTGTGTCCATTGCACCGTACATCTTTGAAAAATATAATTTAAAATGTGCAAAATTTTAAAAACTTCAGTCACTTGGCACATATCTGCTTACTGCATACATTTATTTAATTGAAACCAAAGTCTAAAATATTTTTTCTTACGTAACCTATCTCAAGCGTTTTGGTGCTACTGTGCACATTCTTTGTATTTGTATTTTGTATTATGTCAGCAGAAGTCAGGTATCCAAAATGAAATTTTATGCTTGCATTATATAAATTAATTTCCAAACTTTGGCAAAGGGCAAAAACACAACATGTGTTTCAAAATTTTTATTTAAAATGTTACTTTGAACGAGATGTAAACAATCAATAAAGGAATAACTTTCTAACTTTACAGTTCATTCCAAAGAAAAATTTATATAATTTAGACATGACTTATGAAATGAAACAGTTTTGTTGAGTTTATTGCCAAAACGGTTATCAATTATTTTTCAATCTTTGGTGATTTAGCATAACGTTAATATTATATATTACAACCCGTGATTCTTCAGCTCTTGATTCACATAAATGTGTTTGGGCAGCAAAGATATATAACCAATTCATTTATTTTAAGCTTTATCAATATCTTCTCCAGGTCCAGGAAAATCACAACATTTAGCTATATAGCTTAATTTACCTATATAGCTTTATTTACCTATATAATATAGCTTTATTTAGCTATTTTGGAATAAGTTTCTGTTTTATGAAAAGCAATTAAAAGCCATCAATTAAACTAATCAAAAAAAGGTTTGTGAAAAACAACCTAGGGCAATTAAATTAAAAAATGTGTCAATATACATTTAAAAAAAATAAAAATTCTGTTTGGATACGTATTTACTATGAAAAATGTATTTAAGTTTGATTGCCTTGCATTGTGCTCAATTATTACCAATCAATTATCTTGTTGACCAAAATTGCTTTTCTTTGTTAAAGTAGCTGCTTACTCACAGATTAACTGTTATACATAGCCCCAAAACTTTTAAATCATTGATTGCAATTGCACAAAAGGAAAACATTTTTAAAAGTGGGTTTTTGGTGAATTAATTATTTTGAGTATTTTCAAGTTGAAAGTTGTGCTTCATTAGGTATTTTTCCAAGTGTTTTCACAAAACAGAAATTTACTCTGAAATAGCTAAATAAAGCTATATTATATAGGTTAATAAAGCTATATAGTAGATTTAGCATATAGCTAAATATATGATTTTCCTGGACCTCCAAGGATACAACTAAGTTCAAAATGAATGCTTAGCATAACTTTATATTACATAGTATCCATCATCTGATCACTGAGAATATGTGTTTGCAAAGCAAAGATATATAACTAATTCATTTACTTTAGCTTTATCTTCTCTACAAACAAGTTCAAAATAATCTTAAAATAACTAGTATCCATCATCTGATCACTGAGAATATACGGAGCTGCACCCATGTGTGAAATGAATACATCTGCATTTTCCAATTGGCAGCCTTGAACAGAGAAAAGATATATTTGTTTAAGCCAGAATATAACAATTAAAATAGACCTTTTGCTTCACAATTCCCTTTCGAAAAGTGACATGAAACCCGCCGTCTGCAATAACCGGAATATACATTGAGATGAATAAAATCTAGACCCGTACGGATATAATTCTGGATTCAAGGACAGAGTTTCTGACCGTGAAATACCGCATTTTATTTTTTAAAAGTCTTCTTGAAAAAATTGTCTCATTCGTCTTAATAAATTAGAATTTAATAACAGGCACTTAATTCGAAAATAAATATTTTACCCAATTTATTTCCGAAACAAGTGCCGGATTTAACACAGGCCCATTTTGGACTCAAAGACCTCCCTCCCACAATTATTTTGCATATAATATTATGCAAGAAACATGAACTATAAAATAAAGCTAATTTATAGTTACTGTTCAGTAAAAACGTTTGATACTTTCTTTTTTTTTGCATGTCAACGAGGAATTTATACCCCCCCCCCCTTTTCCATGATATACACCCACAAGGAACTGTACCTGAAATAGCATCGATTGGACACCCGATGACATCGAATCTGAAGCAGGGAGCTGTTGTGTAGTTTTTGACCACAATTCTAATCCTTCGAACCACTTCTCCCGGCCAACTAAATTCTGTTTCGTTGTCTGTATTGCTTGTTTGAAAAACCTACAAATATTTTTCGAAGAGATTTTTTTAAATCCAACTACATGTAATTAAATTATTTCATTATGAAAGTCCTATTTATGTGGACAATTATTTTCAAAGTAAAAATAATACACTGCATGTATATTTGGGAATTTCATTTTGCTTTAAAATGTATGCTTTCATGATAATGCTCACGTAACTAAAATCTATATTATTTGCAAAAATTAAAAATCAAATTCTATCATAAACCAGATTTCTTTACTAAATCTATAAATGTAACATTATGTAAGATTTTTTTTATTCTGTGCATAGGACGACAGTATTGGCATTATGCTTTATTTATAGTTTCTTACATTTTCTTTCATTGAAGTAATAACTACATGTAACCATTTTACAACAAAAATTTTCTAAACATAATTTTGCAGCTTTCATTGCTTAAAGGGAGAATAAAATAAATTAATTTCGTTCTTATTTTTTTTGCTGATAACCGTAGGTAATGTACAAAAACTTCATAACATCAACTAGGGGTCTTGAAGAAAAGAATTTTGTAAAATTGCCAGTCTGTGTAAGTATATAAAAAAAACTACAGTTCAAATGTGTTTAATGAAAAAAAATCGGTACAAATAGCTATGCTTATAAATAAAGGCAAAATATTCTCGAAAATATACATTAAAGAAAAACAGAAATCTTACAGAAATATTTCCAGAAAGTTGAAGCATTTCCAGGCTCCCCAGCTTTGCGGAGGCATATTCAAGGAAGACGTAGAATTCTGTGAGGTAGGGGTCATGTGTGGAGACGTTGTTGACGGGCACCTGCACTCGGAGGCCGGTAACATTATGGGGCCCACTGAAGGATACCTCGTACCAATTCTCCGCCGTTACATTAGACGGACACCAAGCAGCAAATGATTGTTCTGAATAAATTTACAGAATAGAAATGTTCATAGTACTTTTAGCGTTCATCTTTTTCTTTAATTTTCATTGTTTAATCAATTCTATAGGCTTCAAGGAGAGAGAGAGAGAGAGAGAGAGAGAGAGAGAGAGAGAGAGAGAGAGAGAGAGAGAGAGAGAGAGAGAGAGAGAGAGAGAGATTCTCTCGTTTAACAATAAGGAGAGAATTATTCACACTTTCGAAAAATCTCAAAAAACCCAAAAATTCAAACTTAAAAGGGAGACCTTATACTTTTCCTTTTGTTGCAAATATAAACATGTATATAACTCTAGTTGTTGTCTTCAATATACCAGTGAGGTATATGATTTCAAAAAATTAAGCTTGTTATACATAAAATAAATGTCAGCCCTGGTGTATTTTCATGCTCAATATATCCTCATAAAAGTTTTAACCAAAACTTGGAACAAAATTGAAGCCACATCATATCCATAGTAATAAATTTATCATCAATTTCAACTTTTACTCCATGGTTACTTTAGACCTACATTTTGAACTGACATTTTGTGGTGTCACTGTCATCCGTGGTCTACCCGACAGTATAAAGATTAGATTTTGTTTTGTTTGTTTGAATGTCAGAAACGTAAGTAACTGCTTTTCTGACTTTACCAAGACTATATGCATAATGCACATATTTTTTTGTCAAGTCTTTTCTTCAGCTTTTGTCACGACTTTTTTTTTTTACAACGTAAAAAGGGATAGTTGTAGATTTGACTATGTCAATTCCTCATCAGATTAAATCCGCTTAACCCCCTAGCATCAGGTTATGTATTATATTTAATAACTACATCAGATATGATATATGTTTCCCGACCTGGGCCTACGCACAAGGTAGAAGAATTTAACTTAACTCAAAATAAATTACCATAATATATCATTAATAAGACACTAATAGAAAGATAGGGCGGCTGATTCGAGCATCATTTAACTGTGAAATAGATAGGTAAATTTTTACCTCACTGTATGAAACTGCTTATTCGAATTAAATTTCTATAATCTATTGAAAACATATTTTTAATAGTATGAATACCCTGGATTAATTATAATTCAGGATGATAGGATCCCTATCTTAATGTATGTATCAATGCCAACATGGACCGAAAATATCATTCATGCAAACGAGAAAGCGAAAGACATACTAGTTTTATGTGTTTGTACTGGGAGTTTCAAATTTACCCGGACATCTTAGTCGAATAGTCTTTAGTCGAACGATAGTCAAGTACTCGTTGAAATCAAAAATAAATTGTCATTTTCCCTATTAACCTTTAAAGATTGCTAGGATTTATAATATATTTGAGCTACGCTATCAGCATCTATACATGCATCGAATGATTGAAACAAAATTTACACGTACGTAGTAATAAATCTCTATGCGTGTATCCATGAATGTGTTTGATTTCAAATATGATATTGACTACACTTATTCATCGTGACTGGTAAAAAATTAAAGCGTACCTTCTTATTAAAACAAAGAGAGCTTGCCGTAAATTTCAATAACGAAATATTTGCAAATAATTAATTAGTTTGTAAATGATTGATATTAATATTGGAAAGAAACACTTTACAGTTACAAGTACCATGAGTTTAAAATCTTAGTCGATAGTCGGTATGTCAGGCCGAATGATATTCGAGTACTCGAGTATTTGTTGACATCCCTTATTTGTACCATTGTTTTAATATAGTTTGTTGTGATTTTCTTCTTTTTTTTGGTGGGGGGTGGGGTGTATTCTTGAGGGTGTTTGAGTGAGTGTGTGTATAAAACCTACCTGAACAACAGTTATAACGCCCGTATTCTATATCTAGATCCGCCCGTGTAATGGAGGATTTTAGCTGCTCCCTTTTTACGTCCCCTGATTCCAGACCAAGTGCCTGATCACATACTGAAAAAAGACACTTATTTGTTACAGGCGAGCTTTTACAATATACAAAACAAGGAGTCTTTACAAATTAACATGAAACATTTATATCAGAAGAAATAATATTGCTTAGATTGAGTATCTAATCATCTCTATACCGGGTACTCTATCGTATTTTAATGAAATAAACTTCACAAAAAGGATGTCCCAACGATAAAACACTTATTGTCAAGGAATGCTGTAAGAAATTTCTCCCAGTCAAAAGGTACAAATATGTATGATCAGTGCATTTTTCAAGGGGTTTAATTTTGTTCAAATCCAATTTTCAAAACAGAAAAAGGGTTAACCTAGAGGTATTTTAAACCGGTTTCTCAAATATTTAAATTCAATTGGACGCTCAGTTATTACACAGAAGATGCCCAGAATGGAATGCACTTTTCATAAATTTAAAAACAGACATAGCAACAGATGATATTTATGTTTGTTTTCTAAATGTTGTCATTGCTACATTTCACTTATTTAAGAAATAAACAAATAATTAATTTTCATTTTAGACAGCTGTTTTTCTATCACATTGATGGGTGTGGTCTTTCTAAATGCCTATTGATAATCATAGCTAAAGTGACCGTTTAAACTATTTAGCCCTTCTTCAAATCTTGTCATTTCTTATGATTTTTTCTCACTCTCTCTAGATCAAGAACTTGTGTCGATGACTTTGAAACTCCTCGCTCTTTTTGTGTTCACATAAGCCTGCACTATACATAATAGATAGATATAGGTCAGATCCTTATTAGGGGCTAATTACTGTTTGCCTTCGGTTTCCAGTAACATATTTGCCCACCTACTTGATACCACCGTATAAACCCGTAACTTCACACTGAATTTGATTTCATGAAATTTTTAAAGCGTAACAAACTCTTCTTGTCTCTTTATAAACAGTGCACTTTTTGTGTATCTATGTAATCATGTAGGTGCGAGGTATCAACAATACGAGATACTTGTACAAGTACATTGTGTGGGTAAACCAGGGCGAGCTCGTAGGTTTGGGTGGGAGGCATTTCTAGGCCTCGCCCCATAACAAACGCAGGAGACACATTTTATGAGTCTTTAGGAGTTCAGAAAGTTTAAATATTGTTAATTTGAATGTTTTGGTAAAATAATGTCATTTTGAAAAGACGTAACATACGGCACAGTTGAAGGGTCACATAAAGTTATATAATATACACAAAACGTATAATATCGTCCAGCATTCCAGTAAAGCACGCTTACAGCACGAAAACGCTTATAATGAATTGACGCTTATTAATATTGGAAAGTGAGTTTCATTCCCTGACTTTTTAAAAAAAATGTATTGACCACTAAATGGATAAAACAAATTACTATTAGAATTATCCGTCCCTTGTACTTCTTTATAAGCTTGTTTGTAAATATTTGATGGGACAAATTGGTTTCTCCTTCAAAATGAGATAGATTGATTTGTTTGAAGAAATGAATTTTTTAGGTCCCCTCCCCTCTCGATCTCTTATAGGTTTAAAAAAAATATGAGGATGAGCATGGACTAAACTTTGTTCTGAACCTGGCATTTTCGTTATTCTTGTCCCTTGATATATTATAAATTATATAATTAAATTTGATAAATTTTTACTTTAAATAGGACCAAAAAACAAATATACCTTTTAATGTCCATCTAGTCAACCAGTTACAAAAGCAAATCATTGTTATTATATAAAGACAGTATATTATCAATTATATATAATTAAACGCAAATTCTCTCTCTCTCTCTCTCTCTCTCTCTCTCTCTCTCTCTCTGATTTTTCTTAATTACGATAATTTTGATTATGACGTATACATGTATGATCAAGACAATATTTTGTTCAAATTTTACATTTAGCATTACGAATACAATGTTAAAATGTTAAAACTATATATTGTCTCTGTGATTTTGTGACTATTTAAGGTTGAAATTTTTAAAGAAATTAAAGATATATAGGATTAAATTATACATTGTGTGTATTCTATTTTAAAACATTTTTTCAGATTAAGATCTGCAAACTTTTAAAAGTCAAAATCAAAAGTTCACATAAAACATTAGACATTAAGTCTTTAAAGCTATGTCTGCCTACGGTTTTTAACTAAAGTATCGTGCGTTTCTCGTTCTCAATTTAAAGTCAATTGGTAATAATCCTTAGCTTTCGAACCGCAAATAAAATTGCTTATATAATGTTTTCATTTTTTTGTCCTATTATGATCGGGTGTGAGAATTAAGTTGCTTCACTGAATCGAGAAATGCCAAGCACGATATGTTTTATAGCTAATAGACATCTTCACAGTTATTACAAATCTGTTACGCTATAACCTCAAAGATAAAACACATTTAGTAAAGTAAGTTTATTACTGGGCGTGAATGCCCATGTACACATTTGGGTAAAAATCAGGTCCTGTACTTTAGAAGATTTTCTTTTTAATTAAAATTTTACACACGGATTTCCTGACAAGTTTCATAGGATCAAATGAGTACAAATGATCTTGGACAATTTTTTTAACACCCCATACATCTAAACATTTGTATTCCCACTTAAAAAATAATTCTTATGAATTATTTTATTTATATATTCTAGAGTTTCTGGGTTTATTTTCCTTCAAAAGCATTTTTTAAATTTTCCATTTCACTGTAAGGAGAGAGAGAGAGAGAGAGAGAGAGAGAGAGAGAGAGCATTTCAGAAGAAAGGTCTTATAACGAAGTACATATATGTCGTTGGGGGGTTGGGGATGGAGGTCAGTCTTACGCAAGTAAGAGACTTAAAACTTCAGATATAGTTTTAGAATTCACATGACGATCTTTTTCTCAGGTAACTATACTGTCAAAAATAAAGCTAAGTTGAAAATCTCAAATAATTTGAATTTTTCTTCTCATATTCAGTTTAAGTCTACGAACGTGGGAGTTTTGAAAAAAAAATTATCAAACCAATTTCAATGGACCAAAAGACTTGAATGACGTAAAAGACACTGGTAGTGTGCATAATTATTGCACGCCCAGTTCAATAGTTTCCTTGCCGGCTATGCATTTGTCAAAAGATATTATCCATTCTATCAGAATTGAATATCTGTTTCAGCAAATAAGAAAGAGTACATTGTACTCAGTTCAGATTATTGAAATCGTCGACAAGTAGGTGGTTTAGGGTTTAAGGTTAGAATTTCTGTCAATCATCATACCCTAGTTTAGCAAGTCACGGCGACAGCATGGCAGATCAAGGCCATCTTCGTTATTATTGGACATAAAAGAGAGAGTGCTATTACCACAACGAAGAAAATAAGCATGAATGATTTGATCACAAAAGTGAATGCCACGACAAACTTGCATGGTTCTTTATAATCCTTGTGTCCATATACACGTGACCTTGTGTATGATATGTAGTCGCATGCTATACTCTTATTGCACATATAGTGCACAGTCTTATCAAGGGCAGTATGTGTCGAGACAAACCTCCACCCACCACCACCCCCTTCCCGTGCAGAATGGTTGACAAAGTGTACGGGTACCATAAACACTATCGTTGGCGACAGACATACCGGTATATGCTTTACAGATTTCGTCGCAGAAACGTCTAAACATCGTTCTCTATCAATTTGATGTATCCCCCTCCTAGTGAACCCGCCCCAAGAATATGGTGTTTTTTGTCGCCATAGTACATACGGCACGTATACGACAAGAGAATGTATGATGGGTTTCAAAACTACAAAAATGATATTTAAAACACTTGCGATGGATGAAATTTAATTTTAAAAAAAAGTAAATCAAAGCAGACAAGACTTGAATTTAAAATTTCAAAATTTAAAATTGCCAAACTCAACCAAAAATTGTTTCTGCTTACCCCGCTTCCAACTCCAATTTTGTATATCAAAATTTGTAAAAATTGCTTTTTTTGTTGATGTTTGTATGTATGTTTGTTTTGGAAAGGGGGAGGGGGTATTGAAATACGTTTAAGTGTTTAATATTTTTTAACTTAAACTCTTTTGCGAATTCATTAAGATTGTGAAGATTTGCTATCTTTCATAGCCCATTATTCCCTCGTAATTAGTGTATATACTAGTATTTTGAATTTATTGAATTAATACAGAACATACAACGTGGTGCAACCGTTGGTTGGTAGGTAGGACCGTACTTTCAAAAATTGCTGTCAAACTAATAATTTTCGTATTTAAATCCATTAAATAGCTCATAAACTAACTAAATCACCCATAAAAGACATATCTTTGCAGATAAATTTTTATACACATGTTTTTTTAACATGAATATATATATATAAATATTTTTTATGTACCAAATCACATCAAATTAATGTTAAAACTTGTGGAAATCAAAAATAATTTATTTCCCAGGAGAATATTTGAAAAATTTATAAGAAAACATTTAAAAATTGATGTTGAATCTGTCCAAGTCTATCTGAAAAAAATCTCAAAATATCTTTATTTTTAAAAATTCTCTCAAAATCTAAATTGTTTATATGTCATTTTTTCTTTCAAACTATTAAGGAATCATATCTAAGGCTAACAAAAGCACGCATTTTATTATTGTTGACCAGAAAAAATTAACAAAACAGCCTTCTGAACACGTATACCCCCCTATTTCGGAATATCAAGTTTTTCAATCATTCTTTGAAAAAAATTTAAAAAAGTAAAATTTAAAAAGGTGATACATGTATATGATTAAAATCAATAAAGATAGATTTCTATTTAATTTGTTTTAAAAAAAAAATAAAAAGCTTAAGGTCCATAAAGCTAATTAAGAATTATGTGTCTTTTTTGGTACTTAATGACATATAAATCTATGGATAGAGTACAAAGTGTTAATTTCCATTACAAATGTATATCAAATGCTTTGTATGCACAATAACACTATAATAAACAAATATATACACTTTGCTATATTATTATCAACCATCAAAAAAGATTTTTTTTTCTATAGACAAGTGTTAATCAAAATTTTGTATTGGTGTGTAAAATTAAAACCGGATCCGTAAAAGTATGGACTTTCCTTAATTTTCTTAATACTGAAATCTTTTTAAAAATTTTATGGAATCCTTCAAAACAATAAACAAAGTCTCTACAGTTTTGCTTTGAATAAAATCAATCCATCTTCTGAGGTTTCTAAACTTCAATTACTAAAGCAGTTCGCCACTAAAGGACAACGTTTTGCAGCCAGACTTTTCTTATATATCATTCACTTCTATCGTGCATCAAACATTTAATTTACCTCTATTTAACTTTTGTATACATGTACTGTCAGTTATCTGTTTATCTAAGTAGACATCGCTAGCAACACTTCAAGCTACGAAATGTGCTCAAAAAATATAATAAAATAAAAGACTGGTCCCTGTTGATATACTCCCCAGTTATGTAGATAAATAATTACATAAAGAACTTTAATAAAACTACAATTCTCGCAAGGGTCTGCAAACCGGTTATGTTGACAGAATTCATTTAATCCAAATGGAATTAGATTTTCTTTTCTGTAGAGTACCATGTTGGTTCTTGGCGTGGTCATTTTCGGACTGAATAGAGTGCCAGTGCTGAAGTATTTGCTTAGGTTTATAGACATATTTATCGAGCGATCAATTACTAAATGCTTTCATTTTGACCCCTGACATGGTATACATAATACAGATCAATCAATGAGGTTTCTGAGATTTGTACTTTTTAAATATGAACTTAAAAAAAAAATTCTCCATGCTAATCCCTTGGTACCTTTTTGGGGTGGATTTGTTTGTGTGTTTTGACAGCGACGGTAAATCGTTTTATTTATTAAAGGCGTCGAATCCTTACCCAAGGACATTGACCCAACTGAAAATATAACTTAGTACCAAAAAAATATTTTTACTCAAAAATAAAAATTTTGCTGAACTTATCTCTGTTCGCTAGCTAAATCATAGGGGAAAAGAAAAAAAATATATAATTTTCATTTATACTAGATCAGCCCCCCCCTCCTTCCCAAAATTATTGAGTCAACTTTGGCTTTTTTTTCAACTGTTTTTCCAACTGTTTTTTTTTTTAGTTGAGAAAGGGGGGGGGGGTCATGAATTAATGCTATTAATCAATTGGATATAATTTTCATATGAAAAAAGTAATTTTAATATTTTTTTCAAGAAAAAAACATAAATTGTTGTTCTATTTCTGTTTATTTATAAGCGAAAAACTATTCCTCTTGAAATTTTCGATTTATACGTGTATTTTACTAAACGTAACAATCAAAGCGAAACGGAGAGGTATTTTCTGTCCTGTTTCGTGACAATTTATGTCGCCAATAATAAATATTTAAACTGATAAATTGGTATATTGGAAAAAAAATACCAGTAAAGAAGTGGCTAAAAATATTATCAAGGTATAAGATATTTTATTGACCAATCATGGGCCCCGAAACTTAAAGGCGCAATTTAAACATATTTTACATTTTCCATAAACAGTTAATAAATGACCAAGTTACATCGTATTCAGTGTCAGTGATCCAGAAGCATGTCAATGACCACAACACAATACAAAATTGTTATGCTAAACATATTAGATAAATGGCCTTTTAAACAATACTATTTTACAATATAATCACTTGACAATAGTCAACACCTATCTCTTATTATTCGGAAATGATTCCTTGTCTGTTGATGTAAATATACGTGATATTTCACTGTGTCCAAAGGTTCATTCGTGATTCGGGTAGATTTTGATCTCCTTTTCCTTTTTCTGTTTCTCTGTGTCATTTAATCATAGATGTATAGCTTTGATTCTTTATAATGTGGGAATTTTATTTGTGATTATGTTTATATATGTGTAATCATATTATTATTTTTGTCGTAATCATTTGCATACATCGTTATTGTTTACACATTGTATTAACTCTGAATCTTTAATAAGTGTCTTTGTAAGTTTAGTATTTTTTATATATAACATGTATATGTATAACTTTACATTTTCACTACAATTGTAAATAATTCGTTCCACAATCACTATAATTACAATCATTGTATATATTACAGGGAAAGGTGTTTCTAAGTTGCAAGAACTTGTTACCAATCCCTTTGTATGAATTATCAATAAATTATGTTCAAAACAACATCAGTTAATTAAAATACAGGTAAAGAACCAATTACACTAGTTATACAATTCATTCAATACGTGAAGAAAAAAAAATACCAAGGGATTTGGAAGGCGTTTTAAACAACAAATGACGAATGTAGATTAATTTTATTACACTTGCCCAAAACTGAAAAAATGTGTTTCGTTGGGTCGTTTATGTGTTAGAGGTTGGATGGAAAGGGTAGAGCAGGACAAGATACTTTCCCAAGTCATTTTTTTTTATGACTCTCCCTGCCTTATTTCTAAGGATTCGTCTCTCCTAGAGGGTCCAAGATCATTTTTGGTCACTTTTCATAGATTTATAATAACTTTAAAATTACCCCTACCCTGGGTGGTTCTGAGCCCCTCCCAATCCATTCTAGATCTGCGCATGCAATTACAGATTTTCTGTACAAAGCAGTAGATTTTACTTTGCTTTTACAACCCCATTTTCGCGTCGACTACGAAACAAGACAACATTCTGAATCACTCTCCTTGAAAGCGATGAGGTAGGGGGTTTATATTGTTCTCATAGTGACCTTGAACTACGGTTACTGATCATGTGACCTTGAACTACGTTTACGATCATGTGACCTTTGTTCTACGTTTTTTAAAAAAAGTCCCAAATACTTTTTTTTAAAAATTATCATGTGCACTTTACGCTAAAAAATAAATTTAACCCCCCCCCTAAAAAAATAAAATAAAACAAAACACACATACAGAGAATTATTCTGGATCACTCCACTACACTAGTAACTTCGACCTACATTATGAATTATCGGATTTGAAATATCAAATATATTTTTGACTTTTGAGGGTCATGGCTCTGATTACTAGCATATTTATTGTTTGTGACCCCAAAACACAGTCCAACAGAATTAAGAGTTTGAGAATTTATGTAAACGAATTGATCAGTTTAACACTTTGTTATTTCTAATAATTAACCTTTAAGGACACAAGCCATGCATGAGCAAAAAATTGAATACGTTGATTAGTATTTATTCCAAACTTTCTTTTGGTTGTAATTGATGCATATATCGAATTTCTAAAATGTTAAAAACATTATTTTCAACATTCATTTTTGATATTTTTAATTTCATTTTCATTATTGTAGAAAAAAGGGTTGATTGTAGCATTTGTTCTTAATCATTCATATTAGCTCTCAGTGTTTATAAATCACGGATATGTATTTCTTTACACACAGGAGTAACTAAGAACTATAATATGGTAATAACATGTAAATGCAGATAAATAAGTGATACAATAATTTTAGGCTCTCAGAGTTTATGAATCATTTTTTTGCAAATATATACACACATATATGCATTGAAAATTGGAATTTCCCTATAATTTGGTAATAACACTTTAAATGCAGACTTTCAATTTGCTTCCGAAGCCTATGACATGTATATAAAACACTAGTATAAAGATTACAAACATTAATCTAGTGTAAAGGTCCATTGGAACAATACAAATTGTAAGGAAAGTAAACATCAGAAGTAGGATCAGATGTAATGAAGGAGTAAGCATCCCTACATGTAGCTGTCGACCGAGCACAACCGCTGTGTACTCATTTTCTAATATCTTAAACGGTGTGACACATACAATCCTGGGAAATCTAGAACATTTTTAATAAATAAAGTCTGCAAATCAATTCCAATTTTTTTCTCCTAGATTATCTACCGTATTATCTATGCCCCAGACATAAGAGTGTAATATTTACATGACAATACGAAGTCAAGTTTCTACACTTTTCCTGGTCATGGTAAGATAACCTGTATAAAATTGGAATTTACAGAGATTTAATAAATCGGGTGGATTCTTAAAGGAGTCTTTGCTCTCATTCTGTTCATCATTTTAATGGTCTGTACCTTAAGGTATTTCGCAGACGGCTGTTTTTTATATTCGCGTATTCAAGCCCTGAATGCGCTTTTAAGACGTATAATGATTGTTTGTAAAACTGATTTAAGAACCCTAGTGCGCAGCATTTAGTTATTAAAATCTAGACTTGTAAAACAAGTAGACTTCAATGAAAATCATGTCCCTCTTCGGACTAGGGCTTTAAACATGTTAAGTGTGACCGAAATCTTCAGGAAGGTCAGTCCATGCAGCTTTAACAATTATGGGCCTATCTACAATATCAGATATCAACCCCATCTGCTGATGAAAGATAAAGCATGTCTTTTTAAAAAGAGATCAACCACTTTTCTCCTCTTAATACTTTCACGCTTGTTCTCACTACATCATACCTATTTTTTCCCATTGAGTTATGAATTCCTTTAATTGATCATTCTTGCATTTTAAGATCAAAATGTAAACCTAAATTTTGTTTCACAAGCGATTGGGCTATTTTTTTTCTGTATTTGTCAAAAAGTTCTGAAAATTCATATCCTAAAAAAAAAAAACAACATTTTTTTAATTTGAAGATGTTTCTGAGTGAATTTTTTTAGTTTCCGTAGATACACTCTATGCCGAAGCATTGCCCAAACTTTTTTTAATATTACATGGTAAAGATTCAAATGACACTTTTTCACTTTTTTCAATACACTGGACGGTCCGAACATACTCTTACTATGCATACATACGAGTATCGATCAATCAACAACGTGTACCCCGGCCAATCTCCCTTTTCCACTGGAAAATTTTTAATTCCACAAATTCCAAACATCTCTAAAGAAAAATATCCTTACCTTTTTGGCTTAAAGAAAGCTGGGTGCCCACAAGAAGGAGGGCTATAACCCAGCCCGGGAGCCTCCACGGAACACCCGAATGTCCCGTCATGATAGCTCAGTCTGCAGTGATACACATCGATATCCTCTTCTCTTTTAATACCCGAGTGGTCCGACCGGTTCCGCTACCTTAGACTCCTCAAGTCCGATCGCTCAATGTCTCTTTAAATTTTCTTCATTCATCACTTGAAAATTGAAAGGAATTGAATTTCAGTGTGGTGATTTAATTTTTTGATAGCTATTTTTAATATTTACCACGTGTAGAAGTGATGTTTTGTTGACATGTCAACCCTGATGTTGGTGTTGGAGAGCGAACAGCTGATATACATTGCACCCGAATTGTCAATTTGTCTAACAATTGTTTGTACCAGGTTTTAACAAGTGTCATGGTTTGTCAATTTGTCTATAAAAATATTAAAGCATCCAGGTTAAAAAAAATGTTGTTGAGTCACTGTAAATCGACTTAAAAAAAGATGTAGATTGATATTAGGAACGTTTCCAAATAAAATATGATCTCTATCAGTTCCTCGGAATTTAAAGGCTTTAAGGATCATATACGTACACTTAGAGAATTTGAAAAAAAAAATGTAGAAAGGTGTAAACATTGAGTTTAATTTTATAAGTTTATTTTTTTTGATATAAAGAAATAATACAGGCATTGATTAAAAGTAAAACCACAAACATCTATTTGAAATGAAATATGAGGACCCCACCCCCCCCCCCCAAAAAAAAAAAAACGCGAGATACTTGTAAATTATCTTAGTTTTTTGAATGGGGAAATAAATGCAAACACAAGTTTATAGTGTTCAATAAATTTACCATGGCTTAATGAAATGTAAATAATGATTGAATTGATTACAAATTGATTTATATACTGTAGATTGCAACTCAACTTTAATATTTTATGTATTCTATGAACATAAGGTAAAGAAAGGGGCATAATTCTTATAACTTGAATATAATAAAAAAAAAAACACTTGCCATCTAGAAAAAAAGATAATATAAGACCTGCATACTATTCATTATTTTTAAATTGAAATTTTCTGGGATAGTTACCCATTGTATTATTAATGAGTGAACATATTACCCATTATATGATTGGTAAGAGTATTGAGTGCCCATTGTATGATTGGTAAGAGTACTGAGTGCCCATTGTATGATTGGTAAGAGTACTTAGTAACCATTGCATGAGAAGTAAGAGTGCTTAGTACCCATCGTATGATTGGTAAGAGTACTTAGTACCCATGGTATGGTTAGTAAGAGTACTGAGTACCATTGTGTGATTGGTAAGAGTACCGAGTACCATTGTGTGATTGGTAAGAGTACTGAGTGCCCATTGTATGATTGGTAAGAGTATTTACATGTAGTATCCATTGTATGATTGGTAAGAGAACATAGTACCCATTGTATGATTGGTTACAGTACTAAGTACCCATTGTATGATTGATAAGAGTACTGGGTACCCATTGTATGATTGGTAAGAGTACTTAGTACCCATTGTATGATTGGTTACAGTACTTAGTACCCATTGTATGATTGATAAGAGTACCGAGTACCATTGTATGATTAGTAAGAGTACTGAGTACCATTGTATGATTGGTAAGAGTACTGAGTACCATTGTATGATTGGTAAGAGTACTTAGTACCCATTGTATGATTGGTAAGAGTACTGAGTGCACATTGTATGATTGGTAAGAGTACTTAGTACCCATTGATTGGTAAGAGTAATGAGTACCATTGATTGGTAAGAGTACTTAGTACCCATTGTATAATTGGTAAGAGTACTTAGTACCCATTGTATGAATGGTAAGAGTACTGAGTACCATTGATTGGTAAGAGTACTTAGTACCCATTGTATAATTGGTAAGAGTACTTAGTACCCATTGTATGAATGGTAAGAGTACTGAGTACCATTGTATGATTGGTAAGAGTTTTTAGTACCCATTGTATGACTGGTAAGAGTACTGAGTGCCCATTGTCTGATTGGTAAGAGTACTTAGTACCCATTGTATGATTGGTAAGAATACTTAGTACCCATTGTATGATTTATAAGAGTACTGGGTATCAATTGTATGAAAAGTAAGAGTGCTTAGTACCCATCGTATGATTGGTAATATTACTTAGTACCCATTGTATGATTGGTAAGAGTACTGAGTACCATTGTATGATTGATTAGAGAACTGAGTGTCATTGTATGATTGATAAGAGTACTGAGTACCATTGTATGATTGGTAAGAGTACTGAGTACCCATTGTATGATTGGTAAGAGTACTTAGCACCCATTACATGATTAGTAAGAGTACTTATTACCCATTATATGATTAGTAAGAGTACTGAGTACCCATTGTATGATTGATAAGAGTACTTAGTACCCATTTTATGATTGGTAAGAATACTTTCTACCAATTATATGATTGTTAAGCATATTTAGTATCAAATGTATGATTGGTAAGTGTGTATGGTTGATTGAATACTTTGTGTATGATTTGGAAAGTAAGATTACTATTATTAATTACAAAGTTAGGATTTGAAAGTGTACCGATTACTCAGTAGATACAACTATAAACATATTCAGTGCATGATTTTGATTAAGACATTGATGGAAGGGTTAACTATATACTCGGTGAATGATGAGAACAGTTTTAAATATCAGTGTGATTACTAATGAGTACTAATTACTTTTAAAAGTATTTTATTTTGGAGAGTTAAGTAATCACTATACATATAAATAAAAATCACACTAACTAGTACTTTCAGCTTGATTAAAATGTTTAAAAAAAAATCATTATTTTGTAGAAAGCAAAATTACAAAGTTAAGTATGAAATTCATTGCTTCAACCAAACAAAAGTTATGGGCAGGGTTAAAAGTTTTTACAGACAGACAGACGGACAGGGCAAAACTATATATACCCCGAATCTTCTACTTCGGAGGCGTTAACATTTCAAAACAATACAAATCTGTGAAGAAGGCATAAAACATAGACCCCTGGAAATTCCAGAGGTGGAATCAGGTGCCTAGGAGGGAGAATTCCCTGTTGACCGTGACACCACGTGATCCGTAAATATTAATCAGGTAAACGGAACATTCCGTATAGTCAAATCACCTTAAACAATGGACATTAAACAAGTAAGTATTTATTCGACCCACTGATACGCTATATTTACTAACAATGGCATTATAATGACTATAGGACTTACTAAATGGTGACTTTTTTAAACAAAGTTGTTGAAATCCCTGTAAAATCAACTTATTTGCTAGGATTGGTTTTAAAATTGATCGTACTAGAAGCAAAAAGTGATATCTTAAGTATCGAATAAAATGGAAGATATATTGACCACAGAAATAAGGAGAGTTGACAAGCTGACGATGGGAAAAACTTTTTAAAAATACATGTTATTTTTCTTGGACATTTCTATTTTGTCAGTTTCTTAGGTTAGTGGTTAAACTTTCTTTTTTTTTTCACTTTGGTGCGCCCACTTTAAGGTACTCCGATCCTCAGGTTCTGAAAATCAAGCACTGACTAATTGAAAATGCTCACACAGTTGTCTCTGGATTCTTAAAGTAACGTGTTTTTACCCACAATAAGTCTTAAAACTTCATCTTTCAAATTAAACATATTATATAGAGAAAATTAGTAAGTTTCAAATATATTTTCTTTGCGATCACCTGCAACTCCTCTTTGATACCACATTTTAAAAATGAAATTTGATGAAACTTTCATACAGAATCTTTATTACATATTGCCATGTTTAAAGTGCACCTCCTATTTTACTTTTTGATCCCACACATATTTTGGTTTTCACGGCCACAGCAAAACATGGACTTTGTCATTATAACTATATGGAGGCGGGAGAGGTATATAATGAAAATTATTGCATGGAAAGCTCATTTTCGCTTCATTTTGTACCTTTTAAATTAAATTTTCTTTCACTTTGGTGCGCCCACTTTGAAAAAGAAACATGTACTTTGAGAAAAACTGAGAGGATAACACACTATATGCTGTACAGATCATGGCAAATAACGGCATTGAAATCATGATTTTGAAATGACCTTGAAATAAAAGGACTGCACGTATATACATGTAAAAAGGCATGGTTTTTGTATTATAAAGTGTATTTTAAGGTATAATGGGTCTTAATGTACCTATATAGCAATATGTTACGCTAGATGTAATATTTTTAGTGTTTTTTTAATTTATATAATTAATTTTAATTTCTCTTATTTGTCGCATAATAAGCGGTTTGCTGTCCTTATTTGCCCATCTTCTTTCCACATAACCAATAGCTCAGTGATATATTGAAATAATTATATTCATAATTCCATTTTTCTGAATGTATGACATGCATTGAACTTGCGCTTCAAATTGGTTTGTCCCGAAGACAATGTCCTATACCATCTAGTTCATGAAATCTTCAGACCAGGGCATATGGATCTAGGATTTTTCAAGGAAGGAGGTGGGAGGGCATCACATCTATATTAATAAATGTCAGAAATATTCGTACACAACCTCTCTAATATAAATTATCATTTCTTTACAAAGCAGTTTAATAACTGGAATTTAAGGGGATGGGGGCAAAGGTGGATTCAGGGCCAGCGCACCGGGCGTGCCCCCCCCCCTATTTTTATTTTTTTTGCATGTAAAACTTATATGTCCATTATCCTAAAATCAATGAAAAACATCTCTTATTTGTGAGAACTTGTGAGAACTTGTGAGAACTTGTTGAACCTCCCAAAAGAACCTTGTCTTAGACCCACTAGGGGCTTCAGTACAGCCATCAGACCCCCCTCCCCGCATTCCTTCCTACGAAATTCCTGGATCCGCCACTGGGGGGGGGGGGGGATAGGATTCCCCTTTTGACCACTGCATGCAGAAAGTAAACTTTGAATAGATATACATAAAGTCTTTTCTTTCGAATTGCATATATAAGAATTTGCTTTCCTTTTTTATATTTCGTTCTTTTTTGTGCTCCATTGACCACCGAAGGTCACGTGGTCTTGGCCTAATTTCGTCAGACTGAGATTGAGACTTGTCTTGATAGCAGTTACTTGCATTTTGCTTCTGCAAAA